GAGGGAGGCGAAATTGCTACGTTCGTAGCGATTAAGCAGCCCTCCCCTTGCGCGCCTCCCGAAGCGCGTTTTCTGCGTAGAGCGTTTTAGCCGCCCACGTTGGGCACACAGGCTGCCCCACTCCCCCTTTGCTCACTCCCACCCTGCCATGCCTCGTCGCGCACTCGTGCATGCCACCCACACGTCGTAATCTTACCCCGTCGCCACCCACATATTCACCTTCCTGCTCACACCGCCCCTTTCCCCCTCACACGCGCGCTTTAGCCACCCCGCCACCTAACCTCTTTCCCTAACGGCGCTTAGCTAGCAGAGGCCGCCCTGTCTCTGGAAACCGTAGGAAATAAGGGGAAACAACTTCAAAGAAAAAAAAATATATTCATATAAATCGGAAAAAAACCAGAAAAAAAATCAGAAAGGCAGCTTACACTTTGTTCTCCCAACCCTCCAGGGCCCCATCCAGTCCGCCACCCCCCCATTCTGTTTCATCATACTGCACCACACCCTCCCCTTTCGCCCACCAGCATTACCGCCCCTTTCCCCTTATCCCCCACCACGCCCCCAAGCAGGCTTTTCTCCCCCCAGCCTCCCGTCTCCCTGCCCTTAGTACCGCCGCGCTCTGCCCGTGCGTCACCCTTGCCCACTTCATACCACCTCCCCCCTTCTCCCCCCCCCCCCGGCTTCTCCCTATCATCACCCGCATGTTCCCCCACTCCCCTGTCCACAACGTCCCTCCTCCACCCCCCCTCCTGCCTTCCCCACTCCCACTCTGCCCCCCACACCTCTACGAGCCGTACTTCCCCCTCCAGCCTCCCTTTCCCCCCCAGCTACTTCCGCATCCAGCGTGGGCTGCACCTCTGCATCCCGCCCTGCCAGGCCCTTCGGTGACCCAACTGCCGCCACCTGGCACCACGCCGCCTTTCCCACCCCCATCCAATCTCTACACCCCCTGCCCCTGCTCCCTGCGCAATCCAGCCACCTACCCCAGCCTCCCTCTACCTCTCCCTAACTCCACACCGCCGTTCCTACCCCCAGCCAAGGTCTACACCCCTTGCTTTTGCTCCCTGGGCTGTGCCGTCCCCAACCTCCCTCCGCCTTTCCGCGGCACCAGACCGCCTCTCCCTCCCCCAGCCAACTTTTGCACCCCCTGTTCCTGCCCCTTGTGCCCTCCAACACCCTACCCCAACCCCCCCCAGTCTCCCCCTTCTCCAACACCCTCCATATTTCCTCCCCCCTGGGGCTCGCCCATCCGCAGTTATCACCCTTCATCGATTCCCCACTTCCCTCTGTCCCCTGTTTCCCGGCCCCGCATCCTATTCTGCATTTACCACAGCGCCTCCTTTCGGTGCCCTCTCTGCCCTCCCACGTTCTCACCCCCCGCCTCCCAACCTTCTCATTACCCGCTACCAGGCTCACGCCAACTCGACTACCCACTACCCTTTGCCCCTTCCTCTCTGTTCCCCACCCTTCCTTTCCCACTTGGCTCCACCTGCCCACCCCCACCTCCCGTGGAATTCTGCCCTGCCCTCCCCACCTCTGGCCCACCACCTGTCCCCACACCCTGCTCACCCACCGCTACATCACCCCCGCCCCCCCCACCTCCACTACAGCCCGCCAACACTTCCCCTCTCAACCGGCCCCCAGCCCGCCCCCCCCTTGGGCCCCAATCCCCTCCAACTGTCAGGCCCCCTCTACCCTCTCTTCCACCCACTGCGCACCGCTTTCCCCACCCTTTTCCCCTTTCCCCAAGCTAACCCCCCGCACCCCGGCCTCTGCCAGGGAGTTCCTTCCCCCTTTGACGCCCTCTTGAGCCAACTCCAGCAACTCACACCGCCACCGCCAGGCATGCTGCCTCTGTAACAATGCCCCAGCACCCCGCGAGTGGGGGAAAGGCAGACCCGGGAGCCCCTCGGCGATCTGGGAGGTCCCGCAGCCGAGCCACCCCCTACTCTCCCACTCCCCCCACTTCAACAGTCAGGAAGAAACAACACACACCTGACCAAGCGAAAACACTCACACAATCTGACCCTAGGGGCCAGAAGCGTACCCTTGAAGAGGATGGAACAGAGGAACGCCAAGCCCCACTGGAGGAAATACACGAGGAGGAGCCAGCACGCTCAAAACCGCGCCCTACCCCCGCTGCCCCATCCCAGCCTACCCCCCCTTCAGGTGACAGCGGGGGCGGCACCCATGCATGCTCAGTAGAGAGATCCTCCAACTCACTCGCTACCTCCCATTCGCAAACCAGATTACTTGTGAAAACACTTAATCCTACCCGCACCCCCAAGCACATAGAAGCGGGAGAGGGCAGAGCCAGGGGGGAACTTGCAGCTGACACTGCACGGGAAGGGGTAAGTGAGTTTGTGTGTGAAGGAGCAGCAGAGGCTGCAGAGGATGGGGCAGCAAAGGCTGCACGGGAAGGGGCAATGGGGGTTGTGGGGGAAGGGGCAGCAGAGGCTGCAGAGGAAAGGGCAGCAGAGGCTGCAAGGGAAGGGGCAGCAGCGGCTGCACGGGAAAGGGCGGCAGGGGCTGCACGGGAAGGGGCGGCAGGGACCGTGACTCTGGCCAGGCAAAGGGCAGAGGCCATGGAGACAGGTTTTGCAGGAGTAGGGGCCACGGAACCTGCTGCTGTGTCGGCTGGGGGAACCGCAGCAGAGGAGGCTATAGGGACCGCACCAGGTGAGGCCGCACAGACCACAGCAGGTGTGGCTGCAGGGATCACAACGGGTGAGGCTGCAGGAGGGACCATGGCAGGTGAGGCCGCAGGGAGCGCAGTAGGTGAGGCTGCAGGGAGCGCAGCAGGTGAGGCTGTAGGGGGCGCAGCAGGTGAGGCTGCAGAGAGCGCAGCAGGTGAGGCCGCAGGGAGCGCAGCAAGCGAGGCTGCAGGGAGCGCAGCAGGCGAGGCTGCAGGGAGCGCAGCAGGCGGGACTGCAGGGGCCGCAGCAGGTGAGGCTGCGGCGGACGCAGCAGGTGAGGCTGCGAGGGCTGCATCATGTAAGGTTGGGCAGACTCTAGCAGGTGAGGCTGCACAGTCTACAGCTGGTGAGGTCGCAGGGACTGCAACAGGTGAGGCCGCAGGGACTGCAGCAGGTGAGGCGGTAGGGACCACAGCGGATGAGGCTGCAGGCGGGACCAGGGCAGGTGAGGCCGCAGGGAGCGCAGCAGGTGAGGCTGAAATAGCCGCAGCCGGTGAGGCTGCAGAGGCCGCAGCATGTGAGGTTGAGCAGATTCTAGCAGGTGAGGCTGCACAGACTGCAGCAGGTGAGGCCGCAGGGACTGCAGCGGGTGAGGCTGCAGGGACTGCAGCACGTGAGGCTGCAGGGACCGCGGCAGGCAAGGCTGCAGGGATCGCGGCTGGTGAGGCTGAGCAGATTACGGTAGGCGAGGTTTTACAGACTGCAGCAGTCGAGGCTGCAAGGACTGCAGCAGGAGCGACAGAGGCCACAGTGGGGGCTGGTATAGGGGGAGGTGCTACGGGTGCAGCGGGGAAGGGGGTAACGGGGACTGGTGCGAGGGAGAGTGCCGCCCCGGCTGTAGCAAGAGAGGGTACGGCAGGGGCTAGAGTGGGAGAGGGGACAGCAGTGGCCTCAAAGGCAGAAGGTGAGGCTGCAGCTGAAGCAGCAGGGAGGGCCATAGCACGGCCAGTAGGGGCGGCAGGGGCCGCAGCAAACACGGGGAAACACACAGCAGGGCCGGCAGAGACTGCAAAAGGGGCTAGCAGTAAAGCGGCAGCAGGCGGGGTGGGCTCGGGGGACATAGGGGCAACAGGGGAAGGAGAGGGGAGTGTGGTCCCGACCGGGGTGGGCACTGAAGAGGGGGATGTGATAGCGATAGAGGAGGATGAGGGAGAGGATGTGATGCACATTGACGGGCCACTGGCCCAATACCTCACGCTTGACGGTGAGGCCGACCCGGCCCAGGGCGCCGCGCCTCCAGGTTCGGCCTTGGGGGCGGGGCAGGGGCGGGAGCAGCAGAGAGCGGACGGAGGTACAGGAGGGGCAGCGGGATTGGGAGGGGAGGGCCAGGGAGTGAGAGAGGCAGCAGGGGATGGAGCAGGGGGGTCGGGAGGTTTGGGGGAGGGTAGAGAGGGGGAGGGGAGAGGACAGGTGGATGGAGGAGAGGAGAGGGGCAGAGAGACGATCGGAGAGGGGGCACCAAGGGACCAGACAGGGCAGCAGCCAGCGCAACAGCAGGGACCAGTCGGACGCACAGGCCGTGTAGGCACCGCCTCCCGCATTCCAGACCCCACCTGCCGCGACGTTGGCCAGGGTCTGATGGTTCTTGTGGATGTCTCCATAGCGGATCCACAGCGGGAGGGGAACGTGCAGCTGAGACGGGCGACCCCCACACAGATTGGAGTGGCAGCAGCTAGGCGGGTGCAGGAGAAGCTGCGTCACTGGGGGCCGCACTTAGAGGGGCTGCAGCCGGCACCACACTTTTACGCGTGCGTGGCGGAGACCTTTGGCCTTCTGAGTGAGCCGCTGCGTCAGTTTCTGGGGCTCTGCGCAAAGAGGATAGCACAGCGGAGGAGGGATAGAGGTGGGGGGGATGACGGATCGGCACGGATATTTGAGGCAGGACTCACTACACGCCTCTCCGTTGCACTGCAGCGCGCGCAGGCTCAATGCATGATCCAGCATGCGGTGCGGCAGTTAGGGAGGTCCGACGACGGGTGGATGCCCGCACCAGTCCCACTGGGTGCGGGGCAGGGAACTTGGCACCACGTCACAGGGTGCTTCGAGAGTGTGGCTGATATGCAGTATATATATGATGCATATGTGTAAAAAACAATAGTGGCTGTGCTTGAAACGCTGTGCCCGTGCGGTCGTGCGGGTTGCTGCCGTGTTTGGTCCTTTGGTGCTTCCTCCTCCTTAGTCTCTCTCTCTCTCTCCTCTTCTCTTCCCACCTCCCTCTTTCTGTTCCCTTCTTCTATCCTTCCCTTCTCTTCCTACCACCCTCTTCCTTTCCCTACCACTTCTTCTTACTCCTTCATCTTTCCTTCCTTTCCTTTCTTTCCCCCTTTTCCTACAAAATATATATATCGTCCTCATAGCGCTTAGGCTATGTCGAAATTTCCTTGTCTTGGAAAAACCATTATATTCGGCTTGTATATGCTCTTCCCTTATTAATGAATAACTGCTCTCGCCCACCGGCGCTTAGCTTCGGAGTTCTGATGGGATCCGGCGTAGTAGCCGAGGTATGATCGTACCACGTCAACCCCGTGCCCCGACCGGTACACACCCCTTGCCCGGGTCCCCCCTTCACAGTCACACCCCCTGCCCCCTCATGCCATCCGCTCCCCCCGCCCCTACCCTCCGCGTGCCCGCTCCCTTGCCGCCTCTTTTGACCCTCCCTGCCCCCCTCGCCGTTTCCCACCGCCCGCCATTCGCTCCTCCCCGCCCGTGCGCTCCCCTCGTTTACCTTCTCCTCCCCCCTCCCCTCCTCTGCTGCACGCCTCTTCCTTCCCCTCGCCGACCCACTCCACTCCCTGCCCCTCCTCAATCCGCACCCTGCCCCTCGTATCTCGCCCCCCTATGCTTGGTTTCTCCCCTCCCTGCCCCTCGCCGCCTTTCTCCGCCCCCCACCTCCCCCCTCTCCCTGCCCCCCCCACTCTCCCACCCCTTGCCCTTGGCTTCCTACCTCCCTGCCCCACCTTTCCCCCCTCTGTGTGCTCAGCTTCTCCCCTCCCTGCCCCTCCCTCCTCCCCGCCCTGCCCCTCGTTTTCCGCCCCCCCCACGCCCGGTTTCTCCCCTCCCCGCGCCTCCCTTTCTTTCTCCGTGCCTCTCCTCTGCTCCCTCCCTGCCCCCGCCTGCCCATGCCCCTGTCTTTGGCTTCTCCCCTCCCTGCCCCACGTTTCTTCCCTCCCTGCCCACCCCTCTGCCCCTCCCTTGTTTTCCCCTCACCCATTGCTTCTCTCCCTCCCTGCCCTTGATTTCCCGCACCCCTGCCCTTGTTTCCTACCATCCATGCCCCTCGTTTCCCCCCCTTTGTACGTTCAGCCTCTTCCCTCCCTGCCCCTCCCTTCCTCCCCCCCTGCCCTTTGCTCTCCCCTCGTTACGCTCCCTTCTCCCCATCCCTGCTGCCCTCTTACCACCATCAGCCCATCCCCACCACCAGCCCCCCTCCCACCCTTCTCTCCCCCCCTCCCTTTCCCTCTCTCTCTCTTTCTCACACACACACACGCACACTCCCCTCCCCCACCCCCCCACCCACATCCTCCCATTCTGCCCCTCCCTGCCCCTTTCCCACCCCCTCGCACGCCCCTCACCTCCCACCTCCGTGCAACTGGTTTCCCCCCTATGGTGCCTCCCTTGCATCGCTCGCCCCTCTGCTCACCCTCTGCCCGCCCCTTTTCCGTGCCCTCAGCTGGCCCAGCCCCTGCCCGTTGCTGCCCCTCCCCTTGCCCCCTCAACTCCCCTGCCCCCCGTACACCCCAGTCCCATCCAACCGCCCCCACCCTCCCCCGGCTGCCCGTTTCCGCTCTCCACCCCCGCGACCGTGCGCGGCTTCCAACCGCCCAACGGTGGTGCGCACGGGGCGTTTCTTCGCACGGGCAAGCCTCCCCGGGGGCCCCCCACCCCGCTGGGTCGTTGTTCGGGCAAAGAAACGAAAATAAAAAAATCGGACGCGCTGAAATCGTCCTTTCTTTTTCCCGCTTGCCCCTCCCCCGGCACGTGCCGAGCAAGGGGCATAAATGGGTACAACACGAGGACTTCCCGGGAGGTCACCCAGCCCAGTACTGCTCTCGCCCACCAGCGCTTAGCTTCGGAGTTCTGATGGGATCCGGCGTAGTAGCCGAGGTATGATCGTACCACGTCAACCCCGTGCCCCGACCGGTACACACCCCTTGCCCGGGTCCCCCCTTCACAGTCACACCCCCTGCCCCCTCATGCCATCCGCTCCCCCCGCCCCTACCCTCCGCGTGCCCGCTCCCTTGCCGCCTCTTTTGACCCTCCCTGCCCCCCTCGCCGTTTCCCACCGCCCGCCATTCGCTCCTCCCCGCCCGTGCGCTCCCCTCGTTTACCTTCTCCTCCCCCCTCCCCTCCTCTGCTGCACGCCTCTTCCTTCCCCTCGCCGACCCACTCCACTCCCTGCCCCTCCTCAATCCGCACCCTGCCCCTCGTATCTCGCCCCCCTATGCTTGGTTTCTCCCCTCCCTGCCCCTCGCCGCCTTTCTCCGCCCCCCACCTCCCCCCTCTCCCTGCCCCCCCCACTCTCCCACCCTTGCCCTTGGCTTCCTACCTCCCTGCCCCACCTTTCCCCCCTCTGTGTGCTCAGCTTCTCCCCTCCCTGCCCCTCCCTCCTCCCCGCCCTGCCCCTCGTTTTCCGCCCCCCCCACGCCCGGTTTCTCCCCTCCCCGCGCCTCCCTTTCTTTCTCCGTGCCTCTCCTCTGCTCCCTCCCTGCCCCCGCCTGCCCATGCCCCTGTCTTTAGCTTCTCCCCTCCCTGCCCCACGTTTCTTCCCTCCCTGCCCACCCCCTCTGCCCCTCCCTTGTTTTCCCCTCACCCATTGCTTCTCCCCTCCCTGCCCTTGATTTCCCGCACCCCTGCCCTTGTTTCCTACCATCCATGCCCCTCGTTTCCCCCCCTTTGTACGTTCAGCCTCTTCCCTCCCTGCCCCTCCCTTCCTCCCCCCCTGCCCTTTGCTCTCCCCTCGTTACGCTCCCTTCTCCCCATCCCTGCTGCCCTCTTACCACCATCAGCCCATCCCCACCACCAGCCCCCCTCCCACCCTTCTCTCCCCCCCTCCCTTTCCCTCTCTCTCTTTCTCACACACACACACGCACACTCCCCTCCCCCACCCCCCCACCCACATCCTCCCATTCTGCCCCTCTCTGCCCCTTTCCCACCCCCTCGCACGCCCCTCACCTCCCACCTCCGTGCAACTGGTTTCCCCCCTATGGTGCCTCCCTTGCATCGCTCGCCCCTCTGCTCACCCTCTGCCCGCCCCTTTTCCGTGCCCTCAGCTGGCCCAGCCCCTGCCCGTTGCTGCCCCTCCCCTTGCCCCCTCAACTCCCCTGCCCCCCGTACACCCCAGTCCCATCCAACCGCCCCCACCCTCCCCCGGCTGCCCGTTTCCGCTCTCCACCCCCGCGACCGTGCGCGGCTTCCAACCGCCCAACGGTGGTGCGCACGGGGCGTTTCTTCGCACGGGCAAGCCTCCCCGGGGGCCCCCCACCCCGCTGGGTCGTTGTTCGGGCAAAGAAACGAAAATAAAAAAATCGGACGCGCTGAAATCGTCCTTTCTTTTTCCCGCTTGCCCCTCCCCCGGCACGTGCCGAGCAAGGGGCATAAATGGGTACAACACGAGGACTTCCCGGGAGGTCACCCAGCCCAGTACTGCTCTCGCCCACCGGCGCTCTTACCTTGACCTAGCTTACCTAGCCATGGCTGCCTACTAAGGAGCCTCCTAAACCTACTATTTCGAGTTGCTTAAGGACAAAGTGATTGTGATAGTTGTTTATGTTATAGTTATAAGCGTTTCCAACGGTTAGTTTTTTAGTTTCGACTGTCGAGTTCGACGGGACGGGGGTCGCGAGTTTCGCGCGCGACCCTCAGGAGTCTCGGAAACGGAACTCGCGGGGTGTTACGGAACCGTTTGTTCGACCCCGCCATCGCGGGATCGCTGCGGACGCGCTGCAGCCGGTGTAACGGGAGGTGGGGCGCTGACGCGAAGTTCGCCCGCGGAGTGTAACAGCGCGCGCGACTCACAACCACAACTCCGCCAGACACGGTGTTCCCGCCCATCCCCTCTCTCGACACTCTCCCTTATCCCCCCGCTCTTTTCTGCTCACGGCTTTTCTATTCGAAGCGATTAGCTGCTACCGAGTTTTTTCCCGCGGTTTCCCTCTCTCGAAGTCACTGAGCTTAGCTTCCGCCCGTAGTTAGCACTCTTCCTTCCCTTTCGGTGCGCCCTTCTTTATCGTAACCCTAATTCGAAGAGCCGCGCGTTTCCAAGCACGCTTTCTCGTCGCCTATCATGTTTAGTCATGCACTCGTTTTCCCCGCCTGTTCAATCTAGCCGCGACGTAGACGGAACCGCGCACGGGGCGCTTACCGCCAGGGAAAGGCAGCGCGGAGGGAGGCGAAATTGCTACGTTCGTAGCGATTAAGCAGCCCTCCCCTTGCGCGCCTCCCGAAGCGCGTTTTCTGCCTAGAGCGTTTTAGCCGCCCACGTTTGGCACACAAGCCGCCCCACTCCCCTTTTGCTCACTCCCACCCTGCCGTGCCTCGTCGCGCACTCGTGCATGCCACCCACACGTCGTAATTTTACCCCGTCGCCACCCACATAGTCACCTCCCTGCTCACACCGCCCCTTTCCCCCTCACACGCGCGCTTTAGCCACCCCGCCACCTAACCTCTTTCCCTAACGGCGCTTAGCTAGCAGAGGCCGCCCTGTTTCTGGAAACCGTAGGAAATAAGAGGAAACAACTTCAAGGAAAAAAGAAAAGAAAAAGAAATTCATATAAATCCGAAAAAACCAGGAAAAATCAGAAAGGCAGCTTACACCTTGTTCTCCCAACCCTCCAGGGCCCCACCCAGTCCGCCACCCCCCCATTCTGTTTCATCATACTACACCACACCCTCCCCTTTTGCCCACCAGCATTACCGCCCCTCTCCCCTTATCCCCCACCACGCCCCCAAGCAGGCCTTTCTCCCCCCAGCCTCCCGTCTCCCTGCCCTTAGTACCGCCGCGCTCTGCCCGTGCGTCACCCTTGCCCACTTCATACCACCTCCCCCTTCTCCCCCCCCCCCGGCTTCTCCCTATCATCACCCGCATGTTCCCCCACTCCCCTGTCCACAACGTCCCTCCACCCCCCTTCCTGCTTTCCCCACTCCCACTCTGCCCCCCACACCTCTACGAGCCGTACTTCCCCCTCCAGCCTCCCTTTCCCCCCCCCAGCTACTTCCGCATCCAGCGTGGGCTGCACCTCTGCATCCCGCCCTGCCAGGCCCTTCGGTGACCCAACTGCCGCCACCTGGCACCACGCCGCCTTTCCCACCCCCATCCAATCTCTACACCCCCTGCCCCTGCTCCCTGCGCAATCCAGCCACCTACCCCAGCCTCCCTCTACCTCTCCCTAACTCCACACCGCCGTTCCTACCCCCAGCCAAGGTCTACACCCCTTGCTTTTGCTCCCTGGGCTGTGCCGTCCCCAACCTCCCTCCGCCTTTCCGCGGCACCAGACCGCCTCTCCCTCCCCCAGCCAACTTTTGCACCCCCTGTTCCTGCCCCTTGTGCCCTCCAACACCCTACCTCAACCCCCCCCAGTCTCCCCCTTCTCCAACACCCTCCATATTTCCTCCCCCCTGGGGCTCGCCCATCCGCAGCTATCACCCTTCATCGATTCCCCAATTCCCTCTGTCCCCTGTTTCCCGGCCCCGCATCCTATCCTGCATTTACCACAGCACCTCCTTTCGGTGCCCTCTCTGCCCTCCCACGTTCTCACCCCCCGCCTCCCAACCTTCTCATTACCCGCTACCAGGCTCACGCCAACTCGACTACCCACTACCCTTTGCCCCTTCCTCTCTGTTCCCCACCCTTCCTTTCCCACCTGGCTCCACCTGCCCACCCCCACCTCCCGTGGAATTCTGCCCTGCCCTCCCCACCTCTGGCCCACCACCTGTCCCCACACCCTGCTCACCCACCGCTACACCACCCCCGCCCCCCCACCTCCACTACAGCCCGCCAACACTTCCCCTCTCAATCGGCCCCCAGCCCGCCCCCCCCTTGGGCCCCAATCCCCTCCAACTGTCAGGCCCCCTCTACCCTCTCTTCCACCCACTGCGCACCGCTTTCCCCACCCTTTTCCCCTTTCCCCAAGCTAACCCCCCGCACCCCGGCCTCTGCCAGGGAGTTCCTTCCCCCTTTGACGCCCTCTTGAGCCAACCCCAGCAACTCACACCGCCACCGCCAGGCATGCTGCCTCTGTAACAATGCCCCAGCACCCCGCGAGTGGGGGAAAGGCAGGCCCGGGAGCCCCTCGGCGATCTGGGAGGTCCCGCAGCCGAGCCACCCCCTACTCTCCCACTCCCCCCACTTCAACAGTCAGGAAGAAACAACACACACCTGACCAAGCGAAAACACTCACACAATCTGACCCTAGGGGCCAGAAGCGTACCTTTGAAGAGGATGGAACAGAGGAACGCCAAGCCCCACTGGAGGAAATACACGAGGAGGAGCCAGCACGCTCAAAACCGCGCCCTACCCCCGCTGCCCCATCCCAGTCTACCCCCCCTTCAGGTGACAGCGGGGGCGGCACCCATGCATGCTCAGTAGAGAGATCCTCCAACTCACTCGCTACCTCCCATTCGCAAACCAGATTACTTGTGAAAACACTTAATCCTACCCGCACCCCCAAGCACATAGAAGCGGGAGAGGGCAGAGCCAGGGGGGAACTTGCAGCTGACACTGCACGGGAAGGGGTAAGTGAGTTTGTGTGTGAAGGAGCAGCAGAGGCTACAGAGGATGGGGCAGCAAAGGCTGCACGGGAAGGGGCAATGGGGGTTGTGGGGGAAGGGGCAGCAGAGGCTGCAGAGGAAAGGGCAGCAGAGGCTGCAAGGGAAGGGGCAGCAGCGGCTGCACGGGAAAGGGCGGCAGGGGCTGCACGGGAAGGGGCGGCAGGGACCGTGACTCTGGCCAGGCAAAGGGCAGAGGCCATGGAGACAGGTTTTGCAGGAGTAGGGGCCACGGAACCTGCTGCTGTGTCGGCTGGGGGAACCGCAGCAGAGGAGGCTATAGGGACCGCACCAGGTGAGGCCGCACAGACCACAGCAGGTGTGGCTGCAGGGATCACAACGGGTGAGGCTGCAGGAGGGACCATGGCAGGTGAGGCCGCAGGGAGCGCAGTAGGTGAGGCTGCGGGGAGCGCAGCAGGTGAGGCTGTAGGGGGCGCAGCAGGTGAGGCTGCAGAGAGCGCAGCAGGTGAGGCCGCAGGGAGCGCAGCAAGCGAGGCTGCAGGGAGCGCAGCAGGCGAGGCTGCAGGGAGCGCAGCAGGCGGGACTGCAGGGGCCACAGCAGGTGAGGCTGCGGCGGACGCAGCAGGTGAGGCTGCGAGGGCTGCATCATGTAAGGTTGGGCAGACTCTAGCAGGTGAGGCTGCACAGTCTACAGCTGGTGAGGTCGCATGGACTGCAACAGGTGAGGCCGCAGGGACTGCAGCAGGTGAGGCGGCAGGGACCACAGCGGATGAGGCTGCAGGCGGGACCATGGCAGGTGAGGCCGCAGGGAGCGCAGCAGGTGAGGCTGAAATAGCCGCAGCAGGTGAGGCTGCAGAGGCCGCAGCATGTGAGGTTGAGCAGATTCTAGCAGGTGAGGCTGCACAGACTGCAGCAGGTGAGGCCGCAGGGACTGCAGCGGGTGAGGCTGCAGGGACTGCAGCACGTGAGGCTGCAGGGACTGCAGCACGTGAGGCTACAGGGATCGCGGCTGGTGAGGCTGAGCAGATTACGGTAGGCGAGGTTTTACAGACTGCAGCAGTCGAGGCTGCAAGGACTGCAGCAGGAGCGACAGAGGCCACAGCGGGGGCTGGTATAGGGGGAGGTGCTACGGGTGCAGCGGGGAAGGGGGTAACGGGGACTGGTGCGAGGGAGAGTGCCGCCCCGGCTGTAGCAAGAGAGGGTACGGCAGGGGCCTCAAAGGCAGAAGGTGAGGCTGCAGCTGAAGCAGCAGGGAGGGCCATAGCACGGCCAGTAGGGGCGGCAGGGGCCGCAGCAAACTCGGGGAAACACACAGCAGGGCCGGCAGGGCCGGCAGAGACTGCAAAATGGGCTAGCAGTAAAGCGGCAGCAGGCGGGGTGGGCTTGGGGGACATAGGGGCAACAGGGGAAGGAGAGGGGAGGGTGGTCCCGACCGGGGTGGGCACTGAAGAGGGGGATGTGATAGCGATAGAGGAGGATGAGGGAGAGGATGTGATGCACATTGACGGGCCACTGGCCCAATACCTCACGCTTGACGGTGAGGCCGACCCGGCCCCCCTGCAGCCTCACGTCGAGGTTCCCCCTCTACCCCCCATGCCCGTCCCCATGCTAGCAGAAGGACCGATGGAGGGGCTGGGGGAGACCTTGAGGACAGAGCCGCGCGAGGGAGCCCCCATCCTCACCTCCCGTCCTCCAGCCCACCCGCCCCCAGGAGCACCACTTCCCCACCCCCACCCTCAGGTCCCGGTAGTGTCCAGGGGGGCAGCCAAGGCCCTGGCCTTCTTGGCGGAGCCGTGCTCCCCGACCCCCACGCTGCTCCATGGCCAGCCCCCCTCTCCGTCCCCAACGCCTGACCCCACGGTTGCAGGCGGTCCACCGGGAGAGCACGCGGGTGCGACAAGAGCAGAGTCACCCGAGGGCACCCCTTCTCTCACCTCTCACCCCTCCCCGCCCCTTCCCTCACTCCTTCCTTCACCCCCAAGGGCAGCACACCTCTGCCCCCACCCTCAGGGGCTCCTTAGAGCACCACGTGGAGCAGCCAGGGCTCTGGTCTTCCTAGAGGAGCCATGCTCCCCGACTCCTACCAACACCCAGCCACCCCTTACCGGCCCACTACCCCCTCCTCCACCAGGCCCCCCCCCACCCGGTAGTACACACATCTCGGAGGTTGAAGCATCTCTGCGGCCAAATCCCTCTCCCACACGCTACAGGCACCCAAACCACCCGAGTCGCCGCACAGCCCCAACACGCCCACCCAACAGGCTGCCCTCCCCACACCACCCCCCCCAGGCAGCCGAGACCCACCCGCAAGGGCTTGCGCCCCAGGCTCATGGGAGCGGCGGCACCCGGGTAGAGGGGCCCACAGGAGAGGCCACCACAGAGCCCACACAAATCTCTCTCCCCCCACCGTTTGTACCTCGCTCTAACCTCCACACTGGCCCAGCCCCTCGACCCCCACCTCCAACCCCCTCTCCCGGCCGGGTTCCCCACGAGTGGCCCCGTTGGGCAGCCATCACCCCCCACACACAGCTTGCCCGATCTGTTCCCACGGAGGGGGATGTTTCGAGGAGAGTGGGGATGCACACAGAGCACCCCCTGCCTGGCGAACCACCCATCCTCCCTCCACCCACCCCTTTGGCCCCACAGCCCCCCCTTCCTTCACAAACAGGCGCGGACAACCAGGTTGGCCGCCGGCGGAAGAACAGGGGCAGAGGAGGCAGAGGGTCAGCCCACGTACTCCCCCCTCCCTCCCTCCCCCACCAAGAGCCCCTCCCCACCTCACATCCCGTTGAACAATTACCAGGCCCTACCTCTACAGCCCGACCACCAAACCTACACTCCCGCCCCGCTCCTGCACCTCCACAGGGCCATGGGAGCGGACCAGCCCACTCACCCCCATTCTGCCCCTCCCGTGCTGTGTCCCCCTCCCAGGTGGCGGCGGCCGCGATCGCTACTGGGAGGGGGGCCGTCGGGTTGAGGGATGCGCCCATGGCAGACGCCACCGACTCCCCCTCCCATCCCTCCCACCCCTTCCATGTCGACGACCCCCTACCGCAACCCATGGTGATTGGGGAGGGCCAAGGGGGCCTTCTAGGGCAGGGTCCACACCCGAGCTCCGCTCAGCCAGCACGCCCCACTCCACCCTCTACCCTGCCAGCCCTCCTACTCTCACCTACAGGCAGGCAGGTCTTCGAGACCCCAGAGGAGGTGAGGGCTGGCATTTCAGATTTGCTGGCGATACACCGCCTGAGCAGCTCTCCGGCTGCCCCCACCCTTCCAGTCCCACAGGACCGGACCCGGACGTATGCGGAGGTCACCCGGTCTGTCCCTTCTTTTATCCCCCCCGCCACTCAGCCAGGCGCGTCACTCCCGACCCCAATGGAGACGGACCGGGGTCTGAGGCCGTGTCACTCGCACCTAGACGGGGTGGCGCCTCCCCCCGTTCAGCCCGTGGCGCAGGAGGTCACCAGCAGTAGGGATGAGGCATCCGCCCCTACCGAGACCCCTCCGCCTGGGGTAGCAGAGCCGTCACTTGAACCGCACCCCGCCGAGGGGCAGGAGCACACCACGGCACACACTTCAGGCTCACCTCCACGTCCCCCCTCCCCAGCTTCAACACCGGTACCGGCACGAGGCCCGGCCCTATCCTGTGCGACACCACCTCTATCTTCGCTGACACCCCCCCCGCGCGGGGCTGGTGAGTCGTCTCCTCCCCTCATCCCAGGCGATCCTGTCGGAGCTCAGGCCGCCCACGGGGTCCCCTCTACAGCCAGTTCCGACGCCACGGCCCCGATTGACCCCGCCGACACGGCGACATCACCCGACCAGGTCGTGAGTTGCCCCACCTGCAGGAGCTCTCTCGCGAACCGACGCGCGCTCCAGCACCACATTCCCTTCTGCCATCCTGCGGACGCGGCTCGCAGGGCGCAGGCTGCCCATGATACCGCCTCGATCATCCCTTCCCTCTCACAGCCCCGTGCGACCGGGATGCAGTTCACCGACGCACAGTGGCAGACGCTCGACTCGGTGGACTGGACAGAGTACTTCTCGCCCGAGCGTATCCATACACGCCCTCTCCGACGTGTCCCGGAGAGGGTCCGCGGAGGATATCTTGACGTCCTCAGTGCGATCCTAGTCCGCATTGCCCAGGACCCGGAGGCTGCTGGCCCTACCTTCCTCCTCGCTGCAGCGCCGACTCTTTTCCTTGTTCCAGCGACGCCACCCGACCGCTCGCACACGGCTGCCATTGCAACGCGCATCTCTCGCTTTGGTCGAGGTGAGTGGGCTGAGCTAGTCTCAGATGCACTAGGCCGTCGCACACCCCTTCCTCGCCGCACAGGTCACCGGTCACGCACCGCCACCGATCCCTCTGCAGCAGATGAGCGCCGCATTGCACGTTGCCTTCGTCTGGCAGCGTGCAATGAGACCTCACGGGCGTGCGCGGCTCTCGAGTCCGCGGAGGCAGCCCCAGATACACAGGGGACGATACAGCGCCTGCAGTCGAAGCACCCCAACGCGGAGAGGCCGACCCCAGCTTGGCTGTCTGGCTTCCAGGGGTCCCCTCTCGTGCTCTCGGTGGATCACTTACGCCGCGCGATTTTCACAGCTCCGCGGGGCTCTTCGGGAGGACCGTCCGGTTGGGTCGCTGAGCACCTGCGAGACACTTTCCTAGCTTTCCCTCAGAGTCTCCATTTCCTCCTGGCCGTGTACCAGCAGTGGCTCCGAGGCCGTTGCGCTCCAGCTGCGCGCTCCTTGCTAGCGTCCTCCACCCTCGTGGCTCTGGCGAAGTCGAACATGGATGTTCGGCCGATTGCCATCGGCGAGGTTTTGGTCCGCATTCTTTCTCGGGCAGTTTGTCTCCAGCTACGTGACCAGATGGCGAGGGTCTTCTTGGCATCACAGCAGTTTGGGGTGGGGGTTACGTGCGGGACAGAGGTCGTAGTTAGAGGCGTCCGCCGCGCTCTGGCTGACCACCCAGACTGGGTGGTCCTGCAGCTAGACGTGGCGAATGCCTTTAACTCTTTCCACCGAGACAGGATGTTTCAGGCGCTGCAGGCCAGTCCGGAGTTTCAGTGTCTGATCCCCTTCATCGGCCTCTTCTACGGGACGCCCTCGGATCTCCACTACAGGTCAGGCACGGGAGTGGTCACGATGCACTCGGAGCGGGGCACTCGCCAGGGAGACCCTCTCAGCCCCTTCTTGTACGCTCTGACACAGCGTCTTGCTTTGGAGCCGGTTCTGGCGGAGGGGGATGTCCAGCTCTGGTCGTACGCCGATGACACGTACGTGCTAGGTCCCCCAGACAGGGTGCTGCACCATTTTGCCGAGATCGTGAGGCGCTTGGGCGAGATGGGCCTTGCAGCCCAGCCGCACAAGTGCCTCGTCTACCAGACAGAGTCCTTTCTGTCCAGGGATCTGGAGGCTTTCACGGGCCTAGGGATCGAGGTCGCACGCCGAGGGCTCACCGTGACAGGCGTACCGGTAGGCACCGTTTCGTTCGTGGAGCAGAGTCTCCCGGATCGTCTCGAGAGGATGGGGCGGGTGCTACCTTGGCTTCCGAGGTTGCGCCAGCCCCAGACAGCTGCCCGCCTTCTTTCGGCGTGTGTCAGCACTCGTCCGCAGTACCTGTCGAGGACCGTCCCTCCTTCGCCCGCAGTGATCTCCAGTTTTACACGGTGGGACGCACGCCTGGGAGAGACTTTTCAGCAGCTTTTAGCTTCAGGGACCTGGGCTTGTCGCGAGGACGTCCGAGAGGCCGCCCTAGACCAGATCTTCCTCCCCATCCGTCTCGGGGGTTTCGGCATTCGTCGCATGGCGCGCATTGCCCCGGTGAGTTTCGTGTGCTCCTGGGTGCAGTGTGCACCCATTCTCTGTTCTCTCCCTGCGTGTGGCGAGGTGTTTCGGCAGAGCTTCGCTTCAGGTGAGCCAGAGCAGATCGACCGGGCTCTGCAGACGGCGCTAGAGGGTCTCCCTCCTGACGTTCTCTCTCTCCTTCCCCCCTGGCCCTCTTGCGCTTCTGCCTCCCCCGATTCCCTTTTTGCAGGAGCGAGCCGTCTTCTGGAGGCGCATGCCTTGGAGGCCGTGCGTGCCCGTCACACCTCTCCCTTGCACCTTGCCCGTTTGACTTCCCTTCAGGGCGGAGGTGCAGGAGCGTGGTTGACGTCGGTGCCGTACGCCGACCCACTGCGCATCCCGGAGGCGCTGTGGCAGGCGGCTTCATCTTCTCGTCTTGGTCTCCCTATCCCCCAGTTAGCCCTTGCAGGTCAGTGCTCCTGCGGACAGGCGATTGACGACATGACGGTGCCTCATCACGCGGTTCGGTGCCCGCGTTACGGGGTCGCCACTACCATCCACGACACGGTGAAGTACATGCTTCGAGACTTTGCGGTCGAGGCGGGCTTCGCGGTAAAGGTGGAGGACTCTACGCTGTTCACACAGTTGGAGGCGGCTCGAGCGAGACTACTGGGACAGCCAGTGGTGGGAGAGGGGACACGGGCTGAGGGACCGGGGGAGCGGAGAGGCGAGGCGGGACAGCCGGGTGGCGGGGGACAGTGGGGACGGCACCAGCTGCGGGGTCAGGTGGAGCGAGGGACAGGTGGGCAGAGGGGACGGCAGGGGGAGCAGACGGGCCAGGACGGGGAGGGGGGACGGCACAGGCAGCAGCAGGAGAGCCAGTGGAGGCCGCGGGCCCAGGGCGCCGCGCCTCCAGGTTCGGCCTCGGGGGCGGGGCAGGGGCGGGAGCAGCAGAGAGCGGACGGAGGTACAGGAGGGGCAGCGGGATTGGGAGGGGAGGGCCAGGGAGTGAGAGAGGCAGCAGGGGATGGAGCAGGGGGGTCGGGAGGTTTGGGGGAGGGTAGGGAGGGGGAGGGGAGAGGACAGGTGGATGGAGGAGAGGAGAGGGGGAGAGAGACGATCGGAGAGGGGGCACCAAGGGACCAGACAGGGCAGCAGCCAGCGCAACAGCAGGGACCAGTCGGACGCACAGGCCGTGTAGGCACCGCCTCCCGCATTCCAGACCTCACCTGCCGCGACGTTGGCCAGGGTCTGATGGTTCTTGTGGATGTCTCCATAGCGGATCCACAGCGGGAGGGGAACGTGCAGCTGAGACGGGCGACCCCCACACAGATTGGAGTGGCAGCAGCTAGGCGGGTGCAGGAGAAGCTGCGTCACTGGGGGCCGCACTTAGAGGGGCTGCAGCCGGCACCACACTTTTACGCGTGCGTGGCGGAGACCTTTGGCCTTCTGAGTGAGCCGCTGCGTCAGTTTCTGGGGCTCTGCGCAAAGAGGATAGCACAGCGGAGGAGGGATAGAGGTGGGGGGGATGACGGATCGGCACGGATATTTGAGGCAGGACTCACTACACGCCTCTCCGTTGCACTGCAGCGCGCGCAGGCTCAATGCATGATCCAGCATGCGGTGCGGCAGTTAGGGAGGTCCGACGACGGGTGGATGCCCGCACCAGTCCCACTGGGTGCGGGGCAGGGAACTTGGCACCACGTCACAGGGTGCTTCGAGAGTGTGGCTGATATGCAGTATATATATGATGCATATGTGTAAAAAACAATAGTGGCTGTGCTTGAAACGCTGTGCCCGTGCGGTCGTGCGGGTTGCTGCCGTGTTTGGTCCTTTGGTGCTTCCTTCTCCTTAGTCTCTCTCTCTCTCTCCTCTTCTCTTCCCACCTCCCTCTTTCTGTTCCCTTCTTCTATCCTTCCCTTCTCTTCCTACCACCCTCTTCCTTTCCCTACCACTTCTTCTTACTCCTTCATCTTTCCTTCCTTTCCTTTCTTTCCCCCTTTTCCTACAAAATATATAAATCGTCCTCATAGCGCTTAGGCTATGTCGAAATTTCCTAGTCTTGGAAAAACCATTATATTCGGCTTGTATTTGCTCTTCCCTTATTAATGAATAACTGCTCTCGCCCACCAGCGCTTAGCTTTGGAGTTCTGATGGGATCCGGCGTAGTAGCCGAGGTATGATCGTACCACGTCAACCCCGTGCCCCGACCGGTACACACCCCTTGCCCGGGTCCCCCCTTCACAGTCACACCCCCTGCCCCCTCATGCCATCCGCTCCCCCCGCCCCTACCCTCCGCGTGCCCGCTCCCTTGCCGCCTCTTTTGACCCTCCCTGCCCCCCTCGCCGTTTCCCACCGCCCGCCATTCGCTCCTCCCCGCCCGTGCGCTCCCCTCGTTTACCTTCTCCTCCCCCCTCCCCTCCTCTGCTGCACGCCTCTTCCTTCCCCTCGCCGACCCACTCCACTCCCTGCCCCTCCTCAATCCGCACCCTGCCCCTCGTATCTCGCCCCCCTATGCTTGGTTTCTCCCCTCCCTGCCCCTCGCCGCCTTTCTCCGCCCCCCACCTCCCCCCTCTCCCTGCCCCCCCACTCTCCCACCCTTGCCCTTGGCTTCCTACCTCCCTGCCCCACCTTTCCCCCCTCTGTGTGCTCAGCTTCTCCCCTCCCTGCCCCTCCCTCCTCCCCGCCCTGCCCCTCGTTTTCCGCCCCCCCACGCCCGGTTTCTCCCCTCCCCGCGCCTCCCTTTCTTTCTCCGTGCCTCTCCTCTGCTCCCTCCCTGCCCCCGCCTGCCCATGCCCCTGTCTTTGGCTTCTCCCCTCCCTGCCCCACGTTTCTTCCCTCCCTGCCCACCCCCTCTGCCCCTCCCTTGTTTTCCCCTCACCCATTGCTTCTCCCCTCCCTGCCCTTGATTTCCCGCACCCCTGCCCTTGTTTCCTACCATCCATGCCCCTCGTTTCCCCCCCTTTGTACGTTCAGCCTCTTCCCTCCCTGCCCCTCCCTTCCTCCCCCCCTGCCCTTTGCTCTCCCCTCGTTACGCTCCCTTCTCCCCATCCCTGCTGCCCTCTTACCACCATCAGCCCATCCCCACCACCAGCCCCCCTCCCACCCTTCTCTCCCCCCCTCCCTTTCCCTCTCTCTCTTTCTCACACACACACACGCACACTCCCCTCCCCCACCCCCCACCCACATCCTCCCATTCTGCCCCTCCCTGCCCCTTTCCCACCCCCTCGCACGCCCCTCACCTCCCACCTCCGTGCAACTGGTTTCCCCCCCCTATGGTGCCTCCCTTGCATCGCTCGCCCCTCTGCTCACCCTCTGCCCGCCCCTTTTCCGTGCCCTCAGCTGGCCCAGCCCCTGCCCGTTGCTGCCCCTCCCCTTGCCCCCTCAACTCCCCTGCCCCCCGTACACCCCAGTCCCATCCAACCGCCCCCACCCTCCCCCGGCTGCCCGTTTCCGCTCTCCACCCCCGCGACCATGTGCGGCTTCCAACCGCCCAACGGTGGTGCGCACGGGGCGTTTCTTCGCACGGGCAAGCCTCCCCGGGGGCCCCCCACCCCGCTGGGTCGTTGTTCGGGCAAAAAAACGAAAATGAAAAAATCGGACGCGCTGAAATCGTCCTTTCTTTTTCCCGCTTGCCCCTCCCCCGGCACGTGCCGAGCAAGGGGCATAAATGGGTACAACACGAGGACTTCCCGGGAGGTCACCCAGCCCAGTACTGCTCTACGCTGTTCACACAGTTGGAGGCGGCTCGAGCGAGACTACTGGGACAGCCAGTGGTGGGAGAGGGGACACGGGCTGAGGGACCGGGGGAGCGGAGAGGCGTGGCGGGACAGCCGGGTGGCGGGGGACAGTGGGGACGGCACCAGCTGCGGGGTCAGGTGGAGCGAGGGACAGGTGGGCAGAGGGGACGGCAGGGGGAGCAGACAGGCCAGGACAGGGAGGGGGGACGGCACAGGCAGCAGCAGGAGAGCCAGTGGAGGCCGCGGGCCCAGGGCGCCGCGCCTCCAGGTTCGGCCTTGGGGGCGGGGCAGGGGCGGGAGCAGCAGAGAGCGGACGGAGGTACAGGAGGGGCAGCGGGATTGGGAGGGGAGGGCCAGGGAGTGAGAGAGGCAGCAGGGGATGGAGCAGGGGGGTCGGGAGGTTTGGGGGAGGGTAGAGAGGGGGAGGGGAGAGGACAGGTGGATGGAGGAGAGGAGAGGGGCAGAGAGACGATCGGAGAGGGGGCACCAAGGGACCAGACAGGGCAGCAGCCAGCGCAACAGCAGGGACCAGTCGGACGCACAGGCCGTGTAGGCACCGCCTCCCGCATTCCAGACCCCACCTGCCGCGACGTTGGCCAGGGTCTGATGGTTCTTGTGGATGTCTCCATAGCGGATCCACAGCGGGAGGGGAACGTGCAGCTGAGACGGGCGACCCCCACACAGATTGGAGTGGCAGCAGCTAGGCGGGTGCAGGAGAAGCTGCGTCACTGGGGGCCGCACTTAGAGGGGCTGCAGCCGGCACCACACTTTTACGCGTGCGTGGCGGAGACCTTTGGCCTTCTGAGTGAGCCGCTGCGTCAGTTTCTGGGGCTCTGCGCAAAGAGGATAGCACAGCGGAGGAGGGATAGAGGTGGGGGGGATGACGGATCGGCACGGATATTTGAGGCAGGACTCACTACACGCCTCTCCGTTGCACTGCAGCGCGCGCAGGCTCAATGCATGATCCAGCATGCGGTGCGGCAGTTAGGGAGGTCCGACGACGGGTGGATGCCCGCACCAGTCCCACTGGGTGCGGGGCAGGGAACTTGGCACCACGTCACAGGGTGCTTCGAGAGTGTGGCTGATATGCAGTATATATATGATGCATATGTGTAAAAAACAATAGTGGCTGTGCTTGAAACGCTGTGCCCGTGCGGTCGTGCGGGTTGCTGCCGTGTTTGGTCCTTTGGTGCTTCCTCCTCCTTAGTCTCTCTCTCTCTCTCCTCTTCTCTTCCCACCTCCCTCTTTCTGTTCCCTTCTTCTATCCTTCCCTTCTCTTCCTACCACCCTCTTCCTTTCCCTACCACTTCTTCTTACTCCTTCATCTTTCCTTCCTTTCCTTTCTTTCCCCCTTTTCCTACAAAATATATATATCGTCCTCATAGCGCTTAGGCTATGTCGAAATTTCCTTGTCTTGGAAAAACCATTATATTCGGCTTGTATATGCTCTTCCCTTATTAATGAATAACTGCTCTCGCCCACCGGCGCTTAGCTTCGGAGTTCTGATGGGATCCGGCGTAGTAGCCGAGGTATGATCGTACCACGTCAACCCCGTGCCCCGACCGGTACACACCCCTTGCCCGGGTCCCCCCTTCACAGTCACACCCCCTGCCCCCTCATGCCATCCGCTCCCCCCGCCCCTACCCTCCGCGTGCCCGCTCCCTTGCCGCCTCTTTTGACCCTCCCTGCCCCCCTCGCCGTTTCCCACCGCCCGCCATTCGCTCCTCCCCGCCCGTGCGCTCCCCTCGTTTACCTTCTCCTCCCCCCTCCCCTCCTCTGCTGCACGCCTCTTCCTTCCCCTCGCCGACCCACTCCACTCCCTGCCCCTCCTCAATCCGCACCCTGCCCCTCGTATCTCGCCCCCCTATGCTTGGTTTCTCCCCTCCCTGCCCCTCGCCGCCTTTCTCCGCCCCCCACCTCCCCCCTCTCCCTGCCCCCCCACTCTCCCACCCTTGCCCTTGGCTTCCTACCTCCCTGCCCCACCTTTCCCCCCTCTGTGTGCTCAGCTTCTCCCCTCCCTGCCCCTCCCTCCTCCCCGCCCTGCCCCTCGTTTTCCGCCCCCCCACGCCCGGTTTCTCCCCTCCCCGCGCCTCCCTTTCTTTCTCCGTGCCTCTCCTCTGCTCCCTCCCTGCCCCCGCCTGCCCATGCCCCTGTCTTTGGCTTCTCCCCTCCCTGCCCCACGTTTCTTCCCTCCCTGCCCACCCCCTCTGCCCCTCCCTTGTTTTCCCCTCACCCATTGCTTCTCCCCTCCCTGCCCTTGATTTCCCGCACCCCTGCCCTTGTTTCCTACCATCCATGCCCCTCGTTTCCCCCCCTTTGTACGTTCAGCCTCTTCCCTCCCTGCCCCTCCCTTCCTCCCCCCCTGCCCTTTGCTCTCCCCTCGTTACGCTCCCTTCTCCCCATCCCTGCTGCCCTCTTACCACCATCAGCCCATCCCCACCACCAGCCCCCCTCCCACCCTTCTCTCCCCCCCTCCCTTTCCCTCTCTCTCTTTCTCACACACACACACGCACACTCCCCTCCCCCACCCCCCACCCACATCCTCCCATTCTGCCCCTCCCTGCCCCTTTCCCACCCCCTCGCACGCCCCTCACCTCCCACCTCCGTGCAACTGGTTTCCCCCCCCTATGGTGCCTCCCTTGCATCGCTCGCCCCTCTGCTCACCCTCTGCCCGCCCCTTTTCCGTGCCCTCAGCTGGCCCAGCCCCTGCCCGTTGCTGCCCCTCCCCTTGCCCCCTCAACTCCCCTGCCCCCCGTACACCCCAGTCCCATCCAACCGCCCCCACCCTCCCCCGGCTGCCCGTTTCCGCTCTCCACCCCCGCGACCGTGTGCGGCTTCCAACCGCCCAACGGTGGTGCGCACGGGGCGTTTCTTCGCACGGGCAAGCCTCCCCGGGGGCCCCCCACCCCGCTGGGTCGTTGTTCGGGCAAAAAAACGAAAATGAAAAAATCGGACGCGCTGAAATCGTCCTTTCTTTTTCCCGCTTGCCCCTCCCCCGGCACGTGCCGAGCAAGGGGCATAAATGGGTACAACACGAGGACTTCCCGGGAGGTCACCCAGCCAGTGGTGGGAGAGGGGACACGGGCTGAGGGACCGGGGGAGCGGAGAGGCGAGGCGGGACAGCCGGGTGGCGGGGGACAGTGGGGACGGCACCAGCTGCGGGGTCAGGTGGAGCGAGGGACAGGTGGGCAGAGGGGACGGCAGGGGGAGCAGACGGGCCAGGACGGGGAGGGGGGACGGCACAGGCAGCAGCAGGAGAGCCAGTGGAGGCCGCGGGCCCAGGGCGCCGCGCCTCCAGGTTCGGCCTCGGGGGCGGGGCAGGGGCGGGAGCAGCAGAGAGCGGACGGAGGTACAGGAGGGGCAGCGGGATTGGGAGGGGAGGGCCAGGGAGTGAGAGAGGCAGCAGGGGATGGAGCAGGGGGGTCGGGAGGTTTGGGGGAGGGTAGGGAGGGGGAGGGGAGAGGACAGGTGGATGGAGGAGAGGAGAGGGGGAGAGAGACGATCGGAGAGGGGGCACCAAGGGACCAGACAGGGCAGCAGCCAGCGCAACAGCAGGGACCAGTCGGACGCACAGGCCGTGTAGGCACCGCCTCCCGCATTCCAGACCTCACCTGCCGCGACGTTGGCCAGGGTCTGATGGTTCTTGTGGATGTCTCCATAGCGGATCCACAGCGGGAGGGGAACGTGCAGCTGAGACGGGCGACCCCCACACAGATTGGAGTGGCAGCAGCTAGGCGGGTGCAGGAGAAGCTGCGTCACTGGGGGCCGCACTTAGAGGGGCTGCAGCCGGCACCACACTTTTACGCGTGCGTGGCGGAGACCTTTGGCCTTCTGAGTGAGCCGCTGCGTCAGTTTCTGGGGCTCTGCGCAAAGAGGATAGCACAGCGGAGGAGGGATAGAGGTGGGGGGGATGACGGATCGGCACGGATATTTGAGGCAGGACTCACTACACGCCTCTCCGTTGCACTGCAGCGCGCGCAGGCTCAATGCATGATCCAGCATGCGGTGCGGCAGTTAGGGAGGTCCGACGACGGGTGGATGCCCGCACCAGTCCCACTGGGTGCGGGGCAGGGAACTTGGCACCACGTCACAGGGTGCTTCGAGAGTGTGGCTGATATGCAGTATATATATGATGCATATGTGTAAAAAACAATAGTGGCTGTGCTTGAAACGCTGTGCCCGTGCGGTCGTGCGGGTTGCTGCCGTGTTTGGTCCTTTGGTGCTTCCTTCTCCTTAGTCTCTCTCTCTCTCTCCTCTTCTCTTCCCACCTCCCTCTTTCTGTTCCCTTCTTCTATCCTTCCCTTCTCTTCCTACCACCCTCTTCCTTTCCCTACCACTTCTTCTTACTCCTTCATCTTTCCTTCCTTTCCTTTCTTTCCCCCTTTTCCTACAAAATATATAAATCGTCCTCATAGCGCTTAGGCTATGTCGAAATTTCCTAGTCTTGGAAAAACCATTATATTCGGCTTGTATTTGCTCTTCCCTTATTAATGAATAACTGCTCTCGCCCACCGGCGCTTAGCTTCGGAGTTCTGATGGGATCCGGCGTAGTAGCCGAGGTATGATCGTACCACGTCAACCCCGTGCCCCGACCGGTACACACCCCTTGCCCGGGTCCCCCCTTCACAGTCACACCCCCTGCCCCCTCATGCCATCCGCTCCCCCCGCCCCTACCCTCCGCGTGCCCGCTCCCTTGCCGCCTCTTTTGACCCTCCCTGCCCCCCTCGCCGTTTCCCACCGCCCGCCATTCGCTCCTCCCCGCCCGTGCGCTCCCCTCGTTTACCTTCTCCTCCCCCCTCCCCTCCTCTGCTGCACGCCTCTTCCTTCCCCTCGCCGACCCACTCCACTCCCTGCCCCTCCTCAATCCGCACCCTGCCCCTCGTATCTCGCCCCCCTATGCTTGGTTTCTCCCCTCCCTGCCCCTCGCCGCCTTTCTCCGCCCCCCACCTCCCCCCTCTCCCTGCCCCCCCACTCTCCCACCCTTGCCCTTGGCTTCCTACCTCCCTGCCCCACCTTTCCCCCCTCTGTGTGCTCAGCTTCTCCCCTCCCTGCCCCTCCCTCCTCCCCGCCCTGCCCCTCGTTTTCCGCCCCCCCACGCCCGGTTTCTCCCCTCCCCGCGCCTCCCTTTCTTTCTCCGTGCCTCTCCTCTGCTCCCTCCCTGCCCCCGCCTGCCCATGCCCCTGTCTTTGGCTTCTCCCCTCCCTGCCCCACGTTTCTTCCCTCCCTGCCCACCCCCTCTGCCCCTCCCTTGTTTTCCCCTCACCCATTGCTTCTCCCCTCCCTGCCCTTGATTTCCCGCACCCCTGCCCTTGTTTCCTACCATCCATGCCCCTCGTTTCCCCCCCTTTGTACGTTCAGCCTCTTCCCTCCCTGCCCCTCCCTTCCTCCCCCCCTGCCCTTTGCTCTCCCCTCGTTACGCTCCCTTCTCCCCATCCCTGCTGCCCTCTTACCACCATCAGCCCATCCCCACCACCAGCCCCCCTCCCACCCTTCTCTCCCCCCCTCCCTTTCCCTCTCTCTCTTTCTCACACACACACACGCACACTCCCCTCCCCCACCCCCCACCCACATCCTCCCATTCTGCCCCTCCCTGCCCCTTTCCCACCCCCTCGCACGCCCCTCACCTCCCACCTCCGTGCAACTGGTTTCCCCCCCCTATGGTGCCTCCCTTGCATCGCTCGCCCCTCTGCTCACCCTCTGCCCGCCCCTTTTCCGTGCCCTCAGCTGGCCCAGCCCCTGCCCGTTGCTGCCCCTCCCCTTGCCCCCTCAACTCCCCTGCCCCCCGTACACCCCAGTCCCATCCAACCGCCCCCACCCTCCCCCGGCTGCCCGTTTCCGCTCTCCACCCCCGCGACCGTGTGCGGCTTCCAACCGCCCAACGGTGGTGCGCACGGGGCGTTTCTTCGCACGGGCAAGCCTCCCCGGGGGCCCCCCACCCCGCTGGGTCGTTGTTCGGGCAAAAAAAACGAAAATGAAAAAATCGGACGCGCTGAAATCGTCCTTTCTTTTTCCCGCTTGCCCCTCCCCCGGCACGTGCCGAGCAAGGGGCATAAATGGGTACAACACGAGGACTTCCCGGGAGGTCACCCAGCCCAGTACTGCTCTACGCTGTTCACACAGTTGGAGGCGGCTCGAGCGAGACTACTGGGACAGCCAGTGGTGGGAGAGGGGACACGGGCTGAGGGACCGGGGGAGCGGAGAGGCGTGGCGGGACAGCCGGGTGGCGGGGGACAGTGGGGACGGCACCAGCTGCGGGGTCAGGTGGAGCGAGGGACAGGTGGGCAGAGGGGACGGCAGGGGGAGCAGACAGGCCAGGACAGGGAGGGGGGACGGCACAGGCAGCAGCAGGAGAGCCAGTGGAGGCCGCGGGCCCAGGGCGCCGCGCCTCCAGGTTCGGCCTTGGGGGCGGGGCAGGGGCGGGAGCAGCAGAGAGCGGACGGAGGTACAGGAGGGGCAGCGGGATTGGGAGGGGAGGGCCAGGGAGTGAGAGAGGCAGCAGGGGATGGAGCAGGGGGGTCGGGAGGTTTGGGGGAGGGTAGAGAGGGGGAGGGGAGAGGACAGGTGGATGGAGGAGAGGAGAGGGGCAGAGAGACGATCGGAGAGGGGGCACCAAGGGACCAGACAGGGCAGCAGCCAGCGCAACAGCAGGGACCAGTCGGACGCACAGGCCGTGTAGGCACCGCCTCCCGCATTCCAGACCCCACCTGCCGCGACGTTGGCCAGGGTCTGATGGTTCTTGTGGATGTCTCCATAGCGGATCCACAGCGGGAGGGGAACGTGCAGCTGAGACGGGCGACCCCCACACAGATTGGAGTGGCAGCAGCTAGGCGGGTGCAGGAGAAGCTGCGTCACTGGGGGCCGCACTTAGAGGGGCTGCAGCCGGCACCACACTTTTACGCGTGCGTGGCGGAGACCTTTGGCCTTCTGAGTGAGCCGCTGCGTCAGTTTCTGGGGCTCTGCGCAAAGAGGATAGCACAGCGGAGGAGGGATAGAGGTGGGGGGGATGACGGATCGGCACGGATATTTGAGGCAGGACTCACTACACGCCTCTCCGTTGCACTGCAGCGCGCGCAGGCTCAATGCATGATCCAGCATGCGGTGCGGCAGTTAGGGAGGTCCGACGACGGGTGGATGCCCGCACCAGTCCCACTGGGTGCGGGGCAGGGAACTTGGCACCACGTCACAGGGTGCTTCGAGAGTGTGGCTGATATGCAGTATATATATGATGCATATGTGTAAAAAACAATAGTGGCTGTGCTTGAAACGCTGTGCCCGTGCGGTCGTGCGGGTTGCTGCCGTGTTTGGTCCTTTGGTGCTTCCTCCTCCTTAGTCTCTCTCTCTCTCTCCTCTTCTCTTCCCACCTCCCTCTTTCTGTTCCCTTCTTCTATCCTTCCCTTCTCTTCCTACCACCCTCTTCCTTTCCCTACCACTTCTTCTTACTCCTTCATCTTTCCTTCCTTTCCTTTCTTTCCCCCTTTTCCTACAAAATATATATATCGTCCTCATAGCGCTTAGGCTGTGTCGAAATTTCCTTGTCTTGGAAAAACCATTATATTCGGCTTGTATATGCTCTTCCCTTATTAATGAATAACTGCTCTCGCCCACCGGCGCTTAGCTTCGGAGTTCTGATGGGATCCGGCGTAGTAGCCGAGGTATGATCGTACCACGTCAACCCCGTGCCCCGACCGGTACACACCCCTTGCCCGGGTCCCCCCTTCACAGTCACACCCCCTGCCCCCTCATGCCATCCGCTCCCCCCGCCCCTACCCTCCGCGTGCCCGCTCCCTTGCCGCCTCTTTTGACCCTCCCTGCCCCCCTCGCCGTTTCCCACCGCCCGCCATTCGCTCCTCCCCGCCCGTGCGCTCCCCTCGTTTACCTTCTCCTCCCCCCTCCCCTCCTCTGCTGCACGCCTCTTCCTTCCCCTCGCCGACCCACTCCACTCCCTGCCCCTCCTCAATCCGCACCCTGCCCCTCGTATCTCGCCCCCCTATGCTTGGTTTCTCCCCTCCCTGCCCCTCGCCGCCTTTCTCCGCCCCCCACCTCCCCCCTCTCCCTGCCCCCCCACTCTCCCACCCTTGCCCTTGGCTTCCTACCTCCCTGCCCCACCTTTCCCCCCTCTGTGTGCTCAGCTTCTCCCCTCCCTGCCCCTCCCTCCTCCCCGCCCTGCCCCTCGTTTTCCGCCCCCCCACGCCCGGTTTCTCCCCTCCCCGCGCCTCCCTTTCTTTCTCCGTGCCTCTCCTCTGCTCCCTCCCTGCCCCCGCCTGCCCATGCCCCTGTCTTTGGCTTCTCCCCTCCCTGCCCCACGTTTCTTCCCTCCCTGCCCACCCCCTCTGCCCCTCCCTTGTTTTCCCCTCACCCATTGCTTCTCCCCTCCCTGCCCTTGATTTCCCGCACCCCTGCCCTTGTTTCCTACCATCCATGCCCCTCGTTTCCCCCCCTTTGTACGTTCAGCCTCTTCCCTCCCTGCCCCTCCCTTCCTCCCCCCCTGCCCTTTGCTCTCCCCTCGTTACGCTCCCTTCTCCCCATCCCTGCTGCCCTCTTACCACCATCAGCCCATCCCCACCACCAGCCCCCCTCCCACCCTTCTCTCCCCCCCTCCCTTTCCCTCTCTCTCTTTCTCACACACACACACGCACACTCCCCTCCCCCACCCCCCACCCACATCCTCCCATTCTGCCCCTCCCTGCCCCTTTCCCACCCCCTCGCACGCCCCTCACCTCCCACCTCCGTGCAACTGGTTTCCCCCCCCTATGGTGCCTCCCTTGCATCGCTCGCCCCTCTGCTCACCCTCTGCCCGCCCCTTTTCCGTGCCCTCAGCTGGCCCAGCCCCTGCCCGTTGCTGCCCCTCCCCTTGCCCCCTCAACTCCCCTGCCCCCCGTACACCCCAGTCCCATCCAACCGCCCCCACCCTCCCCCGGCTGCCCGTTTCCGCTCTCCACCCCCGCGACCGTGTGCGGCTTCCAACCGCCCAACGGTGGTGCGCACGGGGCGTTTCTTCGCACGGGCAAGCCTCCCCGGGGGCCCCCCACCCCGCTGGGTCGTTGTTCGGGCAAAAAAACGAAAATGAAAAAATCGGACGCGCTGAAATCGTCCTTTCTTTTTCCCGCTTGCCCCTCCCCCGGCACGTGCCGAGCAAGGGGCATAAATGGGTACAACACGAGGACTTCCCGGGAGGTCACCCAGCCCAGTACTGCTCTCGCCCACTGGGCGAGAGCAGTACTGGGCTGGGTGACCTCCCGGGAAGTCCTCGTGTTGTACCCATTTATGCCCCTTGCTCGGCACGTGCCGGGGGAGGGGCAAGCGGGAAAAAGAAAGGACGATTTCAGCGCGTCCGATTTTTTTATTTTCGTTTCTTTGCCCGAACAACGACCCAGCGGGGTGGGGGGCCCCCGGGGAGGCTTGCCCGTGCGAAGAAACGCCCCGTGCGCACCACCGTTGGGCGGTTGGAAGCCGCGCACGGTCGCGGGGGTGGAGAGCGGAAACGGGCAGCCGGGGGAGGGTGGGGGCGGTTGGATGGGACTGGGGTGTACGGGGGGCAGGGGAGTTGAGGGGGCAAGGGGAGGGGCAGCAACGGGCAGGGGCTGGGCCAGCTGAGGGCACGGAAAAGGGGCGGGCAGAGGGTGAGCAGAGGGGCGAGCGATGCAAGGGAGGCACCATAGGGGGGGGAAACCAGTTGCACGGAGGTGGGAGGTGAGGGGCGTGCGAGGGGGTGGGAAAGGGGCAGGGAGGGGCAGAATGGGAGGATGTGGGTGGGGGGTGGGGGAGGGGAGTGTGCGTGTGTGTGTGTGAGAAAGAGAGAGAGGGAAAGGGAGGGGGGGAGAGAAGGGTGGGAGGGGGGCTGGTGGTGGGGATGGGCTGATGGTGGTAAGAGGGCAGCAGAGATGGGGAGAAGGGAGCGTAACGAGGGGAGAGCAAAGGGCAGGGGGGGAGGAAGGGAGGGGCAGGGAGGGAAGAGGCTGAACGTACAAAGGGGGGGAAACGAGGGGCATGGATGGTAGGAAAACAAGGGCAGGGGTGCGGGAAATCAAGGGCAGGGAGGGGAGAAGCAATGGGTGAGGGGAAAACAAGGGAGGGGCAGAGGGGGTGGGCAGGGAGGGAAGAAACGTGGGGCAGGGAGGGGAGAAGCCAGAGACAGGGGCATGGGCAGGCGGGGGCAGGGAGGGAGCAGAGGAGAGGCACGGAGAAAGAAAGGGAGGCGCGGGGAGGGGAGAAACCGGGCGTGGGGGGGCGGAAAACGAGGGGCAGGGCGGGGAGGAGGGAGGGGCAGGGAGGGGAGAAGCTGAGCACACAGAGGGGGGAAAGGTGGGGCAGGGAGGTAGGAAGCCAAGGGCAAGGGTGGGAGAGTGGGGGGGCAGGGAGAGGGGGGAGGTGGGGGGCGGAGAAAGGCGGCGAGGGGCAGGGAGGGGAGAAACCAAGCATAGGGGGGCGAGATACGAGGGGCAGGGTGCGGATTGAGGAGGGGCAGGGAGTGGAGTGGGTCGGCGAGGGGAAGGAAGAGGCGTGCAGCAGAGGAGGGGAGGGGGGAGGAGAAGGTAAACGAGGGGAGCGCACGGGCGGGGAGGAGCGAATGGCGGGCGGTGGGAAACGGCGAGGGGGGCAGGGAGGGTCAAAAGAGGCGGCAAGGGAGCGGGCACGCGGAGGGTAGGGGCGGGGGGAGCGGATGGCATGAGGGGGCAGGGGGTGTGACTGTGAAGGGGGGACCCGGGCAAGGGGTGTGTACCGGTCGGGGCACGGGGTTGACGTGGTACGATCATACCTCGGCTACTACGCCGGATCCCATCAGAACTCCGAAGCTAAGCGCCGGTGGGCGAGAGCAGTTATTCATTAATAAGGGAAGAGCAAATACAAGCCGAATATAATGGTTTTTCCAAGACTAGGAAATTTCGACATAGCCTAAGCGCTATGAGGACGATTTATATATTTTGTAGGAAAAGGGGGAAAGAAAGGAAAGGAAGGAAAGATGAAGGAGTAAGAAGAAGTGGTAGGGAAAGGAAGAGGGTGGTAGGAAGAGAAGGGAAGGATAGAAGAAGGGAACAGAAAGAGGGAGGTGGGAAGAGAAGAGGAGAGAGAGAGAGAGACTAAGGAGAAGGAAGCACCAAAGGACCAAACACGGCAGCAACCCGCACGACCGCACGGGCACAGCGTTTCAAGCACAGCCACTATTGTTTTTTACACATATGCATCATATATATACTGCATATCAGCCACACTCTCGAAGCACCCTGTGACGTGGTGCCAAGTTCCCTGCCCCGCACCCAGTGGGACTGGTGCGGGCATCCACCCGTCGTCGGACCTCCCTAACTGCCGCACCGCATGCTGGATCATGCATTGAGCCTGCGCGCGCTGCAGTGCAACGGAGAGGCGTGTAGTGAGTCCTGCCTCAAATATCCGTGCCGATCCGTCATCCCCCCCACCTCTATCCCTCCTCCGCTGTGCTATCCTCTTTGCGCAGAGCCCCAGAAACTGACGCAGCGGCTCACTCAGAAGGCCAAAGGTCTCCGCCACGCACGCGTAAAAGTGTGGTGCCGGCTGCAGCCCCTCTAAGTGCGGCCCCCAGTGACGCAGCTTCTCCTGCACCCGCCTAGCTGCTGCCACTCCAATCTGTGTGGGGGTCGCCCGTCTCAGCTGCACGTTCCCCTCCCGCTGTGGATCCGCTATGGAGACATCCACAAGAACCATCAGACCCTGGCCAACGTCGCGGCAGGTGAGGTCTGGAATGCGGGAGGCGGTGCCTACACGGCCTGTGCGTCCGACTGGTCCCTGCTGTTGCGCTGGCTGCTGCCCTGTCTGGTCCCTTGGTGCCCCCTCTCCGATCGTCTCTCTCCCCCTCTCCTCTCCTCCATCCACCTGTCCTCTCCCCTCCCCCTCCCTACCCTCCCCCAAACCTCCCGACCCCCCTGCTCCATCCCCTGCTGCCTCTCTCACTCCCTGGCCCTCCCCTCCCAATCCCGCTGCCCCTCCTGTACCTCCGTCCGCTCTCTGCTGCTCCCGCCCCTGCCCCGCCCCCGAGGCCGAACCTGGAGGCGCGGCGCCCTGGGCCCGCGGCCTCCACTGGCTCTCCTGCTGCTGCCTGTGCCGTCCCCCCTCCCCGTCCTGGCCCGTCTGCTCCCCCTGCCGTCCCCTCTGCCCACCTGTCCCTCGCTCCACCTGACCCCGCAGCTGGTGCCGTCCCCACTGTCCCCCGCCACCCGGCTGTCCCGCCTCGCCTCTCCGCTCCCCCGGTCCCTCAGCCCGTGTCCCCTCTCCCACCACTGGCTGTCCCAGTAGTCTCGCTCGAGCCGCCTCCAACTGTGTGAACAGCGTAGAGTCCTCCACCTTTACCGCGAAGCCCGCCTCGACCGCAAAGTCTCGAAGCATGTACTTCACCGTGTCGTGGATGGTAGTGGCGACCCCGTAACGCGGGCACCGAACCGCGTGATGAGGCACCGTCATGTCGTCAATCGCCTGTCCGCAGGAGCACTGACCTGCAAGGGCTAACTGGGGGATAGGGAGACCAAGACGAGAAGATGAAGCCGCCTGCCACAGCGCCTCCGGGATGCGCAGTGGGTCGGCGTACGGCACCGACGTCAACCACGCTCCTGCACCTCCGCCCTGAAGGGAAGTCAAACGGGCAAGGTGCAAGGGAGAGGTGTGACGGGCACGCACGGCCTCCAAGGCATGCGCCTCCAGAAGACGGCTCGCTCCTGCAAAAAGGGAATCGGGGGAGGCAGAAGCGCAAGAGGGCCAGGGGGGAAGGAGAGAGAGAACGTCAGGAGGGAGACCCTCTAGCGCCGTCTGCAGAGCCCGGTCGATCTGCTCTGGCTCACCTGAAGCGAAGCTCTGCCGAAACACCTCGCCACACGCAGGGAGAGAACAGAGAATGGGTGCACACTGCACCCAGGAGCACACGAAACTCACCGGGGCCATGCGCGCCATGCGACGAATGCCGAAACCCCCGAGACGGATGGGGAGGAAGATCTGGTCTAGGGCGGCCTCTCGGACGTCCTCGCGACAAGCCCAGGTCCCTGAAGCTAAAAGCTGCTGAAAAGTCTCTCCCAGGCGTGCGTCCCACCGTGTAAAACTGGAGATCACTGCGGGCGAAGGAGGGACGGTCCTCGACAGGTACTGCGGACGAGTGCTGACACACGCCGAAAGAAGGCGGGCAGCTGTCTGGGGCTGGCGCAACCTCGGAAGCCAAGGTAGCACCCGCCCCATCCTCTCGAGACGATCCGGGAGACTCTGCTCCACGAACGAAACGGTGCCTACCGGTACGCCTGTCACGGTGAGCCCTCGGCGTGCGACCTCGATCCCTAGGCCCGTGAAAGCCTCCAGATCCCTGGACAGAAAGGACTCTGTCTGGTAGACGAGGCACTTGTGCGGCTGGGCTGCAAGGCCCATCTCGCCCAAGCGCCTCACGATCTCGGCAAAATGGTGCAGCACCCTGTCTGGGGGACCTAGCACGTACGTGTCATCGGCGTACGACCAGAGCTGGACATCCCCCTCCGCCAGAACCGGCTCCAAAGCAAGACGCTGTGTCAGAGCGTACAAGAAGGGGCTGAGAGGGTCTCCCTGGCGAGTGCCCCGCTCCGAGTGCATCGTGACCACTCCCGTGCCTGACCTGTAGTGGAGATCCGAGGGCGTCCCGTAGAAGAGGCCGATGAAGGGGATCAGACACTGAAACTCCGGACTGGCCTGCAGCGCCTGAAACATCCTGTCTCGGTGGAAAGAGTTAAAGGCATTCGCCACGTCTAGCTGCAGGACCACCCAGTCTGGGTGGTCAGCCAGAGCGCGGCGGACGCCTCTAACTACGACCTCTGTCCCGCACGTAACCCCCACCCCAAACTGCTGTGATGCCAAGAAGACCCTCGCCATCTGGTCACGTAGCTGGAGACAAACTGCCCGAGAAAGAATGCGGACCAAAACCTCGCCGATGGCAATCGGCCGAACATCCATGTTCGACTTCGCCAGAGCCACGAGGGTGGAGGACGCTAGCAAGGAGCGCGCAGCTGGAGCGCAACGGCCTCGGAGCCACTGCTGGTACACGGCCAGGAGGAAATGGAGACTCTGAGGGAAAGCTAGGAAAGTGTCTCGCAGGTGCTCAGCGACCCAACCGGACGGTCCTCCCGAAGAGCCCCGCGGAGCTGTGAAAATCGCGCGGCGTAAGTGATCCACCGAGAGCACGAGAGGGGACCCCTGGAAGCCAGACAGCCAAGCTGGGGTCGGCCTCTCCGCGTTGGGGTGCTTCGACTGCAGGCGCTGTATCGTCCCCTGTGTATCTGGGGCTGCCTCCGCGGACTCGAGAGCCGCGCACGCCCGTGAGGTCTCATTGCACGCTGCCAGACGAAGGCAACGTGCAATGCGGCGCTCATCTGCTGCAGAGGGATCGGTGGCGGTGCGTGACCGGTGACCTGTGCGGCGAGGAAGGGGTGTGCGACGGCCTAGTGCATCTGAGACTAGCTCAGCCCACTCACCTCGACCAAAGCGAGAGATGCGCGTTGCAATGGCAGCCGTGTGCGAGCGGTCGGGTGGCGTCGCTGGAACAAGGAAAAGAGTCGGCGCTGCAGCGAGGAGGAAGGTAGGGCCAGCAGCCTCCGGGTCCTGGGCAATGCGGACTAGGATCGCACTGAGGACGTCAAGATATCCTCCGCGGACCCTCTCCGGGACACGTCGGAGAGGGCGTGTATGGATACGCTCGGGCGAGAAGTACTCTGTCCAGTCCACCGAGTCGAGCGTCTGCCACTGTGCGTCGGTGAACTGCATCCCGGTCGCACGGGGCTGTGAGAGGGAAGGGATGATCGAGGCGGTATCATGGGCAGCCTGCGCCCTGCGAGCCGCGTCCGCAGGATGGCAGAAGGGAATGTGGTGCTGGAGCGCGCGTCGGTTCGCGAGAGAGCTCCTGCAGGTGGGGCAACTCACGACCTGGTCGGGTGATGTCGCCGTGTCGGCGGGGTCAATCGGGGCCGTGGCGTCGGAACTGGCTGTAGAGGGGACCCCGTGGGCGGCCTGAGCTCCGACAGGATCGCCTGGGATGAGGGGAGGAGACGACTCACCAGCCCCGCGCGGGGGGGGTGTCAGCGAAGATAGAGGTGGTGTCGCACAGGATAGGGCCGGGCCTCGTGCCGGCACCGGTGTTGAAGCTGGGGAGGGGGGACGTGGAGGTGAGCCTGAAGTGTGTGCCGTGGTGTGCTCCTGCCCCTCGGCGGGGTGCGGTTCAAGTGACGGCTCTGCTACCCCAGGCGGAGGGGTCTCGGTAGGGGCGGATGCCTCATCCCTACTGCTGGTGACCTCCTGCGCCACGGGCTGAACGGGGGGAGGCGCCACCCCGTCTAGGTGCGAGTGACACGGCCTCAGACCCCGGTCCGTCTCCATTGGGGTCGGGAGTGACGCGCCTGGCTGAGTGGCGGGGGGGATAAAAGAAGGGACAGACCGGGTGACCTCCGCATACGTCCGGGTCCGGTCCTGTGGGACTGGAAGGGTGGGGGCAGCCGGAGAGCTGCTCAGGCGGTGTATCGCCAGCAAATCTGAAATGCCAGCCCTCACCTCCTCTGGGGTCTCGAAGACCTGCCTGCCTGTAGGTGAGAGTAGGAGGGCTGGCAGGGTAGAGGGTGGAGTGGGGCGTGCTGGCTGAGCGGAGCTCGGGTGTGGACCCTGCCCTAGAAGGCCCCCTTGGCCCTCCCCAATCACCATGGGTTGCGGTAGGGGGTCGTCGACATGGAAGGGGTGGGAGGGATGGGAGGGGGAGTCGGTGGCGTCTGCCATGGGCGCATCCCTCAACCCGACGGCCCCCCTCCCAGTAGCGATCGCGGCCGCCGCCACCTGGGAGGGGGACACAGCACGGGAGGGGCAGAATGGGGGTGAGTGGGCTGGTCCGCTCCCATGGCCCTGTGGAGGTGCAGGAGCGGGGCGGGAGTGTAGGTTTGGTGGACGGGCTGTAGAGGTAGGGCCTGGTAATTGTTCAACGGGATGTGAGGTGGGGAGGGGCTCTTGGTGGGGGAGGGAGGGAGGGGGGAGTACGTGGGCTGACCCTCTGCCTCCTCTGCCCCTGTTCTTCCGCCGGCGGCCAACCTGGTTGTCCGCGCCTGTTTGTGAAGGAAGGGGGGGCTGTGGGGCCAAAGGGGTGGGTGGAGGGAGGATGGGTGGTTCGCCAGGCAGGGGGTGCTCTGTGTGCATCCCCACTCTCCTCGAAACATCCCCCTCCGTGGGAACAGATCGGGCAAGCTGTGTGTGGGGGGTGATGGCTGCCCAACGGGGCCACTCGTGGGGAACCCGGCCGGGAGAGGGGGTTGGAGGTGGGGGTCGAGGGGCTGGGCCAGTGTGGAGGTTAGAGCGAGGTACAAACGGTGGGGGGAGAGAGATTTGTGTGGGCTCTGTGGTGGCCTCTCCTGTGGGCCCCTCTACCCGGGTGCCGCCGCTCCCATGAGCCTGGGGCGCAAGCCCTTGCGGGTGGGTCTCGGCTGCCTGGGGGGGGTGGTGTGGGGAGGGCAGCCTGTTGGGTGGGCGTGTTGGGGCTGTGCGGCGACTCGGGTGGTTTGGGTGCCTGTAGCGTGTGGGAGAGGGATTTGGCCGCAGAGATGCTTCAACCTCCGAGATGTGTGTACTACCGGGTGGGGGGGGGCCTGGTGGAGGAGGGGGTAGTGGGCCGGTAAGGGGTGGCTGGGTGTTGGTAGGAGTCGGGGAGCATGGCTCCTCTAGGAAGACCAGAGCCCTGGCTGCTCCACGTGGTGCTCTAAGGAGCCCCTGAGGGTGGGGGCAGAGGTGTGCTGCCCTTGGGGGTGAAGGAAGGAGTGAGGGAAGGGGCGGGGAGGGGTGAGAGGTGAGAGAAGGGGTGCCCTCGGGTGACTCTGCTCTTGTCGCACCCGCGTGCTCTCCCGGTGGACCGCCTGCAACCGTGGGGTCAGGCGTTGGGGACGGAGAGGGGGGCTGGCCATGGAGCAGCGTGGGGGTCGGGGAGCACGGCTCCGCCAAGAAGGCCAGGGCCTTGGCTGCCCCCCTGGACACTACCGGGACCTGAGGGTGGGGGTGGGGAAGTGGTGCTCCTGGGGGCTGGTGGGCTGGAGGACGGGAGGTGAGGATGGGGGCTCCCTCGCGCGGCTCTGTCCTCAAGGTCTCCCCCAGCCCCTCCATCGGTCCTTCTGCTAGCATGGGGACGGGCATGGGGGGTAGAGGGGGAACCTCGACGTGAGGCTGCAGGGGGGCCGGGTCGGCCTCACCGTCAAGCGTGAGGTATTGGGCCAGTGGCCCGTCAATGTGCATCACATCCTCTCCCTCATCCTCCTCTATCGCTATCACATCCCCCTCTTCAGTGCCCACCCCGGTCGGGACCACCCTCCCCTCTCCTTCCCCTGTTGCCCCTATGTCCCCCAAGCCCACCCCGCCTGCTGCCGCTTTACTGCTAGCCCCTTTTGCAGTCTCTGCCGGCCCTGCCGGCCCTGCTGTGTGTTTCCCCGAGTTTGCTGCGGCCCCTGCCGCCCCTACTGGCCGTGCTATGGCCCTCCCTGCTGCTTCAGCTGCAGCCTCACCTTCTGCCTTTGAGGCCCCTGCCGTACCCTCTCTTGCTACAGCCGGGGCGGCACTCTCCCTCGCACCAGTCCCCGTTACCCCCTTCCCCGCTGCACCCGTAGCACCTCCCCCTATACCAGCCCCCGCTGTGGCCTCTGTCGCTCCTGCTGCAGTCCTTGCAGCCTCGACTGCTGCAGTCTGTAAAACCTCGCCTACCGTAATCTGCTCAGCCTCACCAGCCGCGATCCCTGTAGCCTCACGTGCTGCAGTCCCTGCAGCCTCACGTGCTGCAGTCCCTGCAGCCTCACCCGCTGCAGTCCCTGCGGCCTCACCTGCTGCAGTCTGTGCAGCCTCACCTGCTAGAATCTGCTCAACCTCACATGCTGCGGCCTCTGCAGCCTCACCTGCTGCGGCTATTTCAGCCTCACCTGCTGCGCTCCCTGCGGCCTCACCTGCCATGGTCCCGCCTGCAGCCTCATCCGCTGTGGTCCCTGCCGCCTCACCTGCTGCAGTCCCTGCGGCCTCACCTGTTGCAGTCCATGCGACCTCACCAGCTGTAGACTGTGCAGCCTCACCTGCTAGAGTCTGCCCAACCTTACATGATGCAGCCCTCGCAGCCTCACCTGCTGCGTCCGCCGCAGCCTCACCTGCTGTGGCCCCTGCAGTCCCGCCTGCTGCGCTCCCTGCAGCCTCGCCTGCTGCGCTCCCTGCAGCCTCGCTTGCTGCGCTCCCTGCGGCCTCACCTGCTGCGCTCTCTGCAGCCTCACCTGCTGCGCCCCCTACAGCCTCACCTGCTGCGCTCCCCGCAGCCTCACCTACTGCGCTCCCTGCGGCCTCACCTGCCATGGTCCCTCCTGCAGCCTCACCCGTTGTGATCCCTGCAGCCACACCTGCTGTGGTCTGTGCGGCCTCACCTGGTGCGGTCCCTATAGCCTCCTCTGCTGCGGTTCCCCCAGCCGACGCAGCAGCAGGTTCCGTGGCCCCTACTCCTGCAAAACCTGTCTCCATGGCCTCTGCCCTTTGCCTGGCCAGAGTCACGGTCCCTGCCGCCCCTTCCCGTGCAGCCCCTGCCGCCCTTTCCCGTGCAGCCGCTGCTGCCCCTTCCCTTGCAGCCTCTGCTGCCCTTTCCTCTGCAGCCTCTGCTGCCCCTTCCCCCACAACCCCCATTGCCCCTTCCCGTGCAGCCTTTGCTGCCCCATCCTCTGTAGCCTCTGCTGCTCCTTCACACACAAACTCACTTACCCCTTCCCGTGCAGTGTCAGCTGCAAGTTCCCCCCTGGCTCTGCCCTCTCCCGCTTCTATGTGCTTGGGGGTGCGGGTAGGATTAAGTGTTTTCACAAGTAATCTGGTTTGCGAATGGGAGGTAGCGAGTGAGTTGGAGGATCTCTCTACTGAGCATGCATGGGTGCCGCCCCCGCTGTCACCTGAAGGGGGGGTAGACTGGGATGGGGCAGCGGGGGTAGGGCGCGGTTTTGAGCGTGCTGGCTCCTCCTCGTGTATTTCCTCCAGTGGGGCTTGGCGTTCCTCTGTTCCATCCTCTTCAAAGGTACGCTTCTGGCCCCTAGGGTCAGATTGTGTGAGTGTTTTCGCTTGGTCAGGTGTGTGTTGTTTCTTCCTGACTGTTGAAGTGGGGGGAGTGGGAGAGTAGGGGGTGGCTCGGCTGCGGGACCTCCCAGATCGCCGAGGGGCTCCCGGGCCTGCCTTTCCCCCACTCGCGGGGTGCTGGGGCATTGTTACAGAGGCAGCATGCCTGGCGGTGGCGGTGTGAGTTGCTGGGGTTGGCTCAAGAGGGCGTCAAAGGGGGAAGGAACTCCCTGGCAGAGGCCGGGGTGCGGGGGGTTAGCTTGGGGAAAGGGGAAAAGGGTGGGGAAAGCGGTGCGCAGTGGGTGGAAGAGAGGGTAGAGGGGGCCTGACAGTTGGAGGGGATTGGGGCCCAAGGGGGGGGCGGGCTGGGGGCCGATTGAGAGGGGAAGTGTTGGCGGGCTGTAGTGGAGGTGGGGGGGCGGGGGTGGTGTAGCGGTGGGTGAGCAGGGTGTGGGGACAGGTGGTGGGCCAGAGGTGGGGAGGGCAGGGCAGAATTCCACGGGAGGTGGGGGTGGGCAGGTGGAGCCAGGTGGGAAAGGAAGGGTGGGGAACAGAGAGGAAGGGGCAAAGGGTAGTGGGTAGTCGAGTTGGCGTGAGCCTGGTAGCGGGTAATGAGAAGGTTGGGAGGCGGGGGGTGAGAACGTGGGAGGGCAGAGAGGGCACCGAAAGGAGGTGCTGTGGTAAATGCAGGATAGGATGCGGGGCCGGGAAACAGGGGACAGAGGGAATTGGGGAATCGATGAAGGGTGATAGCTGCGGATGGGCGAGCCCCAGGGGGGAGGAAATATGGAGGGTGTTGGAGAAGGGGGAGACTGGGGGGGGTTGAGGTAGGGTGTTGGAGGGCACAAGGGGCAGGAACAGGGGGTGCAAAAGTTGGCTGGGGGAGGGAGAGGCGGTCTGGTGCCGCGGAAAGGCGGAGGGAGGTTGGGGACGGCACAGCCCAGGGAGCAAAAGCAAGGGGTGTAGACCTTGGCTGGGGGTAGGAACGGCGGTGTGGAGTTAGGGAGAGGTAGAGGGAGGCTGGGGTAGGTGGCTGGATTGCGCAGGGAGCAGGGGCAGGGGGTGTAGAGATTGGATGGGGGTGGGAAAGGCGGCGTGGTGCCAGGTGGCGGCAGTTGGGTCACCGAAGGGCCTGGCAGGGCGGGATGCAGAGGTGCAGCCCACGCTGGATGCGGAAGTAGCTGGGGGGGAAAGGGAGGCTGGAGGGGGAAGTACGGCTCGTAGAGGTGTGGGGGGCAGAGTGGGAGTGGGGAAAGCAGGAAGGGGGGTGGAGGGACGTTGTGGACAGGGGAGTGGGGGAACATGCGGGTGATGATAGGGAGAAGCCGGGGGGGGGGGAGAAGGGGGAGGTGGTATGAAGTGGGCAAGGGTGACGCACGGGCAGAGCGCGGCGGTACTAAGGGCAGGGAGACGGGAGGCTGGGGGGAGAAAGGCCTGCTTGGGGGCGTGGTGGGGGATAAGGGGAGAGGGGCGGTAATGCTGGTGGGCAAAAGGGGAGGGTGTGGTGTAGTATGATGAAACAGAATGGGGGGGTGGCGGACTGGGTGGGGCCCTGGAGGGTTGGGAGAACAAGGTGTAAGCTGCCTTTCTGATTTTTCCTGGTTTTTTCGGATTTATATGAATTTCTTTTTCTTTTCTTTTTTCCTTGAAGTTGTTTCCTCTTATTTCCTACGGTTTCCAGAAACAGGGCGGCCTCTGCTAGCTAAGCGCCGTTAGGGAAAGAGGTTAGGTGGCGGGGTGGCTAAAGCGCGCGTGTGAGGGGGAAAGGGGCGGTGTGAGCAGGGAGGTGACTATGTGGGTGGCGACGGGGTAAAATTACGACGTGTGGGTGGCATGCACGAGTGCGCGACGAGGCACGGCAGGGTGGGAGTGAGCAAAAGGGGAGTGGGGCGGCTTGTGTGCCAAACGTGGGCGGCTAAAACGCTCTAGGCAGAAAACGCGCTTCGGGAGGCGCGCAAGGGGAGGGCTGCTTAATCGCTACGAACGTAGCAATTTCGCCTCCCTCCGCGCTGCCTTTCCCTGGCGGTAAGCGCCCCGTGCGCGGTTCCGTCTACGTCGCGGCTAGATTGAACAGGCGGGGAAAACGAGTGCATGACTAAACATGATAGGCGACGAGAAAGCGTGCTTGGAAACGCGCGGCTCTTCGAATTAGGGTTACGATAAAGAAGGGCGCACCGAAAGGGAAGGAAGAGTGCTAACTACGGGCGGAAGCTAAGCTCAGTGACTTCGAGAGAGGGAAACCGCGGGAAAAAACTCGGTAGCAGCTAATCGCTTCGAATAGAAAAAAAAAAAGAAAGCAGTACTGGGCGAGAGCAGTACTGGGCTGGGTGACCTCCCGGGAAGTCCTCGTGTTGTACCCATTTATGCCCCTTGCTCGGCACGTGCCGGGGGAGGGGCAAGCGGGAAAAAGAAAGGACGATTTCAGCGCGTCCGATTTTTTCATTTTCGTTTTTTTTGCCCGAAACAACGACCCAGCGGGGTGGGGGGCCCCCGGGGAGGCTTGCCCAGTGCGAAGAAACGCCCCGTGCGCACCACCGTTGGGCGGTTGGAAGCCGCACACGGTCGCGGGGGTGGAGAGCGGAAACGGGCAGCCGGGGGAGGGTGGGGGCGGTTGGATGGGACTTGGGGTGTACGGGGGGCAGGGGAGTTGAGGGGGCAAGGGGAGGGGCAGCAACGGGCAGGGGCTGGGCCAGCTGAGGGCACGGAAAAGGGGCGGGCAGAGGGTGAGCAGAGGGGCGAGCGATGCAAGGGAGGCACCATAGGGGGGGGAAACCAGTTGCACGGAGGTGGGAGGTGAGGGGCGTGCGAGGGGGTGGGAAAGGGGCAGGGAGGGGCAGAATGGGAGGATGTGGGTGGGGGGGGTGGGGGAGGGGAGTGTGCGTGTGTGTGTGTGTGAGAAAGAGAGAGAGAGAGAGAGAGAGAGGGAGGGGGGGAGAGAAGGGTGGGAGGGGGGCTGGTGGTGGGGATGGGCTGATGGTGGTAAGAGGGCAGCAGGGATGGGGAGAAGGGAGCGTAACGAGGGGAGAGCAAAGGGCAGGGGGGGAGGAAGGGAGGGGCAGGGAGGGAAGAGGCTGAACGTACAAAGGGGGGGAAACGAGGGGCATGGATGGTAGGAAACAAGGGCAGGGGTGCGGGAAATCAAGGGCAGGGAGGGAGAGAAGCAATGGGTGAGGGGAAAACAAGGGAGGGGCAGAGGGGGTGGGCAGGGAGGGAAGAAACGTGGGGCAGGGAGGGGAGAAGCCAAAGACAGGGGCATGGGCAGGCGGGGGCAGGGAGGGAGCAGAGGAGAGGCACGGAGAAAGAAAGGGAGGCGCGGGGAGGGGAGAAACCGGGCGTGGGGGGGGCGGAAAACGAGGGGCAGGGCGGGGAGGAGGGAGGGGCAGGGAGGGGAGAAGCTGAGCACACAGAGGGGGGAAAGGTGGGGCAGGGAGGTAGGAAGCCAAGGGCAAGGGTGGGGAGAGTGGGGGGGGCAGGGAGAGGGGGGAGGTGGGGGGCGGAGAAAGGCGGCGAGGGGCAGGGAGGGGAGAAACCAAGCATAGGGGGGCGAGATACGAGGGGCAGGGTGCGGATTGAGGAGGGGCAGGGAGTGGAGTGGGTCGGCGAGGGGAAGGAAGAGGCGTGCAGCAGAGGAGGGGAGGGGGGAGGAGAAGGTAAACGAGGGGAGCGCACGGGCGGGGAGGAGCGAATGGCGGGCGGTGGGAAACGGCGAGGGGGGGCAGGGAGGGTCAAAAGAGGCGGCAAGGGAGCGGGCACGCGGAGGGTAGGGGCGGGGGGAGCGGATGGCATGAGGGGGCAGGGGGTGTGACTGTGAAGGGGGGGACCCGGGCAAGGGGTGTGTACCGGTCGGGGCACGAGGTTGACGTGGTACGATCATACCTCGGCTACTACGCCGGATCCCATCAGAACTCCGAAGCTAAGCGCCGGTGGGCGAGAGCAGTACTGGGCTGGGTGACCTCCCGGGAAGTCCTCGTGTTGTACCCATTTATGCCCCTTGCTCGGCACGTGCCGGGGGAGGGGCAAGCGGGAAAAAGAAAGGACGATTTCAGCGCGTCCGATTTTTTCTTTTCGTTTTTTTGCCCAAACAACGACCCAGCGGGGTGGGGGGCCCCCGGGGAGGCTTGCCCATGCGAAGAAACGCCCCGTGCGCACCACCGTTGGGCGGTTGGAAGCCGCACACGGTCGCGGGGGTGGAGAGCGGAAACGGGCAGCCGGGGGAGGGTGGGGGCGGTTGGATGGGACTTGGGGTGTACGGGGGGCAGGGGAGTTGAGGGGGCAAGGGGAGGGGCAGCAACGGGCAGGGGCTGGGCCAACTGAGGGCACGGAAAAGGGGCGGGCAGAGGGTGAGCAGAGGGGCGAGCGATGCAAGGGTGGCACCATAGGGGGGGAAACCAGTTGCACGGAGGTGGGAGGTGAGGGGCGTGCGAGGGGGTGGGAAAGGGGCAGGGAGGGGCAGAATGGGAGGATGTAGGTGGGGGGGGGTGGGGGAGGGGAGTGTGCGTGTGTGTGTGTGTGAGAAAGAGAGAGAGAGAGAGAGAGAGAGAGAGAGAGGGAGGGGGGGATTGAAGGGTGGGAGGGGGGCTGGTGGTGGGGATGGGCTGATGGTGGTAAGAGGGCAGCAGGGATGGGGAGAAGGGAGCGTAACGAGGGGAGAGCAAAGGGCAGGGGGGGAGGAAGGGAGGGGCAGGGAGGGAAGAGGCTGAACGTACAAAGGGGGGGAAACGAGGGGCATGGATGGATAGGAAACAAGGGCAGGGGTGCGGGAAATCAAGGGCAGGGAGGGAGAGAAGCAATGGGTGAGGGGAAAACAAGGGAGGGGCAGAGGGGGTGGGCAGGGAGGGAAGAAACGTGGGGCAGGGAGGGGAGAAGCCAAAGACAGGGGCATGGGCAGGCGGGGGCAGGGAGGGAGCAGAGGAGAGGCACGGAGAAAGAAAGGGAGGCGCGGGGAGGGGAGAAACCGGGCGTGGGGGGGGGGGCGGAAAACTGAGGGGCAGGGCGGGGAGGAGGGAGGGGCAGGGAGGGGAGAAGCTGAGCACACAGAGGGGGGAAAGGTGAGGCAGGGAGGTAGGAAGCCAAGGGCAAGGGTGGGGAGAGTGGGGGGGGCAGGGAGAGGGGGGAGGTGGGGAGCGGAGAAAGGCGGCGAGGGGCAGGGAGGGGAGAAACCAAGCATAGGGGGGCGAGATACGAGGGGCAGGGTGCGGATTGAGGAGGGGCAGGGAGTGGAGTGGGTCGGCGAGGGGAAGGAAGAGGCGTGCAGCAGAGGAGGGGAGGGGGGAGGAGAAGGTAAACGAGGGGAGCGCACGGGCGGGGAGGAGCGAATGGCGGGCGGTGGGAAACGGCGAGGGGGGGCAGGGAGGGTCAAAAGAGGCGGCAAGGGAGCGGGCACGCGGAGGGTAGGGGCGGGGGGAGCGGATGGCATGAGGGGGCAGGGGGTGTGACTGTGAAGGGGGGGACCCGGGCAAGGGGTGTGTACCGGTCGGGGCACGGGGTTGACGTGGTACGATCATACCTCGGCTACTACGCCGGATCCCATCAGAACTCCGAAGCTAAGCGCCGGTGGGCGAGAGCAGTTATTCATTAATAAGGGAAGAGCAAATACAAGCCGAATATAATGGTTTTTCCAAGACTAGGAAATTTCGACATAGCCTAAGCGCTATGAGGACGATTTATATATTTTGTAGGAAAAGGGGGAAAGAAAGGAAAGGAAGGAAAGATGAAGGAGTAAGAAGAAGTGGTAGGGAAAGGAAGAGGGTGGTAGGAAGAGAAGGGAAGGATAGAAGAAGGGAACAGAAAGAGGGAGGTGGGAAGAGAAGAGGAGAGAGAGAGAGAGACTAAGGAGAAGGAAGCACCAAAGGACCAAACACGGCAGCAACCCGCACGACCGCACGGGCACAGCGTTTCAAGCACAGCCACTATTGTTTTTTACACATATGCATCATATATATACTGCATATCAGCCACACTCTCGAAGCACCCTGTGACGTGGTGCCAAGTTCCCTGCCCCGCACCCAGTGGGACTGGTGCGGGCATCCACCCGTCGTCGGACCTCCCTAACTGCCGCACCGCATGCTGGATCATGCATTGAGCCTGCGCGCGCTGCAGTGCAACGGAGAGGCGTGTAGTGAGTCCTGCCTCAAATATCCGTGCCGATCCGTCATCCCCCCCACCTCTATCCCTCCTCCGCTGTGCTATCCTCTTTGCGCAGAGCCCCAGAAACTGACGCAGCGGCTCACTCAGAAGGCCAAAGGTCTCCGCCACGCACGCGTAAAAGTGTGGTGCCGGCTGCAGCCCCTCTAAGTGCGGCCCCCAGTGACGCAGCTTCTCCTGCACCCGCCTAGCTGCTGCCACTCCAATCTGTGTGGGGGTCGCCCGTCTCAGCTGCACGTTCCCCTCCCGCTGTGGATCCGCTATGGAGACATCCACAAGAACCATCAGACCCTGGCCAACGTCGCGGCAGGTGAGGTCTGGAATGCGGGAGGCGGTGCCTACACGGCCTGTGCGTCCGACTGGTCCCTGCTGTTGCGCTGGCTGCTGCCCTGTCTGGTCCCTTGGTGCCCCCTCTCCGATCGTCTCTCTCCCCCTCTCCTCTCCTCCATCCACCTGTCCTCTCCCCTCCCCCTCCCTACCCTCCCCCAAACCTCCCGACCCCCCTGCTCCATCCCCTGCTGCCTCTCTCACTCCCTGGCCCTCCCCTCCCAATCCCGCTGCCCCTCCTGTACCTCCGTCCGCTCTCTGCTGCTCCCGCCCCTGCCCCGCCCCCGAGGCCGAACCTGGAGGCGCGGCGCCCTGGGCCCGCGGCCTCCACTGGCTCTCCTGCTGCTGCCTGTGCCGTCCCCCCTCCCCGTCCTGGCCCGTCTGCTCCCCCTGCCGTCCCCTCTGCCCACCTGTCCCTCGCTCCACCTGACCCCGCAGCTGGTGCCGTCCCCACTGTCCCCCGCCACCCGGCTGTCCCGCCTCGCCTCTCCGCTCCCCCGGTCCCTCAGCCCGTGTCCCCTCTCCCACCACTGGCTGTCCCAGTAGTCTCGCTCGAGCCGCCTCCAACTGTGTGAACAGCGTAGAGTCCTCCACCTTTACCGCGAAGCCCGCCTCGACCGCAAAGTCTCGAAGCATGTACTTCACCGTGTCGTGGATGGTAGTGGCGACCCCGTAACGCGGGCACCGAACCGCGTGATGAGGCACCGTCATGTCGTCAATCGCCTGTCCGCAGGAGCACTGACCTGCAAGGGCTAACTGGGGGATAGGGAGACCAAGACGAGAAGATGAAGCCGCCTGCCACAGCGCCTCCGGGATGCGCAGTGGGTCGGCGTACGGCACCGACGTCAACCACGCTCCTGCACCTCCGCCCTGAAGGGAAGTCAAACGGGCAAGGTGCAAGGGAGAGGTGTGACGGGCACGCACGGCCTCCAAGGCATGCGCCTCCAGAAGACGGCTCGCTCCTGCAAAAAGGGAATCGGGGGAGGCAGAAGCGCAAGAGGGCCAGGGGGGAAGGAGAGAGAGAACGTCAGGAGGGAGACCCTCTAGCGCCGTCTGCAGAGCCCGGTCGATCTGCTCTGGCTCACCTGAAGCGAAGCTCTGCCGAAACACCTCGCCACACGCAGGGAGAGAACAGAGAATGGGTGCACACTGCACCCAGGAGCACACGAAACTCACCGGGGCCATGCGCGCCATGCGACGAATGCCGAAACCCCCGAGACGGATGGGGAGGAAGATCTGGTCTAGGGCGGCCTCTCGGACGTCCTCGCGACAAGCCCAGGTCCCTGAAGCTAAAAGCTGCTGAAAAGTCTCTCCCAGGCGTGCGTCCCACCGTGTAAAACTGGAGATCACTGCGGGCGAAGGAGGGACGGTCCTCGACAGGTACTGCGGACGAGTGCTGACACACGCCGAAAGAAGGCGGGCAGCTGTCTGGGGCTGGCGCAACCTCGGAAGCCAAGGTAGCACCCGCCCCATCCTCTCGAGACGATCCGGGAGACTCTGCTCCACGAACGAAACGGTGCCTACCGGTACGCCTGTCACGGTGAGCCCTCGGCGTGCGACCTCGATCCCTAGGCCCGTGAAAGCCTCCAGATCCCTGGACAGAAAGGACTCTGTCTGGTAGACGAGGCACTTGTGCGGCTGGGCTGCAAGGCCCATCTCGCCCAAGCGCCTCACGATCTCGGCAAAATGGTGCAGCACCCTGTCTGGGGGACCTAGCACGTACGTGTCATCGGCGTACGACCAGAGCTGGACATCCCCCTCCGCCAGAACCGGCTCCAAAGCAAGACGCTGTGTCAGAGCGTACAAGAAGGGGCTGAGAGGGTCTCCCTGGCGAGTGCCCCGCTCCGAGTGCATCGTGACCACTCCCGTGCCTGACCTGTAGTGGAGATCCGAGGGCGTCCCGTAGAAGAGGCCGATGAAGGGGATCAGACACTGAAACTCCGGACTGGCCTGCAGCGCCTGAAACATCCTGTCTCGGTGGAAAGAGTTAAAGGCATTCGCCACGTCTAGCTGCAGGACCACCCAGTCTGGGTGGTCAGCCAGAGCGCGGCGGACGCCTCTAACTACGACCTCTGTCCCGCACGTAACCCCCACCCCAAACTGCTGTGATGCCAAGAAGACCCTCGCCATCTGGTCACGTAGCTGGAGACAAACTGCCCGAGAAAGAATGCGGACCAAAACCTCGCCGATGGCAATCGGCCGAACATCCATGTTCGACTTCGCCAGAGCCACGAGGGTGGAGGACGCTAGCAAGGAGCGCGCAGCTGGAGCGCAACGGCCTCGGAGCCACTGCTGGTACACGGCCAGGAGGAAATGGAGACTCTGAGGGAAAGCTAGGAAAGTGTCTCGCAGGTGCTCAGCGACCCAACCGGACGGTCCTCCCGAAGAGCCCCGCGGAGCTGTGAAAATCGCGCGGCGTAAGTGATCCACCGAGAGCACGAGAGGGGACCCCTGGAAGCCAGACAGCCAAGCTGGGGTCGGCCTCTCCGCGTTGGGGTGCTTCGACTGCAGGCGCTGTATCGTCCCCTGTGTATCTGGGGCTGCCTCCGCGGACTCGAGAGCCGCGCACGCCCGTGAGGTCTCATTGCACGCTGCCAGACGAAGGCAACGTGCAATGCGGCGCTCATCTGCTGCAGAGGGATCGGTGGCGGTGCGTGACCGGTGACCTGTGCGGCGAGGAAGGGGTGTGCGACGGCCTAGTGCATCTGAGACTAGCTCAGCCCACTCACCTCGACCAAAGCGAGAGATGCGCGTTGCAATGGCAGCCGTGTGCGAGCGGTCGGGTGGCGTCGCTGGAACAAGGAAAAGAGTCGGCGCTGCAGCGAGGAGGAAGGTAGGGCCAGCAGCCTCCGGGTCCTGGGCAATGCGGACTAGGATCGCACTGAGGACGTCAAGATATCCTCCGCGGACCCTCTCCGGGACACGTCGGAGAGGGCGTGTATGGATACGCTCGGGCGAGAAGTACTCTGTCCAGTCCACCGAGTCGAGCGTCTGCCACTGTGCGTCGGTGAACTGCATCCCGGTCGCACGGGGCTGTGAGAGGGAAGGGATGATCGAGGCGGTATCATGGGCAGCCTGCGCCCTGCGAGCCGCGTCCGCAGGATGGCAGAAGGGAATGTGGTGCTGGAGCGCGCGTCGGTTCGCGAGAGAGCTCCTGCAGGTGGGGCAACTCACGACCTGGTCGGGTGATGTCGCCGTGTCGGCGGGGTCAATCGGGGCCGTGGCGTCGGAACTGGCTGTAGAGGGGACCCCGTGGGCGGCCTGAGCTCCGACAGGATCGCCTGGGATGAGGGGAGGAGACGACTCACCAGCCCCGCGCGGGGGGGGTGTCAGCGAAGATAGAGGTGGTGTCGCACAGGATAGGGCCGGGCCTCGTGCCGGCACCGGTGTTGAAGCTGGGGAGGGGGGACGTGGAGGTGAGCCTGAAGTGTGTGCCGTGGTGTGCTCCTGCCCCTCGGCGGGGTGCGGTTCAAGTGACGGCTCTGCTACCCCAGGCGGAGGGGTCTCGGTAGGGGCGGATGCCTCATCCCTACTGCTGGTGACCTCCTGCGCCACGGGCTGAACGGGGGGAGGCGCCACCCCGTCTAGGTGCGAGTGACACGGCCTCAGACCCCGGTCCGTCTCCATTGGGGTCGGGAGTGACGCGCCTGGCTGAGTGGCGGGGGGGATAAAAGAAGGGACAGACCGGGTGACCTCCGCATACGTCCGGGTCCGGTCCTGTGGGACTGGAAGGGTGGGGGCAGCCGGAGAGCTGCTCAGGCGGTGTATCGCCAGCAAATCTGAAATGCCAGCCCTCACCTCCTCTGGGGTCTCGAAGACCTGCCTGCCTGTAGGTGAGAGTAGGAGGGCTGGCAGGGTAGAGGGTGGAGTGGGGCGTGCTGGCTGAGCGGAGCTCGGGTGTGGACCCTGCCCTAGAAGGCCCCCTTGGCCCTCCCCAATCACCATGGGTTGCGGTAGGGGGTCGTCGACATGGAAGGGGTGGGAGGGATGGGAGGGGGAGTCGGTGGCGTCTGCCATGGGCGCATCCCTCAACCCGACGGCCCCCCTCCCAGTAGCGATCGCGGCCGCCGCCACCTGGGAGGGGGACACAGCACGGGAGGGGCAGAATGGGGGTGAGTGGGCTGGTCCGCTCCCATGGCCCTGTGGAGGTGCAGGAGCGGGGCGGGAGTGTAGGTTTGGTGGACGGGCTGTAGAGGTAGGGCCTGGTAATTGTTCAACGGGATGTGAGGTGGGGAGGGGCTCTTGGTGGGGGAGGGAGGGAGGGGGGAGTACGTGGGCTGACCCTCTGCCTCCTCTGCCCCTGTTCTTCCGCCGGCGGCCAACCTGGTTGTCCGCGCCTGTTTGTGAAGGAAGGGGGGGCTGTGGGGCCAAAGGGGTGGGTGGAGGGAGGATGGGTGGTTCGCCAGGCAGGGGGTGCTCTGTGTGCATCCCCACTCTCCTCGAAACATCCCCCTCCGTGGGAACAGATCGGGCAAGCTGTGTGTGGGGGGTGATGGCTGCCCAACGGGGCCACTCGTGGGGAACCCGGCCGGGAGAGGGGGTTGGAGGTGGGGGTCGAGGGGCTGGGCCAGTGTGGAGGTTAGAGCGAGGTACAAACGGTGGGGGGAGAGAGATTTGTGTGGGCTCTGTGGTGGCCTCTCCTGTGGGCCCCTCTACCCGGGTGCCGCCGCTCCCATGAGCCTGGGGCGCAAGCCCTTGCGGGTGGGTCTCGGCTGCCTGGGGGGGGTGGTGTGGGGAGGGCAGCCTGTTGGGTGGGCGTGTTGGGGCTGTGCGGCGACTCGGGTGGTTTGGGTGCCTGTAGCGTGTGGGAGAGGGATTTGGCCGCAGAGATGCTTCAACCTCCGAGATGTGTGTACTACCGGGTGGGGGGGGGCCTGGTGGAGGAGGGGGTAGTGGGCCGGTAAGGGGTGGCTGGGTGTTGGTAGGAGTCGGGGAGCATGGCTCCTCTAGGAAGACCAGAGCCCTGGCTGCTCCACGTGGTGCTCTAAGGAGCCCCTGAGGGTGGGGGCAGAGGTGTGCTGCCCTTGGGGGTGAAGGAAGGAGTGAGGGAAGGGGCGGGGAGGGGTGAGAGGTGAGAGAAGGGGTGCCCTCGGGTGACTCTGCTCTTGTCGCACCCGCGTGCTCTCCCGGTGGACCGCCTGCAACCGTGGGGTCAGGCGTTGGGGACGGAGAGGGGGGCTGGCCATGGAGCAGCGTGGGGGTCGGGGAGCACGGCTCCGCCAAGAAGGCCAGGGCCTTGGCTGCCCCCCTGGACACTACCGGGACCTGAGGGTGGGGGTGGGGAAGTGGTGCTCCTGGGGGCTGGTGGGCTGGAGGACGGGAGGTGAGGATGGGGGCTCCCTCGCGCGGCTCTGTCCTCAAGGTCTCCCCCAGCCCCTCCATCGGTCCTTCTGCTAGCATGGGGACGGGCATGGGGGGTAGAGGGGGAACCTCGACGTGAGGCTGCAGGGGGGCCGGGTCGGCCTCACCGTCAAGCGTGAGGTATTGGGCCAGTGGCCCGTCAATGTGCATCACATCCTCTCCCTCATCCTCCTCTATCGCTATCACATCCCCCTCTTCAGTGCCCACCCCGGTCGGGACCACCCTCCCCTCTCCTTCCCCTGTTGCCCCTATGTCCCCCAAGCCCACCCCGCCTGCTGCCGCTTTACTGCTAGCCCCTTTTGCAGTCTCTGCCGGCCCTGCCGGCCCTGCTGTGTGTTTCCCCGAGTTTGCTGCGGCCCCTGCCGCCCCTACTGGCCGTGCTATGGCCCTCCCTGCTGCTTCAGCTGCAGCCTCACCTTCTGCCTTTGAGGCCCCTGCCGTACCCTCTCTTGCTACAGCCGGGGCGGCACTCTCCCTCGCACCAGTCCCCGTTACCCCCTTCCCCGCTGCACCCGTAGCACCTCCCCCTATACCAGCCCCCGCTGTGGCCTCTGTCGCTCCTGCTGCAGTCCTTGCAGCCTCGACTGCTGCAGTCTGTAAAACCTCGCCTACCGTAATCTGCTCAGCCTCACCAGCCGCGATCCCTGTAGCCTCACGTGCTGCAGTCCCTGCAGCCTCACGTGCTGCAGTCCCTGCAGCCTCACCCGCTGCAGTCCCTGCGGCCTCACCTGCTGCAGTCTGTGCAGCCTCACCTGCTAGAATCTGCTCAACCTCACATGCTGCGGCCTCTGCAGCCTCACCTGCTGCGGCTATTTCAGCCTCACCTGCTGCGCTCCCTGCGGCCTCACCTGCCATGGTCCCGCCTGCAGCCTCATCCGCTGTGGTCCCTGCCGCCTCACCTGCTGCAGTCCCTGCGGCCTCACCTGTTGCAGTCCATGCGACCTCACCAGCTGTAGACTGTGCAGCCTCACCTGCTAGAGTCTGCCCAACCTTACATGATGCAGCCCTCGCAGCCTCACCTGCTGCGTCCGCCGCAGCCTCACCTGCTGTGGCCCCTGCAGTCCCGCCTGCTGCGCTCCCTGCAGCCTCGCCTGCTGCGCTCCCTGCAGCCTCGCTTGCTGCGCTCCCTGCGGCCTCACCTGCTGCGCTCTCTGCAGCCTCACCTGCTGCGCCCCCTACAGCCTCACCTGCTGCGCTCCCCGCAGCCTCACCTACTGCGCTCCCTGCGGCCTCACCTGCCATGGTCCCTCCTGCAGCCTCACCCGTTGTGATCCCTGCAGCCACACCTGCTGTGGTCTGTGCGGCCTCACCTGGTGCGGTCCCTATAGCCTCCTCTGCTGCGGTTCCCCCAGCCGACGCAGCAGCAGGTTCCGTGGCCCCTACTCCTGCAAAACCTGTCTCCATGGCCTCTGCCCTTTGCCTGGCCAGAGTCACGGTCCCTGCCGCCCCTTCCCGTGCAGCCCCTGCCGCCCTTTCCCGTGCAGCCGCTGCTGCCCCTTCCCTTGCAGCCTCTGCTGCCCTTTCCTCTGCAGCCTCTGCTGCCCCTTCCCCCACAACCCCCATTGCCCCTTCCCGTGCAGCCTTTGCTGCCCCATCCTCTGTAGCCTCTGCTGCTCCTTCACACACAAACTCACTTACCCCTTCCCGTGCAGTGTCAGCTGCAAGTTCCCCCCTGGCTCTGCCCTCTCCCGCTTCTATGTGCTTGGGGGTGCGGGTAGGATTAAGTGTTTTCACAAGTAATCTGGTTTGCGAATGGGAGGTAGCGAGTGAGTTGGAGGATCTCTCTACTGAGCATGCATGGGTGCCGCCCCCGCTGTCACCTGAAGGGGGGGTAGACTGGGATGGGGCAGCGGGGGTAGGGCGCGGTTTTGAGCGTGCTGGCTCCTCCTCGTGTATTTCCTCCAGTGGGGCTTGGCGTTCCTCTGTTCCATCCTCTTCAAAGGTACGCTTCTGGCCCCTAGGGTCAGATTGTGTGAGTGTTTTCGCTTGGTCAGGTGTGTGTTGTTTCTTCCTGACTGTTGAAGTGGGGGGAGTGGGAGAGTAGGGGGTGGCTCGGCTGCGGGACCTCCCAGATCGCCGAGGGGCTCCCGGGCCTGCCTTTCCCCCACTCGCGGGGTGCTGGGGCATTGTTACAGAGGCAGCATGCCTGGCGGTGGCGGTGTGAGTTGCTGGGGTTGGCTCAAGAGGGCGTCAAAGGGGGAAGGAACTCCCTGGCAGAGGCCGGGGTGCGGGGGGTTAGCTTGGGGAAAGGGGAAAAGGGTGGGGAAAGCGGTGCGCAGTGGGTGGAAGAGAGGGTAGAGGGGGCCTGACAGTTGGAGGGGATTGGGGCCCAAGGGGGGGGGCGGGCTGGGGGCCGATTGAGAGGGGAAGTGTTGGCGGGCTGTAGTGGAGGTGGGGGGGCGGGGGTGGTGTAGCGGTGGGTGAGCAGGGTGTGGGGACAGGTGGTGGGCCAGAGGTGGGGAGGGCAGGGCAGAATTCCACGGGAGGTGGGGGTGGGCAGGTGGAGCCAGGTGGGAAAGGAAGGGTGGGGAACAGAGAGGAAGGGGCAAAGGGTAGTGGGTAGTCGAGTTGGCGTGAGCCTGGTAGCGGGTAATGAGAAGGTTGGGAGGCGGGGGGTGAGAACGTGGGAGGGCAGAGAGGGCACCGAAAGGAGGTGCTGTGGTAAATGCAGGATAGGATGCGGGGCCGGGAAACAGGGGACAGAGGGAATTGGGGAATCGATGAAGGGTGATAGCTGCGGATGGGCGAGCCCCAGGGGGGAGGAAATATGGAGGGTGTTGGAGAAGGGGGAGACTGGGGGGGGTTGAGGTAGGGTGTTGGAGGGCACAAGGGGCAGGAACAGGGGGTGCAAAAGTTGGCTGGGGGAGGGAGAGGCGGTCTGGTGCCGCGGAAAGGCGGAGGGAGGTTGGGGACGGCACAGCCCAGGGAGCAAAAGCAAGGGGTGTAGACCTTGGCTGGGGGTAGGAACGGCGGTGTGGAGTTAGGGAGAGGTAGAGGGAGGCTGGGGTAGGTGGCTGGATTGCGCAGGGAGCAGGGGCAGGGGGTGTAGAGATTGGATGGGGGTGGGAAAGGCGGCGTGGTGCCAGGTGGCGGCAGTTGGGTCACCGAAGGGCCTGGCAGGGCGGGATGCAGAGGTGCAGCCCACGCTGGATGCGGAAGTAGCTGGGGGGGAAAGGGAGGCTGGAGGGGGAAGTACGGCTCGTAGAGGTGTGGGGGGCAGAGTGGGAGTGGGGAAAGCAGGAAGGGGGGTGGAGGGACGTTGTGGACAGGGGAGTGGGGGAACATGCGGGTGATGATAGGGAGAAGCCGGGGGGGGGGGAGAAGGGGGAGGTGGTATGAAGTGGGCAAGGGTGACGCACGGGCAGAGCGCGGCGGTACTAAGGGCAGGGAGACGGGAGGCTGGGGGGAGAAAGGCCTGCTTGGGGGCGTGGTGGGGGATAAGGGGAGAGGGGCGGTAATGCTGGTGGGCAAAAGGGGAGGGTGTGGTGTAGTATGATGAAACAGAATGGGGGGGTGGCGGACTGGGTGGGGCCCTGGAGGGTTGGGAGAACAAGGTGTAAGCTGCCTTTCTGATTTTTCCTGGTTTTTTCGGATTTATATGAATTTCTTTTTCTTTTCTTTTTTCCTTGAAGTTGTTTCCTCTTATTTCCTACGGTTTCCAGAAACAGGGCGGCCTCTGCTAGCTAAGCGCCGTTAGGGAAAGAGGTTAGGTGGCGGGGTGGCTAAAGCGCGCGTGTGAGGGGGAAAGGGGCGGTGTGAGCAGGGAGGTGACTATGTGGGTGGCGACGGGGTAAAATTACGACGTGTGGGTGGCATGCACGAGTGCGCGACGAGGCACGGCAGGGTGGGAGTGAGCAAAAGGGGAGTGGGGCGGCTTGTGTGCCAAACGTGGGCGGCTAAAACGCTCTAGGCAGAAAACGCGCTTCGGGAGGCGCGCAAGGGGAGGGCTGCTTAATCGCTACGAACGTAGCAATTTCGCCTCCCTCCGCGCTGCCTTTCCCTGGCGGTAAGCGCCCCGTGCGCGGTTCCGTCTACGTCGCGGCTAGATTGAACAGGCGGGGAAAACGAGTGCATGACTAAACATGATAGGCGACGAGAAAGCGTGCTTGGAAACGCGCGGCTCTTCGAATTAGGGTTACGATAAAGAAGGGCGCACCGAAAGGGAAGGAAGAGTGCTAACTACGGGCGGAAGCTAAGCTCAGTGACTTCGAGAGAGGGAAACCGCGGGAAAAAACTCGGTAGCAGCTAATCGCTTCGAATAGAAAAGCCGTGAGCAGAAAAGAGCGGGGGGATAAGGGAGAGTGTCGAGAGAGGGGATGGGCGGGAACACCGTGTCTGGCGGAGTTGTGGTTGTGAGTCGCGCGCGCTGTTACACTCCGCGGGCGAACTTCGCGTCAGCGCCCCACCTCCCGTTACACCGGCTGCAGCGCGTCCGCAGCGATCCCGCGATGGCGGGGTCGAACAAACGGTTCCGTAACACCCCGCGAGTTCCGTTTCCGAGACTCCTGAGGGTCGCGCGCGAAACTCGCGACCCCCGTCCCGTCGAACTCGACAGTCGAAACTAAAAAACTAACCGTTGGAAACGCTTATAACTATAACATAAACAACTATCACAATCACTTTGTCCTTAAGCAACTCGAAATAGTAGGTTTAGGAGGCTCCTTAGTAGGCAGCCATGGCTAGGTAAGCTAGGTCAAGGTAAGAGCGCCGGTGGGCGAGAGCAGTACTGGGCTGGGTGACCTCCCGGGAAGTCCTCGTGTTGTACCCATTTATGCCCCTTGCTCGGCACGTGCCGGGGGAGGGGCAAGCGGGAAAAAGAAAGGACGATTTTAGCGCGTCCGATTCTTTTCTTTTCGTTTTTTTGCCCAAACAACGACCCAGCGGGGTGGGGGGCCCCCGGGGAGGCTTGCCCATGCGAAGAAACGCCCCGTGCGCACCACCGTTGGGCGGTTGGAAGCCGCACACGGTCGCGGGGGTGGAGAGCGGAAACGGGCAGCCGGGGGAGGGTGGGGGCGGTTGGATGGGACTTGGGGTGTACGGGGGGCAGGGGAGTTGAGGGGGCAAGGGGAGGGGCAGCAACGGGCAGGGGCTGGGCCAACTGAGGGCACGGAAAAGGGGCGGGCAGAGGGTGAGCAGAGGGGCGAGCGATGCAAGGGTGGCACCATAGGGGGGAAACCAGTTGCACGGAGGTGGGAGGTGAGGGGCGTGCGAGGGGGTGGGAAAGGGGCAGGGAGGGGCAGAATGGGAGGATGTAGGTGGGGGGGGGTGGGGGAGGGGAGTGTGCGTGTGTGTGTGTGTGTGAGAAAGAGAGAGAGAGAGAGAGAGAGAGAGAGAGAGAGGGAGGGGGGGATTGAAGGGTGGGAGGGGGGCTGGTCGTGGGGATGGGCTGATGGTGGTAAGAGGGCAGCAGGGATGGGGAGAAGGGAGCGTAACGAGGGGAGAGCAAAGGGCAGGGGGGGAGGAAGGGAGGGGCAGGGAGGGAAGAGGCTGAACGTACAAAGGGGGGAAACGAGGGGCATGGATGATAGGAAACGAGGGCAGGGGTGTGGGAAATCAAGGGCAGGGAGGAGAGAAGCAATGGGTGAGGGGAAAACAAGGGAGGGGCAGACGGGGGGCAGGGAGGGAAGAAACGTGGGGCAGGGAGGGGAGAAGCCAAAGACAGGGGCATGGGCAGGCGGGGGCAGGGAGGGAGCAAAGGAGAGGCACGGAGAAAGAAAGGGAGGCGCGGGGAGGGGAGAAACCGGGCGTGGGGGGGGGGGGGCGGAAAATGAGGGGCAGGGCGGGGAGGAGGGAGGGGCAGGGAGGGGAGAAGCTGAGCACACGGAGGGGGGAAAGGTGAGGCAGGGAGGTAGGAAGCCAAGGACAAGGGGGGGGGAGAGTGGGGGGGGGGCAGGGAGAGGGGGGAGGTGGGGAGCGGGGAAAGGCGGCGAGGGGCAGGGAGGGGAGAAACCAAGCATAGGGGGGCGAGATACGAGGGGCAGGGTGCGGATTGAGGAGGGGCAGGGAGTGGAGTGGGTCGGCGAGGGGAAGGAAGAGGCGTGCAGCAGAGGAGGGGAGGGGGGAGGAGAAGGTAAAGGAGGGGAGCGCACGGGCGGGGAGGAGCGAATGGCGGGCGGTGGGAAACGGCGAGGGGGGGCAGGGAGGGTCAAAAGAGGCGGCAAGGGAGCGGGCACGCGGAGGGTAGGGGCGGGGGGAGCGGATGGCATGAGGGGGCAGGGGGTGTGACTATGAAGGGGGGGACCCGGGCAAGGGGTGTGTAGCGGTCGGGGCACGAGGTTGACGTGGTACGATCATACCTCAGCTATTAGCCGGATCCCATCAGAACTCCGAAGCTAAGCGCCGGTGGGCGAGAGCAGTACTGGGCTGGGTGACCTCCCGGGAAGTCCTCGTGTTGTACCCATTTATGCCCCTTGCTCGGCACGTGCCGGGGGAGGGGCAAGCGGGAAAAAGAAAGGACGATTTTAGCGCGTCCGATTCTTTTCTTTTCGTTTTTTTGCCCAAACAACGACCCAGCGGGGTGGGGGGCCCCCGGGGAGGCTTGCCCATGCGAAGAAACGCCCCGTGCGCACCACCGTTGGGCGGTTGGAAGCCGCACACGGTCGCGGGGGTGGAGAGCGGAAACGGGCAGCCGGGGGAGGGTGGGGGCGGTTGGATGGGACTTGGGGTGTACGGGGGGCAGGGGAGTTGAGGGGGCAAGGGGAGGGGCAGCAACGGGCAGGGGCTGGGCCAACTGAGGGCACGGAAAAGGGGCGGGCAGAGGGTGAGCAGAGGGGCGAGCGATGCAAGGGTGGCACCATAGGGGGGAAACCAGTTGCACGGAGGTGGGAGGTGAGGGGCGTGCGAGGGGGTGGGAAAGGGGCAGGGAGGGGCAGAATGGGAGGATGTAGGTGGGGGGGGGTGGGGGAGGGGAGTGTGCGTGTGTGTGTGTGTGTGAGAAAGAGAGAGAGAGAGAGAGAGAGAGAGAGAGAGAGAGAGGGAGGGGGGGATTGAAGGGTGGGAGGGGGGCTGGTCGTGGGGATGGGCTGATGGTGGTAAGAGGGCAGCAGGGATGGGGAGAAGGGAGCGTAACGAGGGGAGAGCAAAGGGCAGGGGGGGAGGAAGGGAGGGGCAGGGAGGGAAGAGGCTGAACGTACAAAGGGGGGAAACGAGGGGCATGGATGATAGGAAACGAGGGCAGGGGTGTGGGAAATCAAGGGCAGGGAGGAGAGAAGCAATGGGTGAGGGGAAAACAAGGGAGGGGCAGACGGGGGGCAGGGAGGGAAGAAACGTGGGGCAGGGAGGGGAGAAGCCAAAGACAGGGGCATGGGCAGGCGGGGGCAGGGAGGGAGCAAAGGAGAGGCACGGAGAAAGAAAGGGAGGCGCGGGGAGGGGAGAAACCGGGCGTGGGGGGGGGGGGGGCGGAAAATGAGGGGCAGGGCGGGGAGGAGGGAGGGGCAGGGAGGGGAGAAGCTGAGCACACGGAGGGGGGAAAGGTGAGGCAGGGAGGTAGGAAGCCAAGGACAAGGGGGGGGGAGAGTGGGGGGGGCAGGGAGAGGGGGGAGGTGGGGAGCGGGGAAAGGCGGCGAGGGGCAGGGAGGGGAGAAACCAAGCATAGGGGGGCGAGATACGAGGGGCAGGGTGCGGATTGAGGAGGGGCAGGGAGTGGAGTGGGTCGGCGAGGGGAAGGAAGAGGCGTGCAGCAGAGGAGGGGAGGGGGGAGGAGAAGGTAAAGGAGGGGAGCGCACGGGCGGGGAGGAGCGAATGGCGGGCGGTGGGAAACGGCGAGGGGGGGCAGGGAGGGTCAAAAGAGGCGGCAAGGGAGCGGGCACGCGGAGGGTAGGGGCGGGGGGAGCGGATGGCATGAGGGGGCAGGGGGTGTGACTATGAAGGGGGGGACCCGGGCAAGGGGTGTGTAGCGGTCGGGGCACGAGGTTGACGTGGTACGATCATACCTCAGCTACTTACGCCGGATCCCATCAGAACTCCGAAGCTAAGCGCCGGTGGGCGAGAGCAGTACTGGGCTGGGTGACCTCCCGGGAAGTCCTCGTGTTGTACCCATTTATGCCCCTTGCTCGGCACGTGCCGGGGGAGGGGCAAGCGGGAAAAAGAAAGGACGATTTTAGCGCGTCCGATTCTTTTCTTTTCGTTTTTTTTGCCCAAACAACGACCCAGCGGGGTGGGGGGCCCCCGGGGAGGCTTGCCCATGCGAAGAAACGCCCCGTGCGCACCACCGTTGGGCGGTTGGAAGCCGCACACGGTCGCGGGGGTGGAGAGCGGAAACGGGCAGCCGGGGGAGGGTGGGGGCGGTTGGATGGGACTTGGGGTGTACGGGGGGCAGGGGAGTTGAGGGGGCAAGGGGAGGGGCAGCAACGGGCAGGGGCTGGGCCAACTGAGGGCACGGAAAAGGGGCGGGCAGAGGGTGAGCAGAGGGGCGAGCGATGCAAGGGTGGCACCATAGGGGGGAAACCAGTTGCACGGAGGTGGGAGGTGAGGGGCGTGCGAGGGGGTGGGAAAGGGGCAGGGAGGGGCAGAATGGGAGGATGTAGGTGGGGGGGGGTGGGGGAGGGGAGTGTGCGTGTGTGTGTGTGTGTGAGAAAGAGAGAGAGAGAGAGAGAGAGAGAGAGAGAGAGGGAGGGGGGATTGAAGGGTGGGAGGGGGGCTGGTCGTGGGGATGGGCTGATGGTGGTAAGAGGGCAGCAGGGATGGGGAGAAGGGAGCGTAACGAGGGGAGAGCAAAGGGCAGGGGGGGAGGAAGGGAGGGGCAGGGAGGGAAGAGGCTGAACGTACAAAGGGGGGAAACGAGGGGCATGGATGATAGGAAACGAGGGCAGGGGTGTGGGAAATCAAGGGCAGGGAGGAGAGAAGCAATGGGTGAGGGGAAAACAAGGGAGGGGCAGACGGGGGGCAGGGAGGGAAGAAACGTGGGGCAGGGAGGGGAGAAGCCAAAGACAGGGGCATGGGCAGGCGGGGGCAGGGAGGGAGCAAAGGAGAGGCACGGAGAAAGAAAGGGAGGCGCGGGGAGGGGAGAAACCGGGCGTGGGGGGGGGGGGGCGGAAAATGAGGGGCAGGGCGGGGAGGAGGGAGGGGCAGGGAGGGGAGAAGCTGAGCACACGGAGGGGGGAAAGGTGAGGCAGGGAGGTAGGAAGCCAAGGACAAGGGGGGGGGAGAGTGGGGGGGGCAGGGAGAGGGGGGAGGTGGGGAGCGGGGAAAGGCGGCGAGGGGCAGGGAGGGGAGAAACCAAGCATAGGGGGGCGAGATACGAGGGGCAGGGTGCGGATTGAGGAGGGGCAGGGAGTGGAGTGGGTCGGCGAGGGGAAGGAAGAGGCGTGCAGCAGAGGAGGGGAGGGGGGAGGAGAAGGTAAAGGAGGGGAGCGCACGGGCGGGGAGGAGCGAATGGCGGGCGGTGGGAAACGGCGAGGGGGGGCAGGGAGGGTCAAAAGAGGCGGCAAGGGAGCGGGCACGCGGAGGGTAGGGGCGGGGGGAGCGGATGGCATGAGGGGGCAGGGGGTGTGACTATGAAGGGGGGGACCCGGGCAAGGGGTGTGTAGCGGTCGGGGCACGAGGTTGACGTGGTACGATCATACCTCGGCTACTACGCCGGATCCCATCAGAACTCCGAAGCTAAGCGCCGGTGGGCGAGAGCAGTTATTCATTAATAGGGGAAGAGCAAATACAAGCCGAATATAATGGTTTTTCCAAGACTAGGAAATTTCGACATAGCCTAATCGCTATGAGGACGGTATATATATTTTGTAGGAAAAGGGGGAAAGAAAGGAAAGGAAGGAAGGATGAAGGAGTAAGAAGAAGTGGTAGGGAAAAGAAGAGGGCGGTAGGAAGAGAAGGGAAGGATAGAAGAAGGGAACAGAAAGAGGGAGGTGGGAAGAAAAGAGGAGAGAGGGAGAGAGACTAAGGAGGAGGAAGCACCAAAGGACCAAAACACGGCAGCAACCCGCACGACCGCACGGGCACAGCGTTTTCAAGCACAGCCACTATCGGTGGGCGAGAGCAGTACTGGGCTGGGTGACCTCCCGGGAAGTCCTCGTGTTGTACCCATTTATGCCCCTTGCTCGGCACGTGCCGGGGGAGGGGCAAGCGGGAAAAAGAAAGGACGATTTTAGCGCGTCCGATTCTTTTCTTTTCGTTTTTTTGCCCAAACAACGACCCCAGCGGGGTGGGGGGCCCCCGGGGAGGCTTGCCCATGCGAAGAAACGCCCCGTGCGCACCACCGTTGGGCGGTTGGAAGCCGCACACGGTCGCGGGGGTGGAGAGCGGAAACGGGCAGCCGGGGGAGGGTGGGGGCGGTTGGATGGGACTTGGGGTGTACGGGGGGCAGGGGAGTTGAGGGGGCAAGGGGAGGGGCAGCAACGGGCAGGGGCTGGGCCAACTGAGGGCACGGAAAAGGGGCGGGCAGAGGGTGAGCAGAGGGGCGAGCGATGCAAGGGTGGCACCATAGGGGGGAAACCAGTTGCACGGAGGTGGGAGGTGAGGGGCGTGCGAGGGGGTGGGAAAGGGGCAGGGAGGGGCAGAATGGGAGGATGTAGGTGGGGGGGGGTGGGGGAGGGGAGTGTGCGTGTGTGTGTGTGTGTGAGAAAGAGAGAGAGAGAGAGAGAGAGAGAGAGAGAGAGAGGGAGGGGGGGATTGAAGGGTGGGAGGGGGGCTGGTCGTGGGGATGGGCTGATGGTGGTAAGAGGGCAGCAGGGATGGGGAGAAGGGAGCGTAACGAGGGGAGAGCAAAGGGCAGGGGGGGAGGAAGGGAGGGGCAGGGAGGGAAGAGGCTGAACGTACAAAGGGGGGAAACGAGGGGCATGGATGATAGGAAACGAGGGCAGGGGTGTGGGAAATCAAGGGCAGGGAGGAGAGAAGCAATGGGTGAGGGGAAAACAAGGGAGGGGCAGACGGGGGGCAGGGAGGGAAGAAACGTGGGGCAGGGAGGGGAGAAGCCAAAGACAGGGGCATGGGCAGGCGGGGGCAGGGAGGGAGCAAAGGAGAGGCACGGAGAAAGAAAGGGAGGCGCGGGGAGGGGAGAAACCGGGCGTGGGGGGGGGGGGGGCGGAAAATGAGGGGCAGGGCGGGGAGGAGGGAGGGGCAGGGAGGGGAGAAGCTGAGCACACGGAGGGGGGAAAGGTGAGGCAGGGAGGTAGGAAGCCAAGGACAAGGGGGGGGGAGAGTGGGGGGGGCAGGGAGAGGGGGGAGGTGGGGAGCGGGGAAAGGCGGCGAGGGGCAGGGAGGGGAGAAACCAAGCATAGGGGGGCGAGATACGAGGGGCAGGGTGCGGATTGAGGAGGGGCAGGGAGTGGAGTGGGTCGGCGAGGGGAAGGAAGAGGCGTGCAGCAGAGGAGGGGAGGGGGGAGGAGAAGGTAAAGGAGGGGAGCGCACGGGCGGGGAGGAGCGAATGGCGGGCGGTGGGAAACGGCGAGGGGGGGCAGGGAGGGTCAAAAGAGGCGGCAAGGGAGCGGGCACGCGGAGGGTAGGGGCGGGGGGAGCGGATGGCATGAGGGGGCAGGGGGTGTGACTATGAAGGGGGGGACCCGGGCAAGGGGTGTGTAGCGGTCGGGGCACGAGGTTGACGTGGTACGATCATACCTCGGCTACTACGCCGGATCCCATCAGAACTCCGAAGCTAAGCGCCGGTGGGCGAGAGCAGTTATTCATTAATAGGGGAAGAGCAAATACAAGCCGAATATAATGGTTTTTCCAAGACTAGGAAATTTCGACATAGCCTAATCGCTATGAGGACGGTATATATATTTTGTAGGAAAAGGGGGAAAGAAAGGAAAGGAAGGAAGGATGAAGGAGTAAGAAGAAGTGGTAGGGAAAAGAAGAGGGCGGTAGGAAGAGAAGGGAAGGATAGAAGAAGGGAACAGAAAGAGGGAGGTGGGAAGAAAAGAGGAGAGAGGGAGAGAGACTAAGGAGGAGGAAGCACCAAAGGACCAAAACACGGCAGCAACCCGCACGACCGCACGGGCACAGCGTTTCAAGCACAGCCACTATCGGTGGGCGAGAGCAGTACTGGGCTGGGTGACCTCCCGGGAAGTCCTCGTGTTGTACCCATTTATGCCCCTTGCTCGGCACGTGCCGGGGGAGGGGCAAGCGGGAAAAAGAAAGGACGATTTTAGCGCGTCCGATTCTTTTCTTTTCGTTTTTTTTGCCCAAACAACGACCCAGCGGGGTGGGGGGCCCCCGGGGAGGCTTGCCCATGCGAAGAAACGCCCCGTGCGCACCACCGTTGGGCGGTTGGAAGCCGCACACGGTCGCGGGGGTGGAGAGCGGAAACGGGCAGCCGGGGGAGGGTGGGGGCGGTTGGATGGGACTTGGGGTGTACGGGGGGCAGGGGAGTTGAGGGGGCAAGGGGAGGGGCAGCAACGGGCAGGGGCTGGGCCAACTGAGGGCACGGAAAAGGGGCGGGCAGAGGGTGAGCAGAGGGGCGAGCGATGCAAGGGTGGCACCATAGGGGGGAAACCAGTTGCACGGAGGTGGGAGGTGAGGGGCGTGCGAGGGGGTGGGAAAGGGGCAGGGAGGGGCAGAATGGGAGGATGTAGGTGGGGGGGGGTGGGGGAGGGGAGTGTGCGTGTGTGTGTGTGTGTGAGAAAGAGAGAGAGAGAGAGAGAGAGAGAGAGAGAGAGGGAGGGGGGGATTGAAGGGTGGGAGGGGGGCTGGTCGTGGGGATGGGCTGATGGTGGTAAGAGGGCAGCAGGGATGGGGAGAAGGGAGCGTAACGAGGGGAGAGCAAAGGGCAGGGGGGGAGGAAGGGAGGGGCAGGGAGGGAAGAGGCTGAACGTACAAAGGGGGGAAACGAGGGGCATGGATGATAGGAAACGAGGGCAGGGGTGTGGGAAATCAAGGGCAGGGAGGAGAGAAGCAATGGGTGAGGGGAAAACAAGGGAGGGGCAGACGGGGGGCAGGGAGGGAAGAAACGTGGGGCAGGGAGGGGAGAAGCCAAAGACAGGGGCATGGGCAGGCGGGGGCAGGGAGGGAGCAAAGGAGAGGCACGGAGAAAGAAAGGGAGGCGCGGGGAGGGGAGAAACCGGGCGTGGGGGGGGGGGGGGCGGAAAATGAGGGGCAGGGCGGGGAGGAGGGAGGGGCAGGGAGGGGAGAAGCTGAGCACACGGAGGGGGGAAAGGTGAGGCAGGGAGGTAGGAAGCCAAGGACAAGGGGGGGGGGAGAGTGGGGGGGGCAGGGAGAGGGGGGAGGTGGGGAGCGGGGAAAGGCGGCGAGGGGCAGGGAGGGGAGAAACCAAGCATAGGGGGGCGAGATACGAGGGGCAGGGTGCGGATTGAGGAGGGGCAGGGAGTGGAGTGGGTCGGCGAGGGGAAGGAAGAGGCGTGCAGCAGAGGAGGGGAGGGGGGAGGAGAAGGTAAAGGAGGGGAGCGCACGGGCGGGGAGGAGCGAATGGCGGGCGGTGGGAAACGGCGAGGGGGGGCAGGGAGGGTCAAAAGAGGCGGCAAGGGAGCGGGCACGCGGAGGGTAGGGGCGGGGGGAGCGGATGGCATGAGGGGGCAGGGGGTGTGACTATGAAGGGGGGGACCCGGGCAAGGGGTGTGTAGCGGTCGGGGCACGAGGTTGACGTGGTACGATCATACCTCGGCTACTACGCCGGATCCCATCAGAACTCCGAAGCTAAGCGCCGGTGGGCGAGAGCAGTTATTCATTAATAGGGGAAGAGCAAATACAAGCCGAATATAATGGTTTTTCCAAGACTAGGAAATTTCGACATAGCCTAATCGCTATGAGGACGGTATATATATTTTGTAGGAAAAGGGGGAAAGAAAGGAAAGGAAGGAAGGATGAAGGAGTAAGAAGAAGTGGTAGGGAAAAGAAGAGGGCGGTAGGAAGAGAAGGGAAGGATAGAAGAAGGGAACAGAAAGAGGGAGGTGGGAAGAAAAGAGGAGAGAGGGAGAGAGACTAAGGAGGAGGAAGCACCAAAGGACCAAAACACGGCAGCAACCCGCACGACCGCACGGGCACAGCGTTTCAAGCACAGCCACTATCGGTGGGCGAGAGCAGTACTGGGCTGGGTGACCTCCCGGGAAGTCCTCGTGTTGTACCCATTTATGCCCCTTGCTCGGCACGTGCCGGGGGAGGGGCAAGCGGGAAAAAGAAAGGACGATTTTAGCGCGTCCGATTCTTTTCTTTTCGTTTTTTTGCCCAAACAACGACCCAGCGGGGTGGGGGGCCCCCGGGGAGGCTTGCCCATGCGAAGAAACGCCCCGTGCGCACCACCGTTGGGCGGTTGGAAGCCGCACACGGTCGCGGGGGTGGAGAGCGGAAACGGGCAGCCGGGGGAGGGTGGGGGCGGTTGGATGGGACTTGGGGTGTACGGGGGGCAGGGGAGTTGAGGGGGCAAGGGGAGGGGCAGCAACGGGCAGGGGCTGGGCCAACTGAGGGCACGGAAAAGGGGCGGGCAGAGGGTGAGCAGAGGGGCGAGCGATGCAAGGGTGGCACCATAGGGGGGAAACCAGTTGCACGGAGGTGGGAGGTGAGGGGCGTGCGAGGGGGTGGGAAAGGGGCAGGGAGGGGCAGAATGGGAGGATGTAGGTGGGGGGGGGTGGGGGAGGGGAGTGTGCGTGTGTGTGTGTGTGTGAGAAAGAGAGAGAGAGAGAGAGAGAGAGAGAGAGAGAGAGGGAGGGGGGGATTGAAGGGTGGGAGGGGGGCTGGTCGTGGGGATGGGCTGATGGTGGTAAGAGGGCAGCAGGGATGGGGAGAAGGGAGCGTAACGAGGGGAGAGCAAAGGGCAGGGGGGGAGGAAGGGAGGGGCAGGGAGGGAAGAGGCTGAACGTACAAAGGGGGGAAACGAGGGGCATGGATGATAGGAAACGAGGGCAGGGGTGTGGGAAATCAAGGGCAGGGAGGAGAGAAGCAATGGGTGAGGGGAAAACAAGGGAGGGGCAGACGGGGGGCAGGGAGGGAAGAAACGTGGGGCAGGGAGGGGAGAAGCCAAAGACAGGGGCATGGGCAGGCGGGGGCAGGGAGGGAGCAAAGGAGAGGCACGGAGAAAGAAAGGGAGGCGCGGGGAGGGGAGAAACCGGGCGTGGGGGGGGGGGGGCGGAAAATGAGGGGCAGGGCGGGGAGGAGGGAGGGGCAGGGAGGGGAGAAGCTGAGCACACGGAGGGGGGAAAGGTGAGGCAGGGAGGTAGGAAGCCAAGGACAAGGGGGGGGGGAGAGTGGGGGGGGCAGGGAGAGGGGGGAGGTGGGGAGCGGGGAAAGGCGGCGAGGGGCAGGGAGGGGAGAAACCAAGCATAGGGGGGCGAGATACGAGGGGCAGGGTGCGGATTGAGGAGGGGCAGGGAGTGGAGTGGGTCGGCGAGGGGAAGGAAGAGGCGTGCAGCAGAGGAGGGGAGGGGGGAGGAGAAGGTAAAGGAGGGGAGCGCACGGGCGGGGAGGAGCGAATGGCGGGCGGTGGGAAACGGCGAGGGGGGGCAGGGAGGGTCAAAAGAGGCGGCAAGGGAGCGGGCACGCGGAGGGTAGGGGCGGGGGGAGCGGATGGCATGAGGGGGCAGGGGGTGTGACTATGAAGGGGGGGACCCGGGCAAGGGGTGTGTAGCGGTCGGGGCACGAGGTTGACGTGGTACGATCATACCTCGGCTACTTACGCCGGATCCCATCAGAACTCCGAAGCTAAGCGCCGGTGGGCGAGAGCAGTACTGGGCTGGGTGACCTCCCGGGAAGTCCTCGTGTTGTACCCATTTATGCCCCTTGCTCGGCACGTGCCGGGGGAGGGGCAAGCGGGAAAAAGAAAGGACGATTTTAGCGCGTCCGATTCTTTTCTTTTCGTTTTTTTGCCCAAACAACGACCCAGCGGGGTGGGGGGCCCCCGGGGAGGCTTGCCCATGCGAAGAAACGCCCCGTGCGCACCACCGTTGGGCGGTTGGAAGCCGCACACGGTCGCGGGGGTGGAGAGCGGAAACGGGCAGCCGGGGGAGGGTGGGGGCGGTTGGATGGGACTTGGGGTGTACGGGGGGCAGGGGAGTTGAGGGGGCAAGGGGAGGGGCAGCAACGGGCAGGGGCTGGGCCAACTGAGGGCACGGAAAAGGGGCGGGCAGAGGGTGAGCAGAGGGGCGAGCGATGCAAGGGTGGCACCATAGGGGGGAAACCAGTTGCACGGAGGTGGGAGGTGAGGGGCGTGCGAGGGGGTGGGAAAGGGGCAGGGAGGGGCAGAATGGGAGGATGTAGGTGGGGGGGGGTGGGGGAGGGGAGTGTGCGTGTGTGTGTGTGTGTGAGAAAGAGAGAGAGAGAGAGAGAGAGAGAGAGAGAGAGAGAGGGAGGGGGGGATTGAAGGGTGGGAGGGGGGCTGGTCGTGGGGATGGGCTGATGGTGGTAAGAGGGCAGCAGGGATGGGGAGAAGGGAGCGTAACGAGGGGAGAGCAAAGGGCAGGGGGGGAGGAAGGGAGGGGCAGGGAGGGAAGAGGCTGAACGTACAAAGGGGGGAAACGAGGGGCATGGATGATAGGAAACGAGGGCAGGGGTGTGGGAAATCAAGGGCAGGGAGGAGAGAAGCAATGGGTGAGGGGAAAACAAGGGAGGGGCAGACGGGGGGCAGGGAGGGAAGAAACGTGGGGCAGGGAGGGGAGAAGCCAAAGACAGGGGCATGGGCAGGCGGGGGCAGGGAGGGAGCAAAGGAGAGGCACGGAGAAAGAAAGGGAGGCGCGGGGAGGGGAGAAACCGGGCGTGGGGGGGGGGGGGGCGGAAAATGAGGGGCAGGGCGGGGAGGAGGGAGGGGCAGGGAGGGGAGAAGCTGAGCACACGGAGGGGGGAAAGGTGAGGCAGGGAGGTAGGAAGCCAAGGACAAGGGGGGGGGAGAGTGGGGGGGGCAGGGAGAGGGGGGAGGTGGGGAGCGGGGAAAGGCGGCGAGGGGCAGGGAGGGGAGAAACCAAGCATAGGGGGGCGAGATACGAGGGGCAGGGTGCGGATTGAGGAGGGGCAGGGAGTGGAGTGGGTCGGCGAGGGGAAGGAAGAGGCGTGCAGCAGAGGAGGGGAGGGGGGAGGAGAAGGTAAAGGAGGGGAGCGCACGGGCGGGGAGGAGCGAATGGCGGGCGGTGGGAAACGGCGAGGGGGGGCAGGGAGGGTCAAAAGAGGCGGCAAGGGAGCGGGCACGCGGAGGGTAGGGGCGGGGGGAGCGGATGGCATGAGGGGGCAGGGGGTGTGACTATGAAGGGGGGGACCCGGGCAAGGGGTGTGTAGCGGTCGGGGCACGAGGTTGACGTGGTACGATCATACCTCAGCTATTAGCCGGATCCCATCAGAACTCCGAAGCTAAGCGCCGGTGGGCGAGAGCAGTACTGGGCTGGGTGACCTCCCGGGAAGTCCTCGTGTTGTACCCATTTATGCCCCTTGCTCGGCACGTGCCGGGGGAGGGGCAAGCGGGAAAAAGAAAGGACGATTTTAGCGCGTCCGATTCTTTTCTTTTCGTTTTTTTTGCCCAAACAACGACCCAGCGGGGTGGGGGGCCCCCGGGGAGGCTTGCCCATGCGAAGAAACGCCCCGTGCGCACCACCGTTGGGCGGTTGGAAGCCGCACACGGTCGCGGGGGTGGAGAGCGGAAACGGGCAGCCGGGGGAGGGTGGGGGCGGTTGGATGGGACTTGGGGTGTACGGGGGGCAGGGGAGTTGAGGGGGCAAGGGGAGGGGCAGCAACGGGCAGGGGCTGGGCCAACTGAGGGCACGGAAAAGGGGCGGGCAGAGGGTGAGCAGAGGGGCGAGCGATGCAAGGGTGGCACCATAGGGGGGAAACCAGTTGCACGGAGGTGGGAGGTGAGGGGCGTGCGAGGGGGTGGGAAAGGGGCAGGGAGGGGCAGAATGGGAGGATGTAGGTGGGGGGGGGTGGGGGAGGGGAGTGTGCGTGTGTGTGTGTGTGTGAGAAAGAGAGAGAGAGAGAGAGAGAGAGAGAGAGAGAGAGGGAGGGGGGGATTGAAGGGTGGGAGGGGGGCTGGTCGTGGGGATGGGCTGATGGTGGTAAGAGGGCAGCAGGGATGGGGAGAAGGGAGCGTAACGAGGGGAGAGCAAAGGGCAGGGGGGGAGGAAGGGAGGGGCAGGGAGGGAAGAGGCTGAACGTACAAAGGGGGGAAACGAGGGGCATGGATGATAGGAAACGAGGGCAGGGGTGTGGGAAATCAAGGGCAGGGAGGAGAGAAGCAATGGGTGAGGGGAAAACAAGGGAGGGGCAGACGGGGGGCAGGGAGGGAAGAAACGTGGGGCAGGGAGGGGAGAAGCCAAAGACAGGGGCATGGGCAGGCGGGGGCAGGGAGGGAGCAAAGGAGAGGCACGGAGAAAGAAAGGGAGGCGCGGGGAGGGGAGAAACCGGGCGTGGGGGGGGGGGGGCGGAAAATGAGGGGCAGGGCGGGGAGGAGGGAGGGGCAGGGAGGGGAGAAGCTGAGCACACGGAGGGGGGAAAGGTGAGGCAGGGAGGTAGGAAGCCAAGGACAAGGGGGGGGGGAGAGTGGGGGGGGCAGGGAGAGGGGGGAGGTGGGGAGCGGGGAAAGGCGGCGAGGGGCAGGGAGGGGAGAAACCAAGCATAGGGGGGCGAGATACGAGGGGCAGGGTGCGGATTGAGGAGGGGCAGGGAGTGGAGTGGGTCGGCGAGGGGAAGGAAGAGGCGTGCAGCAGAGGAGGGGAGGGGGGAGGAGAAGGTAAAGGAGGGGAGCGCACGGGCGGGGAGGAGCGAATGGCGGGCGGTGGGAAACGGCGAGGGGGGGCAGGGAGGGTCAAAAGAGGCGGCAAGGGAGCGGGCACGCGGAGGGTAGGGGCGGGGGGAGCGGATGGCATGAGGGGGCAGGGGGTGTGACTATGAAGGGGGGGACCCGGGCAAGGGGTGTGTAGCGGTCGGGGCACGAGGTTGACGTGGTACGATCATACCTCGGCTACTACGCCGGATCCCATCAGAACTCCGAAGCTAAGCGCCGGTGGGCGAGAGCAGTTATTCATTAATAGGGGAAGAGCAAATACAAGCCGAATATAATGGTTTTTCCAAGACTAGGAAATTTCGACATAGCCTAATCGCTATGAGGACGGTATATATATTTTGTAGGAAAAGGGGGAAAGAAAGGAAAGGAAGGAAGGATGAAGGAGTAAGAAGAAGTGGTAGGGAAAAGAAGAGGGCGGTAGGAAGAGAAGGGAAGGATAGAAGAAGGGAACAGAAAGAGGGAGGTGGGAAGAAAAGAGGAGAGAGGGAGAGAGACTAAGGAGGAGGAAGCACCAAAGGACCAAAACACGGCAGCAACCCGCACGACCGCACGGGCACAGCGTTTCAAGCACAGCCACTATCGGTGGGCGAGAGCAGTACTGGGCTGGGTGACCTCCCGGGAAGTCCTCGTGTTGTACCCATTTATGCCCCTTGCTCGGCACGTGCCGGGGGAGGGGCAAGCGGGAAAAAGAAAGGACGATTTTAGCGCGTCCGATTCTTTTCTTTTCGTTTTTTTTGCCCAAACAACGACCCAGCGGGGTGGGGGGCCCCCGGGGAGGCTTGCCCATGCGAAGAAACGCCCCGTGCGCACCACCGTTGGGCGGTTGGAAGCCGCACACGGTCGCGGGGGTGGAGAGCGGAAACGGGCAGCCGGGGGAGGGTGGGGGCGGTTGGATGGGACTTGGGGTGTACGGGGGGCAGGGGAGTTGAGGGGGCAAGGGGAGGGGCAGCAACGGGCAGGGGCTGGGCCAACTGAGGGCACGGAAAAGGGGCGGGCAGAGGGTGAGCAGAGGGGCGAGCGATGCAAGGGTGGCACCATAGGGGGGAAACCAGTTGCACGGAGGTGGGAGGTGAGGGGCGTGCGAGGGGGTGGGAAAGGGGCAGGGAGGGGCAGAATGGGAGGATGTAGGTGGGGGGGGGTGGGGGAGGGGAGTGTGCGTGTGTGTGTGTGTGTGAGAAAGAGAGAGAGAGAGAGAGAGAGAGAGAGAGAGAGAGGGAGGGGGGGATTGAAGGGTGGGAGGGGGGCTGGTCGTGGGGATGGGCTGATGGTGGTAAGAGGGCAGCAGGGATGGGGAGAAGGGAGCGTAACGAGGGGAGAGCAAAGGGCAGGGGGGGAGGAAGGGAGGGGCAGGGAGGGAAGAGGCTGAACGTACAAAGGGGGGAAACGAGGGGCATGGATGATAGGAAACGAGGGCAGGGGTGTGGGAAATCAAGGGCAGGGAGGAGAGAAGCAATGGGTGAGGGGAAAACAAGGGAGGGGCAGACGGGGGGCAGGGAGGGAAGAAACGTGGGGCAGGGAGGGGAGAAGCCAAAGACAGGGGCATGGGCAGGCGGGGGCAGGGAGGGAGCAAAGGAGAGGCACGGAGAAAGAAAGGGAGGCGCGGGGAGGGGAGAAACCGGGCGTGGGGGGGGGGGGGCGGAAAATGAGGGGCAGGGCGGGGAGGAGGGAGGGGCAGGGAGGGGAGAAGCTGAGCACACGGAGGGGGGAAAGGTGAGGCAGGGAGGTAGGAAGCCAAGGACAAGGGGGGGGGGAGAGTGGGGGGGGCAGGGAGAGGGGGGAGGTGGGGAGCGGGGAAAGGCGGCGAGGGGCAGGGAGGGGAGAAACCAAGCATAGGGGGGCGAGATACGAGGGGCAGGGTGCGGATTGAGGAGGGGCAGGGAGTGGAGTGGGTCGGCGAGGGGAAGGAAGAGGCGTGCAGCAGAGGAGGGGAGGGGGGAGGAGAAGGTAAAGGAGGGGAGCGCACGGGCGGGGAGGAGCGAATGGCGGGCGGTGGGAAACGGCGAGGGGGGGCAGGGAGGGTCAAAAGAGGCGGCAAGGGAGCGGGCACGCGGAGGGTAGGGGCGGGGGGAGCGGATGGCATGAGGGGGCAGGGGGTGTGACTATGAAGGGGGGGACCCGGGCAAGGGGTGTGTAGCGGTCGGGGCACGAGGTTGACGTGGTACGATCATACCTCGGCTACTACGCCGGATCCCATCAGAACTCCGAAGCTAAGCGCCGGTGGGCGAGAGCAGTTATTCATTAATAGGGGAAGAGCAAATACAAGCCGAATATAATGGTTTTTCCAAGACTAGGAAATTTCGACATAGCCTAATCGCTATGAGGACGGTATATATATTTTGTAGGAAAAGGGGGAAAGAAAGGAAAGGAAGGAAGGATGAAGGAGTAAGAAGAAGTGGTAGGGAAAAGAAGAGGGCGGTAGGAAGAGAAGGGAAGGATAGAAGAAGGGAACAGAAAGAGGGAGGTGGGAAGAAAAGAGGAGAGAGGGAGAGAGACTAAGGAGGAGGAAGCACCAAAGGACCAAAACACGGCAGCAACCCGCACGACCGCACGGGCACAGCGTTTCAAGCACAGCCACTATCGGTGGGCGAGAGCAGTACTGGGCTGGGTGACCTCCCGGGAAGTCCTCGTGTTGTACCCATTTATGCCCCTTGCTCGGCACGTGCCGGGGGAGGGGCAAGCGGGAAAAAGAAAGGACGATTTTAGCGCGTCCGATTCTTTTCTTTTCGTTTTTTTTGCCCAAACAACGACCCAGCGGGGTGGGGGGCCCCCGGGGAGGCTTGCCCATGCGAAGAAACGCCCCGTGCGCACCACCGTTGGGCGGTTGGAAGCCGCACACGGTCGCGGGGGTGGAGAGCGGAAACGGGCAGCCGGGGGAGGGTGGGGGCGGTTGGATGGGACTTGGGGTGTACGGGGGGCAGGGGAGTTGAGGGGGCAAGGGGAGGGGCAGCAACGGGCAGGGGCTGGGCCAACTGAGGGCACGGAAAAGGGGCGGGCAGAGGGTGAGCAGAGGGGCGAGCGATGCAAGGGTGGCACCATAGGGGGGAAACCAGTTGCACGGAGGTGGGAGGTGAGGGGCGTGCGAGGGGGTGGGAAAGGGGCAGGGAGGGGCAGAATGGGAGGATGTAGGTGGGGGGGGGTGGGGGAGGGGAGTGTGCGTGTGTGTGTGTGTGTGAGAAAGAGAGAGAGAGAGAGAGAGAGAGAGAGAGAGAGGGAGGGGGGGATTGAAGGGTGGGAGGGGGGCTGGTCGTGGGGATGGGCTGATGGTGGTAAGAGGGCAGCAGGGATGGGGAGAAGGGAGCGTAACGAGGGGAGAGCAAAGGGCAGGGGGGGAGGAAGGGAGGGGCAGGGAGGGAAGAGGCTGAACGTACAAAGGGGGGAAACGAGGGGCATGGATGATAGGAAACGAGGGCAGGGGTGTGGGAAATCAAGGGCAGGGAGGAGAGAAGCAATGGGTGAGGGGAAAACAAGGGAGGGGCAGACGGGGGGCAGGGAGGGAAGAAACGTGGGGCAGGGAGGGGAGAAGCCAAAGACAGGGGCATGGGCAGGCGGGGGCAGGGAGGGAGCAAAGGAGAGGCACGGAGAAAGAAAGGGAGGCGCGGGGAGGGGAGAAACCGGGCGTGGGGGGGGGGGGGGCGGAAAATGAGGGGCAGGGCGGGGAGGAGGGAGGGGCAGGGAGGGGAGAAGCTGAGCACACGGAGGGGGGAAAGGTGAGGCAGGGAGGTAGGAAGCCAAGGACAAGGGGGGGGGGAGAGTGGGGGGGGCAGGGAGAGGGGGGAGGTGGGGAGCGGGGAAAGGCGGCGAGGGGCAGGGAGGGGAGAAACCAAGCATAGGGGGGCGAGATACGAGGGGCAGGGTGCGGATTGAGGAGGGGCAGGGAGTGGAGTGGGTCGGCGAGGGGAAGGAAGAGGCGTGCAGCAGAGGAGGGGAGGGGGGAGGAGAAGGTAAAGGAGGGGAGCGCACGGGCGGGGAGGAGCGAATGGCGGGCGGTGGGAAACGGCGAGGGGGGGCAGGGAGGGTCAAAAGAGGCGGCAAGGGAGCGGGCACGCGGAGGGTAGGGGCGGGGGGAGCGGATGGCATGAGGGGGCAGGGGGTGTGACTATGAAGGGGGGGACCCGGGCAAGGGGTGTGTAGCGGTCGGGGCACGAGGTTGACGTGGTACGATCATACCTCGGCTACTACGCCGGATCCCATCAGAACTCCGAAGCTAAGCGCCGGTGGGCGAGAGCAGTTATTCATTAATAGGGGAAGAGCAAATACAAGCCGAATATAATGGTTTTTCCAAGACTAGGAAATTTCGACATAGCCTAATCGCTATGAGGACGGTATATATATTTTGTAGGAAAAGGGGGAAAGAAAGGAAAGGAAGGAAGGATGAAGGAGTAAGAAGAAGTGGTAGGGAAAAGAAGAGGGCGGTAGGAAGAGAAGGGAAGGATAGAAGAAGGGAACAGAAAGAGGGAGGTGGGAAGAAAAGAGGAGAGAGGGAGAGAGACTAAGGAGGAGGAAGCACCAAAGGACCAAAACACGGCAGCAACCCGCACGACCGCACGGGCACAGCGTTTCAAGCACAGCCACTATCGGTGGGCGAGAGCAGTACTGGGCTGGGTGACCTCCCGGGAAGTCCTCGTGTTGTACCCATTTATGCCCCTTGCTCGGCACGTGCCGGGGGAGGGGCAAGCGGGAAAAAGAAAGGACGATTTTAGCGCGTCCGATTCTTTTCTTTTCGTTTTTTTGCCCAAACAACGACCCAGCGGGGTGGGGGGCCCCCGGGGAGGCTTGCCCATGCGAAGAAACGCCCCGTGCGCACCACCGTTGGGCGGTTGGAAGCCGCACACGGTCGCGGGGGTGGAGAGCGGAAACGGGCAGCCGGGGGAGGGTGGGGGCGGTTGGATGGGACTTGGGGTGTACGGGGGGCAGGGGAGTTGAGGGGGCAAGGGGAGGGGCAGCAACGGGCAGGGGCTGGGCCAACTGAGGGCACGGAAAAGGGGCGGGCAGAGGGTGAGCAGAGGGGCGAGCGATGCAAGGGTGGCACCATAGGGGGGAAACCAGTTGCACGGAGGTGGGAGGTGAGGGGCGTGCGAGGGGGTGGGAAAGGGGCAGGGAGGGGCAGAATGGGAGGATGTAGGTGGGGGGGGGTGGGGGAGGGGAGTGTGCGTGTGTGTGTGTGTGTGAGAAAGAGAGAGAGAGAGAGAGAGAGAGAGAGAGAGAGGGAGGGGGGATTGAAGGGTGGGAGGGGGGCTGGTCGTGGGGATGGGCTGATGGTGGTAAGAGGGCAGCAGGGATGGGGAGAAGGGAGCGTAACGAGGGGAGAGCAAAGGGCAGGGGGGGAGGAAGGGAGGGGCAGGGAGGGAAGAGGCTGAACGTACAAAGGGGGGAAACGAGGGGCATGGATGATAGGAAACGAGGGCAGGGGTGTGGGAAATCAAGGGCAGGGAGGAGAGAAGCAATGGGTGAGGGGAAAACAAGGGAGGGGCAGACGGGGGGCAGGGAGGGAAGAAACGTGGGGCAGGGAGGGGAGAAGCCAAAGACAGGGGCATGGGCAGGCGGGGGCAGGGAGGGAGCAAAGGAGAGGCACGGAGAAAGAAAGGGAGGCGCGGGGAGGGGAGAAACCGGGCGTGGGGGGGGGGGGGCGGAAAATGAGGGGCAGGGCGGGGAGGAGGGAGGGGCAGGGAGGGGAGAAGCTGAGCACACGGAGGGGGGAAAGGTGAGGCAGGGAGGTAGGAAGCCAAGGACAAGGGGGGGGGGAGAGTGGGGGGGGCAGGGAGAGGGGGGAGGTGGGGAGCGGGGAAAGGCGGCGAGGGGCAGGGAGGGGAGAAACCAAGCATAGGGGGGCGAGATACGAGGGGCAGGGTGCGGATTGAGGAGGGGCAGGGAGTGGAGTGGGTCGGCGAGGGGAAGGAAGAGGCGTGCAGCAGAGGAGGGGAGGGGGGAGGAGAAGGTAAAGGAGGGGAGCGCACGGGCGGGGAGGAGCGAATGGCGGGCGGTGGGAAACGGCGAGGGGGGGCAGGGAGGGTCAAAAGAGGCGGCAAGGGAGCGGGCACGCGGAGGGTAGGGGCGGGGGGAGCGGATGGCATGAGGGGGCAGGGGGTGTGACTATGAAGGGGGGGACCCGGGCAAGGGGTGTGTAGCGGTCGGGGCACGAGGTTGACGTGGTACGATCATACCTCAGCTATTAGCCGGATCCCATCAGAACTCCGAAGCTAAGCGCCGGTGGGCGAGAGCAGTACTGGGCTGGGTGACCTCCCGGGAAGTCCTCGTGTTGTACCCATTTATGCCCCTTGCTCGGCACGTGCCGGGGGAGGGGCAAGCGGGAAAAAGAAAGGACGATTTTAGCGCGTCCGATTCTTTTCTTTTCGTTTTTTTTGCCCAAACAACGACCCAGCGGGGTGGGGGGCCCCCGGGGAGGCTTGCCCATGCGAAGAAACGCCCCGTGCGCACCACCGTTGGGCGGTTGGAAGCCGCACACGGTCGCGGGGGTGGAGAGCGGAAACGGGCAGCCGGGGGAGGGTGGGGGCGGTTGGATGGGACTTGGGGTGTACGGGGGGCAGGGGAGTTGAGGGGGCAAGGGGAGGGGCAGCAACGGGCAGGGGCTGGGCCAACTGAGGGCACGGAAAAGGGGCGGGCAGAGGGTGAGCAGAGGGGCGAGCGATGCAAGGGTGGCACCATAGGGGGGAAACCAGTTGCACGGAGGTGGGAGGTGAGGGGCGTGCGAGGGGGTGGGAAAGGGGCAGGGAGGGGCAGAATGGGAGGATGTAGGTGGGGGGGGGTGGGGGAGGGGAGTGTGCGTGTGTGTGTGTGTGTGAGAAAGAGAGAGAGAGAGAGAGAGAGAGAGAGAGAGAGGAGGGGGGGATTGAAGGGTGGGAGGGGGGCTGGTCGTGGGGATGGGCTGATGGTGGTAAGAGGGCAGCAGGGATGGGGAGAAGGGAGCGTAACGAGGGGAGAGCAAAGGGCAGGGGGGGAGGAAGGGAGGGGCAGGGAGGGAAGAGGCTGAACGTACAAAGGGGGGAAACGAGGGGCATGGATGATAGGAAACGAGGGCAGGGGTGTGGGAAATCAAGGGCAGGGAGGAGAGAAGCAATGGGTGAGGGGAAAACAAGGGAGGGGCAGACGGGGGGCAGGGAGGGAAGAAACGTGGGGCAGGGAGGGGAGAAGCCAAAGACAGGGGCATGGGCAGGCGGGGGCAGGGAGGGAGCAAAGGAGAGGCACGGAGAAAGAAAGGGAGGCGCGGGGAGGGGAGAAACCGGGCGTGGGGGGGGGGGGGCGGAAAATGAGGGGCAGGGCGGGGAGGAGGGAGGGGCAGGGAGGGGAGAAGCTGAGCACACGGAGGGGGGAAAGGTGAGGCAGGGAGGTAGGAAGCCAAGGACAAGGGGGGGGGAGAGTGGGGGGGGCAGGGAGAGGGGGGAGGTGGGGAGCGGGGAAAGGCGGCGAGGGGCAGGGAGGGGAGAAACCAAGCATAGGGGGGCGAGATACGAGGGGCAGGGTGCGGATTGAGGAGGGGCAGGGAGTGGAGTGGGTCGGCGAGGGGAAGGAAGAGGCGTGCAGCAGAGGAGGGGAGGGGGGAGGAGAAGGTAAAGGAGGGGAGCGCACGGGCGGGGAGGAGCGAATGGCGGGCGGTGGGAAACGGCGAGGGGGGGCAGGGAGGGTCAAAAGAGGCGGCAAGGGAGCGGGCACGCGGAGGGTAGGGGCGGGGGGAGCGGATGGCATGAGGGGGCAGGGGGTGTGACTATGAAGGGGGGGACCCGGGCAAGGGGTGTGTAGCGGTCGGGGCACGAGGTTGACGTGGTACGATCATACCTCGGCTACTACGCCGGATCCCATCAGAACTCCGAAGCTAAGCGCCGGTGGGCGAGAGCAGTACTGGGCTGGGTGACCTCCCGGGAAGTCCTCGTGTTGTACCCATTTATGCCCCTTGCTCGGCACGTGCCGGGGGAGGGGCAAGCGGGAAAAAGAAAGGACGATTTTAGCGCGTCCGATTCTTTTCTTTTCGTTTTTTTTGCCCAAACAACGACCCAGCGGGGTGGGGGGCCCCCGGGGAGGCTTGCCCATGCGAAGAAACGCCCCGTGCGCACCACCGTTGGGCGGTTGGAAGCCGCACACGGTCGCGGGGGTGGAGAGCGGAAACGGGCAGCCGGGGGAGGGTGGGGGCGGTTGGATGGGACTTGGGGTGTACGGGGGGCAGGGGAGTTGAGGGGGCAAGGGGAGGGGCAGCAACGGGCAGGGGCTGGGCCAACTGAGGGCACGGAAAAGGGGCGGGCAGAGGGTGAGCAGAGGGGCGAGCGATGCAAGGGTGGCACCATAGGGGGGAAACCAGTTGCACGGAGGTGGGAGGTGAGGGGCGTGCGAGGGGGTGGGAAAGGGGCAGGGAGGGGCAGAATGGGAGGATGTAGGTGGGGGGGGGTGGGGGAGGGGAGTGTGCGTGTGTGTGTGTGTGTGAGAAAGAGAGAGAGAGAGAGAGAGAGAGAGAGAGAGAGGGAGGGGGGGATTGAAGGGTGGGAGGGGGGCTGGTCGTGGGGATGGGCTGATGGTGGTAAGAGGGCAGCAGGGATGGGGAGAAGGGAGCGTAACGAGGGGAGAGCAAAGGGCAGGGGGGGAGGAAGGGAGGGGCAGGGAGGGAAGAGGCTGAACGTACAAAGGGGGGAAACGAGGGGCATGGATGATAGGAAACGAGGGCAGGGGTGTGGGAAATCAAGGGCAGGGAGGAGAGAAGCAATGGGTGAGGGGAAAACAAGGGAGGGGCAGACGGGGGGCAGGGAGGGAAGAAACGTGGGGCAGGGAGGGGAGAAGCCAAAGACAGGGGCATGGGCAGGCGGGGGCAGGGAGGGAGCAAAGGAGAGGCACGGAGAAAGAAAGGGAGGCGCGGGGAGGGGAGAAACCGGGCGTGGGGGGGGGGGGGCGGAAAATGAGGGGCAGGGCGGGGAGGAGGGAGGGGCAGGGAGGGGAGAAGCTGAGCACACGGAGGGGGGAAAGGTGAGGCAGGGAGGTAGGAAGCCAAGGACAAGGGGGGGGGAGAGTGGGGGGGGCAGGGAGAGGGGGGAGGTGGGGAGCGGGGAAAGGCGGCGAGGGGCAGGGAGGGGAGAAACCAAGCATAGGGGGGCGAGATACGAGGGGCAGGGTGCGGATTGAGGAGGGGCAGGGAGTGGAGTGGGTCGGCGAGGGGAAGGAAGAGGCGTGCAGCAGAGGAGGGGAGGGGGGAGGAGAAGGTAAAGGAGGGGAGCGCACGGGCGGGGAGGAGCGAATGGCGGGCGGTGGGAAACGGCGAGGGGGGGCAGGGAGGGTCAAAAGAGGCGGCAAGGGAGCGGGCACGCGGAGGGTAGGGGCGGGGGGAGCGGATGGCATGAGGGGGCAGGGGGTGTGACTATGAAGGGGGGGACCCGGGCAAGGGGTGTGTAGCGGTCGGGGCACGAGGTTGACGTGGTACGATCATACCTCAGCTATTAGCCGGATCCCATCAGAACTCCGAAGCTAAGCGCCGGTGGGCGAGAGCAGTACTGGGCTGGGTGACCTCCCGGGAAGTCCTCGTGTTGTACCCATTTATGCCCCTTGCTCGGCACGTGCCGGGGGAGGGGCAAGCGGGAAAAAGAAAGGACGATTTTAGCGCGTCCGATTCTTTTCTTTTCGTTTTTTTTGCCCAAACAACGACCCAGCGGGGTGGGGGGCCCCCGGGGAGGCTTGCCCATGCGAAGAAACGCCCCGTGCGCACCACCGTTGGGCGGTTGGAAGCCGCACACGGTCGCGGGGGTGGAGAGCGGAAACGGGCAGCCGGGGGAGGGTGGGGGCGGTTGGATGGGACTTGGGGTGTACGGGGGGCAGGGGAGTTGAGGGGGCAAGGGGAGGGGCAGCAACGGGCAGGGGCTGGGCCAACTGAGGGCACGGAAAAGGGGCGGGCAGAGGGTGAGCAGAGGGGCGAGCGATGCAAGGGTGGCACCATAGGGGGGAAACCAGTTGCACGGAGGTGGGAGGTGAGGGGCGTGCGAGGGGGTGGGAAAGGGGCAGGGAGGGGCAGAATGGGAGGATGTAGGTGGGGGGGGGTGGGGGAGGGGAGTGTGCGTGTGTGTGTGTGTGTGAGAAAGAGAGAGAGAGAGAGAGAGAGAGAGAGAGAGAGGGAGGGGGGGATTGAAGGGTGGGAGGGGGGCTGGTCGTGGGGATGGGCTGATGGTGGTAAGAGGGCAGCAGGGATGGGGAGAAGGGAGCGTAACGAGGGGAGAGCAAAGGGCAGGGGGGGAGGAAGGGAGGGGCAGGGAGGGAAGAGGCTGAACGTACAAAGGGGGGAAACGAGGGGCATGGATGATAGGAAACGAGGGCAGGGGTGTGGGAAATCAAGGGCAGGGAGGAGAGAAGCAATGGGTGAGGGGAAAACAAGGGAGGGGCAGACGGGGGGCAGGGAGGGAAGAAACGTGGGGCAGGGAGGGGAGAAGCCAAAGACAGGGGCATGGGCAGGCGGGGGCAGGGAGGGAGCAAAGGAGAGGCACGGAGAAAGAAAGGGAGGCGCGGGGAGGGGAGAAACCGGGCGTGGGGGGGGGGGGGCGGAAAATGAGGGGCAGGGCGGGGAGGAGGGAGGGGCAGGGAGGGGAGAAGCTGAGCACACGGAGGGGGGAAAGGTGAGGCAGGGAGGTAGGAAGCCAAGGACAAGGGGGGGGGAGAGTGGGGGGGGCAGGGAGAGGGGGGAGGTGGGGAGCGGGGAAAGGCGGCGAGGGGCAGGGAGGGGAGAAACCAAGCATAGGGGGGCGAGATACGAGGGGCAGGGTGCGGATTGAGGAGGGGCAGGGAGTGGAGTGGGTCGGCGAGGGGAAGGAAGAGGCGTGCAGCAGAGGAGGGGAGGGGGGAGGAGAAGGTAAAGGAGGGGAGCGCACGGGCGGGGAGGAGCGAATGGCGGGCGGTGGGAAACGGCGAGGGGGGGCAGGGAGGGTCAAAAGAGGCGGCAAGGGAGCGGGCACGCGGAGGGTAGGGGCGGGGGGAGCGGATGGCATGAGGGGGCAGGGGGTGTGACTATGAAGGGGGGGACCCGGGCAAGGGGTGTGTAGCGGTCGGGGCACGAGGTTGACGTGGTACGATCATACCTCGGCTACTACGCCGGATCCCATCAGAACTCCGAAGCTAAGCGCCGGTGGGCGAGAGCAGTTATTCATTAATAGGGAAGAGCAAATACAAGCCGAATATAATGGTTTTTCCAAGACTAGGAAATTTCGACATAGCCTAATCGCTATGAGGACGGTATATATATTTTGTAGGAAAAGGGGGAAAGAAAGGAAAGGAAGGAAGGATGAAGGAGTAAGAAGAAGTGGTAGGGAAAAGAAGAGGGCTGGTAGGAAGAGAAGGGAAGGATAGAAGAAGGGAACAGAAAGAGGGAGGTGGGAAGAAAGAGGAGAGAGGGAGAGAGACTAAGGAGGAGGAAGCACCAAAGGACCAAAACACGGCAGCAACCCGCACGACCGCACGGGCACAGCGTTTCAAGCACAGCCACTATCGGTGGGCGAGAGCAGTACTGGGCTGGGTGACCTCCCGGGAAGTCCTCGTGTTGTACCCATTTATGCCCCTTGCTCGGCACGTGCCGGGGGAGGGGCAAGCGGGAAAAAGAAAGGACGATTTTAGCGCGTCCGATTCTTTTCTTTTCGTTTTTTTTGCCCAAACAACGACCCAGCGGGGTGGGGGGCCCCCGGGGAGGCTTGCCCATGCGAAGAAACGCCCCGTGCGCACCACCGTTGGGCGGTTGGAAGCCGCACACGGTCGCGGGGGTGGAGAGCGGAAACGGGCAGCCGGGGGAGGGTGGGGGCGGTTGGATGGGACTTGGGGTGTACGGGGGGCAGGGGAGTTGAGGGGGCAAGGGGAGGGGCAGCAACGGGCAGGGGCTGGGCCAACTGAGGGCACGGAAAAGGGGCGGGCAGAGGGTGAGCAGAGGGGCGAGCGATGCAAGGGTGGCACCATAGGGGGGAAACCAGTTGCACGGAGGTGGGAGGTGAGGGGCGTGCGAGGGGGTGGGAAAGGGGCAGGGAGGGGCAGAATGGGAGGATGTAGGTGGGGGGGGGTGGGGGAGGGGAGTGTGCGTGTGTGTGTGTGTGTGAGAAAGAGAGAGAGAGAGAGAGAGAGAGAGAGAGAGAGGGAGGGGGGGATTGAAGGGTGGGAGGGGGGCTGGTCGTGGGGATGGGCTGATGGTGGTAAGAGGGCAGCAGGGATGGGGAGAAGGGAGCGTAACGAGGGGAGAGCAAAGGGCAGGGGGGGAGGAAGGGAGGGGCAGGGAGGGAAGAGGCTGAACGTACAAAGGGGGGAAACGAGGGGCATGGATGATAGGAAACGAGGGCAGGGGTGTGGGAAATCAAGGGCAGGGAGGAGAGAAGCAATGGGTGAGGGGAAAACAAGGGAGGGGCAGACGGGGGGCAGGGAGGGAAGAAACGTGGGGCAGGGAGGGGAGAAGCCAAAGACAGGGGCATGGGCAGGCGGGGGCAGGGAGGGAGCAAAGGAGAGGCACGGAGAAAGAAAGGGAGGCGCGGGGAGGGGAGAAACCGGGCGTGGGGGGGGGGGGGGCGGAAAATGAGGGGCAGGGCGGGGAGGAGGGAGGGGCAGGGAGGGGAGAAGCTGAGCACACGGAGGGGGGAAAGGTGAGGCAGGGAGGTAGGAAGCCAAGGACAAGGGGGGGGGAGAGTGGGGGGGGCAGGGAGAGGGGGGAGGTGGGGAGCGGGGAAAGGCGGCGAGGGGCAGGGAGGGGAGAAACCAAGCATAGGGGGGCGAGATACGAGGGGCAGGGTGCGGATTGAGGAGGGGCAGGGAGTGGAGTGGGTCGGCGAGGGGAAGGAAGAGGCGTGCAGCAGAGGAGGGGAGGGGGGAGGAGAAGGTAAAGGAGGGGAGCGCACGGGCGGGGAGGAGCGAATGGCGGGCGGTGGGAAACGGCGAGGGGGGGCAGGGAGGGTCAAAAGAGGCGGCAAGGGAGCGGGCACGCGGAGGGTAGGGGCGGGGGGAGCGGATGGCATGAGGGGGCAGGGGGTGTGACTATGAAGGGGGGGACCCGGGCAAGGGGTGTGTAGCGGTCGGGGCACGAGGTTGACGTGGTACGATCATACCTCGGCTACTACGCCGGATCCCATCAGAACTCCGAAGCTAAGCGCCGGTGGGCGAGAGCAGTACTGGGCTGGGTGACCTCCCGGGAAGTCCTCGTGTTGTACCCATTTATGCCCCTTGCTCGGCACGTGCCGGGGGAGGGGCAAGCGGGAAAAAGAAAGGACGATTTTAGCGCGTCCGATTCTTTTCTTTTCGTTTTTTTTGCCCAAACAACGACCCAGCGGGGTGGGGGGCCCCCGGGGAGGCTTGCCCATGCGAAGAAACGCCCCGTGCGCACCACCGTTGGGCGGTTGGAAGCCGCACACGGTCGCGGGGGTGGAGAGCGGAAACGGGCAGCCGGGGGAGGGTGGGGGCGGTTGGATGGGACTTGGGGTGTACGGGGGGCAGGGGAGTTGAGGGGGCAAGGGGAGGGGCAGCAACGGGCAGGGGCTGGGCCAACTGAGGGCACGGAAAAGGGGCGGGCAGAGGGTGAGCAGAGGGGCGAGCGATGCAAGGGTGGCACCATAGGGGGGAAACCAGTTGCACGGAGGTGGGAGGTGAGGGGCGTGCGAGGGGGTGGGAAAGGGGCAGGGAGGGGCAGAATGGGAGGATGTAGGTGGGGGGGGGTGGGGGAGGGGAGTGTGCGTGTGTGTGTGTGTGTGAGAAAGAGAGAGAGAGAGAGAGAGAGAGAGAGAGAGGGAGGGGGGGATTGAAGGGTGGGAGGGGGGCTGGTCGTGGGGATGGGCTGATGGTGGTAAGAGGGCAGCAGGGATGGGGAGAAGGGAGCGTAACGAGGGGAGAGCAAAGGGCAGGGGGGGAGGAAGGGAGGGGCAGGGAGGGAAGAGGCTGAACGTACAAAGGGGGGAAACGAGGGGCATGGATGATAGGAAACGAGGGCAGGGGTGTGGGAAATCAAGGGCAGGGAGGAGAGAAGCAATGGGTGAGGGGAAAACAAGGGAGGGGCAGACGGGGGGCAGGGAGGGAAGAAACGTGGGGCAGGGAGGGGAGAAGCCAAAGACAGGGGCATGGGCAGGCGGGGGCAGGGAGGGAGCAAAGGAGAGGCACGGAGAAAGAAAGGGAGGCGCGGGGAGGGGAGAAACCGGGCGTGGGGGGGGGGGGGCGGAAAATGAGGGGCAGGGCGGGGAGGAGGGAGGGGCAGGGAGGGGAGAAGCTGAGCACACGGAGGGGGGAAAGGTGAGGCAGGGAGGTAGGAAGCCAAGGACAAGGGGGGGGGAGAGTGGGGGGGGCAGGGAGAGGGGGGAGGTGGGGAGCGGGGAAAGGCGGCGAGGGGCAGGGAGGGGAGAAACCAAGCATAGGGGGGCGAGATACGAGGGGCAGGGTGCGGATTGAGGAGGGGCAGGGAGTGGAGTGGGTCGGCGAGGGGAAGGAAGAGGCGTGCAGCAGAGGAGGGGAGGGGGGAGGAGAAGGTAAAGGAGGGGAGCGCACGGGCGGGGAGGAGCGAATGGCGGGCGGTGGGAAACGGCGAGGGGGGGCAGGGAGGGTCAAAAGAGGCGGCAAGGGAGCGGGCACGCGGAGGGTAGGGGCGGGGGGAGCGGATGGCATGAGGGGGCAGGGGGTGTGACTATGAAGGGGGGGACCCGGGCAAGGGGTGTGTAGCGGTCGGGGCACGAGGTTGACGTGGTACGATCATACCTCAGCTATTAGCCGGATCCCATCAGAACTCCGAAGCTAAGCGCCGGTGGGCGAGAGCAGTACTGGGCTGGGTGACCTCCCGGGAAGTCCTCGTGTTGTACCCATTTATGCCCCTTGCTCGGCACGTGCCGGGGGAGGGGCAAGCGGGAAAAAGAAAGGACGATTTTAGCGCGTCCGATTCTTTTCTTTTCGTTTTTTTTGCCCAAACAACGACCCAGCGGGGTGGGGGGCCCCCGGGGAGGCTTGCCCATGCGAAGAAACGCCCCGTGCGCACCACCGTTGGGCGGTTGGAAGCCGCACACGGTCGCGGGGGTGGAGAGCGGAAACGGGCAGCCGGGGGAGGGTGGGGGCGGTTGGATGGGACTTGGGGTGTACGGGGGGCAGGGGAGTTGAGGGGGCAAGGGGAGGGGCAGCAACGGGCAGGGGCTGGGCCAACTGAGGGCACGGAAAAGGGGCGGGCAGAGGGTGAGCAGAGGGGCGAGCGATGCAAGGGTGGCACCATAGGGGGGAAACCAGTTGCACGGAGGTGGGAGGTGAGGGGCGTGCGAGGGGGTGGGAAAGGGGCAGGGAGGGGCAGAATGGGAGGATGTAGGTGGGGGGGGGTGGGGGAGGGGAGTGTGCGTGTGTGTGTGTGTGTGAGAAAGAGAGAGAGAGAGAGAGAGAGAGAGAGAGAGGGAGGGGGGGATTGAAGGGTGGGAGGGGGGCTGGTCGTGGGGATGGGCTGATGGTGGTAAGAGGGCAGCAGGGATGGGGAGAAGGGAGCGTAACGAGGGGAGAGCAAAGGGCAGGGGGGGAGGAAGGGAGGGGCAGGGAGGGAAGAGGCTGAACGTACAAAGGGGGGAAACGAGGGGCATGGATGATAGGAAACGAGGGCAGGGGTGTGGGAAATCAAGGGCAGGGAGGAGAGAAGCAATGGGTGAGGGGAAAACAAGGGAGGGGCAGACGGGGGGCAGGGAGGGAAGAAACGTGGGGCAGGGAGGGGAGAAGCCAAAGACAGGGGCATGGGCAGGCGGGGGCAGGGAGGGAGCAAAGGAGAGGCACGGAGAAAGAAAGGGAGGCGCGGGGAGGGGAGAAACCGGGCGTGGGGGGGGGGGGGCGGAAAATGAGGGGCAGGGCGGGGAGGAGGGAGGGGCAGGGAGGGGAGAAGCTGAGCACACGGAGGGGGGAAAGGTGAGGCAGGGAGGTAGGAAGCCAAGGACAAGGGGGGGGGAGAGTGGGGGGGGCAGGGAGAGGGGGGAGGTGGGGAGCGGGGAAAGGCGGCGAGGGGCAGGGAGGGGAGAAACCAAGCATAGGGGGGCGAGATACGAGGGGCAGGGTGCGGATTGAGGAGGGGCAGGGAGTGGAGTGGGTCGGCGAGGGGAAGGAAGAGGCGTGCAGCAGAGGAGGGGAGGGGGGAGGAGAAGGTAAAGGAGGGGAGCGCACGGGCGGGGAGGAGCGAATGGCGGGCGGTGGGAAACGGCGAGGGGGGGCAGGGAGGGTCAAAAGAGGCGGCAAGGGAGCGGGCACGCGGAGGGTAGGGGCGGGGGGAGCGGATGGCATGAGGGGGCAGGGGGTGTGACTATGAAGGGGGGGACCCGGGCAAGGGGTGTGTAGCGGTCGGGGCACGAGGTTGACGTGGTACGATCATACCTCAGCTATTACGCCGGATCCCATCAGAACTCCGAAGCTAAGCGCCGGTGGGCGAGAGCAGTACTGGGCTGGGTGACCTCCCGGGAAGTCCTCGTGTTGTACCCATTTATGCCCCTTGCTCGGCACGTGCCGGGGGAGGGGCAAGCGGGAAAAAGAAAGGACGATTTTAGCGCGTCCGATTCTTTTCTTTTCGTTTTTTTGCCCAAACAACGACCCAGCGGGGTGGGGGGCCCCCGGGGAGGCTTGCCCATGCGAAGAAACGCCCCGTGCGCACCACCGTTGGGCGGTTGGAAGCCGCACACGGTCGCGGGGGTGGAGAGCGGAAACGGGCAGCCGGGGGAGGGTGGGGGCGGTTGGATGGGACTTGGGGTGTACGGGGGGCAGGGGAGTTGAGGGGGCAAGGGGAGGGGCAGCAACGGGCAGGGGCTGGGCCAACTGAGGGCACGGAAAAGGGGCGGGCAGAGGGTGAGCAGAGGGGCGAGCGATGCAAGGGTGGCACCATAGGGGGGAAACCAGTTGCACGGAGGTGGGAGGTGAGGGGCGTGCGAGGGGGTGGGAAAGGGGCAGGGAGGGGCAGAATGGGAGGATGTAGGTGGGGGGGGGTGGGGGAGGGGAGTGTGCGTGTGTGTGTGTGTGTGAGAAAGAGAGAGAGAGAGAGAGAGAGAGAGAGAGAGGGAGGGGGGGATTGAAGGGTGGGAGGGGGGCTGGTCGTGGGGATGGGCTGATGGTGGTAAGAGGGCAGCAGGGATGGGGAGAAGGGAGCGTAACGAGGGGAGAGCAAAGGGCAGGGGGGGAGGAAGGGAGGGGCAGGGAGGGAAGAGGCTGAACGTACAAAGGGGGGAAACGAGGGGCATGGATGATAGGAAACGAGGGCAGGGGTGTGGGAAATCAAGGGCAGGGAGGAGAGAAGCAATGGGTGAGGGGAAAACAAGGGAGGGGCAGACGGGGGGCAGGGAGGGAAGAAACGTGGGGCAGGGAGGGGAGAAGCCAAAGACAGGGGCATGGGCAGGCGGGGGCAGGGAGGGAGCAAAGGAGAGGCACGGAGAAAGAAAGGGAGGCGCGGGGAGGGGAGAAACCGGGCGTGGGGGGGGGGGCGGAAAATGAGGGGCAGGGCGGGGAGGAGGGAGGGGCAGGGAGGGGAGAAGCTGAGCACACGGAGGGGGGAAAGGTGAGGCAGGGAGGTAGGAAGCCAAGGACAAGGGGGGGGGAGAGTGGGGGGGGCAGGGAGAGGGGGAGGTGGGGAGCGGGGAAAGGCGGCGAGGGGCAGGGAGGGGAGAAACCAAGCATAGGGGGGCGAGATACGAGGGGCAGGGTGCGGATTGAGGAGGGGCAGGGAGTGGAGTGGGTCGGCGAGGGGAAGGAAGAGGCGTGCAGCAGAGGAGGGGAGGGGGGAGGAGAAGGTAAAGGAGGGGAGCGCACGGGCGGGGAGGAGCGAATGGCGGGCGGTGGGAAACGGCGAGGGGGGGCAGGGAGGGTCAAAAGAGGCGGCAAGGGAGCGGGCACGCGGAGGGTAGGGGCGGGGGGAGCGGATGGCATGAGGGGGCAGGGGGTGTGACTATGAAGGGGGGGACCCGGGCAAGGGGTGTGTAGCGGTCGGGGCACGAGGTTGACGTGGTACGATCATACCTCGGCTACTACGCCGGATCCCATCAGAACTCCGAAGCTAAGCGCCGGTGGGCGAGAGCAGTTATTCATTAATAGGGGAAGAGCAAATACAAGCCGAATATAATGGTTTTTCCAAGACTAGGAAATTTCGACATAGCCTAATCGCTATGAGGACGGTATATATATTTTGTAGGAAAAGGGGGAAAGAAAGGAAAGGAAGGAAGGATGAAGGAGTAAGAAGAAGTGGTAGGGAAAAGAAGAGGGTGGTAGGAAGAGAAGGGAAGGATAGAAGAAGGGAACAGAAAGAGGGAGGTGGGAAGAGAAGAGGAGAGAGGGAGAGAGACTAAGGAGGAGGAAGCACCAAAGGACCAAAACACGGCAGCAACCCGCACGACCGCACGGGCACAGCGTTTCAAGCACAGCCACTATCGGTGGGCGAGAGCAGTACTGGGCTGGGTGACCTCCCGGGAAGTCCTCGTGTTGTACCCATTTATGCCCCTTGCTCGGCACGTGCCGGGGGAGGGGCAAGCGGGGAAAAAGAAAGGACGATTTTAGCGCGTCCGATTCTTTTCTTTTCGTTTTTTTTGCCCAAACAACGACCCAGCGGGGTGGGGGGCCCCCGGGGAGGCTTGCCCATGCGAAGAAACGCCCCGTGCGCACCACCGTTGGGCGGTTGGAAGCCGCACACGGTCGCGGGGGTGGAGAGCGGAAACGGGCAGCCGGGGGAGGGTGGGGGCGGTTGGATGGGACTTGGGGTGTACGGGGGGCAGGGGAGTTGAGGGGGCAAGGGGAGGGGCAGCAACGGGCAGGGGCTGGGCCAACTGAGGGCACGGAAAAGGGGCGGGCAGAGGGTGAGCAGAGGGGCGAGCGATGCAAGGGTGGCACCATAGGGGGGAAACCAGTTGCACGGAGGTGGGAGGTGAGGGGCGTGCGAGGGGGTGGGAAAGGGGCAGGGAGGGGCAGAATGGGAGGATGTAGGTGGGGGGGGTGGGGGAGGGGAGTGTGCGTGTGTGTGTGTGTGTGAGAAAGAGAGAGAGAGAGAGAGAGAGAGAGAGAGAGAGGGAGGGGGGGATTGAAGGGTGGGAGGGGGGCTGGTCGTGGGGATGGGCTGATGGTGGTAAGAGGGCAGCAGGGATGGGGAGAAGGGAGCGTAACGAGGGGAGAGCAAAGGGCAGGGGGGGAGGAAGGGAGGGGCAGGGAGGGAAGAGGCTGAACGTACAAAGGGGGGAAACGAGGGGCATGGATGATAGGAAACGAGGGCAGGGGTGTGGGAAATCAAGGGCAGGGAGGAGAGAAGCAATGGGTGAGGGGAAAACAAGGGAGGGGCAGACGGGGGGCAGGGAGGGAAGAAACGTGGGGCAGGGAGGGGAGAAGCCAAAGACAGGGGCATGGGCAGGCGGGGGCAGGGAGGGAGCAAAGGAGAGGCACGGAGAAAGAAAGGGAGGCGCGGGGAGGGGAGAAACCGGGCGTGGGGGGGGGGGGGCGGAAAATGAGGGGCAGGGCGGGGAGGAGGGAGGGGCAGGGAGGGGAGAAGCTGAGCACACGGAGGGGGGAAAGGTGAGGCAGGGAGGTAGGAAGCCAAGGACAAGGGGGGGGGAGAGTGGGGGGGGCAGGGAGAGGGGGGAGGTGGGGAGCGGGGAAAGGCGGCGAGGGGCAGGGAGGGGAGAAACCAAGCATAGGGGGGCGAGATACGAGGGGCAGGGTGCGGATTGAGGAGGGGCAGGGAGTGGAGTGGGTCGGCGAGGGGAAGGAAGAGGCGTGCAGCAGAGGAGGGGAGGGGGAGGAGAAGGTAAAGGAGGGGAGCGCACGGGCGGGGAGGAGCGAATGGCGGGCGGTGGGAAACGGCGAGGGGGGGCAGGGAGGGTCAAAAGAGGCGGCAAGGGAGCGGGCACGCGGAGGGTAGGGGCGGGGGGAGCGGATGGCATGAGGGGGCAGGGGGTGTGACTATGAAGGGGGGGACCCGGGCAAGGGGTGTGTAGCGGTCGGGGCACGAGGTTGACGTGGTACGATCATACCTCGGCTACTACGCCGGATCCCATCAGAACTCCGAAGCTAAGCGCCGGTGGGCGAGAGCAGTTATTCATTAATAGGGGAAGAGCAAATACAAGCCGAATATAATGGTTTTTCCAAGACTAGGAAATTTCGACATAGCCTTAATCGCTATGAGGACGGTATATATATTTTGTAGGACAAGGGGGAAAGAAAGGAAGGAAGGAAGGATGAAGAGTAAGAAGAAGTGGTAGGGAAAAGAAGAGGGTGGTAGGAAGAGAAGGGAAGGATAGAAGAAGGGAACAGAAAGAGGGAGGTGGGAAGAGAAGAGGAGAGAGGGAGAGAGACTAAGGAGGAGGAAGCACCAAAGGACCACAACACGGCAGCAACCCGCACGACCGCACGGGCACAGCGTTTCAAGCACAGCCACTATCGGTGGGCGAGAGCAGTACTGGGCTGGGTGACCTCCCGGGAAGTCCTCGTGTTGTACCCATTTATGCCCCTTGCTCGGCACGTGCCGGGGGAGGGGCAAGCGGGAAAAAGAAAGGACGATTTTAGCGCGTCCGATTCTTTTCATTTTCGTTTTTTTTTGCCCAAACAACGACCCAGCGGGGTGGGGGGCCCCCGGGGAGGCTTGCCCATGCGAAGAAACGCCCCGTGCGCACCACCGTTGGGCGGTTGGAAGCCGCACACGGTCGCGGGGGTGGAGAGCGGAAACGGGCAGCCGGGGGAGGGTGGGGGCGGTTGGATGGGACTTGGGGTGTACGGGGGGCAGGGGAGTTGAGGGGGCAAGGGGAGGGGCAGCAACGGGCAGGGGCTGGGCCAACTGAGGGCACGGAAAAGGGGCGGGCAGAGGGTGAGCAGAGGGGCGAGCGATGCAAGGGTGGCACCATAGGGGGGAAACCAGTTGCACGGAGGTGGGAGGTGAGGGGCGTGCGAGGGGGTGGGAAAGGGGCAGGGAGGGGCAGAATGGGAGGATGTAGGTGGGGGGGGGTGGGGGAGGGGAGTGTGCGTGTGTGTGTGTGTGTGAGAAAGAGAGAGAGAGAGAGAGAGAGAGAGAGAGAGAGGGAGGGGGGGATTGAAGGGTGGGAGGGGGGCTGGTCGTGGGGATGGGCTGATGGTGGTAAGAGGGCAGCAGGGATGGGGAGAAGGGAGCGTAACGAGGGGAGAGCAAAGGGCAGGGGGGGAGGAAGGGAGGGGCAGGGAGGGAAGAGGCTGAACGTACAAAGGGGGGAAACGAGGGGCATGGATGATAGGAAACGAGGGCAGGGGTGTGGGAAATCAAGGGCAGGGAGGAGAGAAGCAATGGGTGAGGGGAAAACAAGGGAGGGGCAGACGGGGGGCAGGGAGGGAAGAAACGTGGGGCAGGGAGGGGAGAAGCCAAAGACAGGGGCATGGGCAGGCGGGGGCAGGGAGGGAGCAAAGGAGAGGCACGGAGAAAGAAAGGGAGGCGCGGGGAGGGGAGAAACCGGGCGTGGGGGGGGGGGGCGGAAAATGAGGGGCAGGGCGGGGAGGAGGGAGGGGCAGGGAGGGGAGAAGCTGAGCACACGGAGGGGGGAAAGGTGAGGCAGGGAGGTAGGAAGCCAAGGACAAGGGGGGGGGAGAGTGGGGGGGGCAGGGAGAGGGGGGAGGTGGGGAGCGGGGAAAGGCGGCGAGGGGCAGGGAGGGGAGAAACCAAGCATAGGGGGGCGAGATACGAGGGGCAGGGTGCGGATTGAGGAGGGGCAGGGAGTGGAGTGGGTCGGCGAGGGGAAGGAAGAGGCGTGCAGCAGAGGAGGGGAGGGGGGAGGAGAAGGTAAAGGAGGGGAGCGCACGGGCGGGGAGGAGCGAATGGCGGGCGGTGGGAAACGGCGAGGGGGGGCAGGGAGGGTCAAAAGAGGCGGCAAGGGAGCGGGCACGCGGAGGGTAGGGGCGGGGGGAGCGGATGGCATGAGGGGGCAGGGGGTGTGACTATGAAGGGGGGGACCCGGGCAAGGGGTGTGTAGCGGTCGGGGCACGAGGTTGACGTGGTACGATCATACCTCGGCTACTACGCCGGATCCCATCAGAACTCCGAAGCTAAGCGCCGGTGGGCGAGAGCAGTTATTCATTAATAGGGGAAGAGCAAATACAAGCCGAATATAATGGTTTTTCCAAGACTAGGAAATTTCGACATAGCCTAATCGCTATGAGGACGGTATATATATTTTGTAGGACAAGGGGGAAAGAAAGGAAGGAAGGAAGGATGAAGGAGTAAGAAGAAGTGGTAGGGAAAAGAAGAGGGCTGGTAGGAAGAGAAGGGAAGGATAGAAGAAGGGAACAGAAAGAGGGAGGTGGGAAGAGAAGAGGAGAGAGGGAGAGAGACTAAGGAGGAGGAAGCACCAAAGGACCACAACACGGCAGCAACCCGCACGACCGCACGGGCACAGCGTTTCAAGCACAGCCACTATCGGTGGGCGAGAGCAGTACTGGGCTGGGTGACCTCCCGGGAAGTCCTCGTGTTGTACCCATTTATGCCCCTTGCTCGGCACGTGCCGGGGGAGGGGCAAGCGGGAAAAAGAAAGGACGATTTTAGCGCGTCCGATTCTTTTCATTTTCGTTTTTTTTTGCCCAAACAACGACCCAGCGGGGTGGGGGGCCCCCGGGGAGGCTTGCCCATGCGAAGAAACGCCCCGTGCGCACCACCGTTGGGCGGTTGGAAGCCGCACACGGTCGCGGGGGTGGAGAGCGGAAACGGGCAGCCGGGGGAGGGTGGGGGCGGTTGGATGGGACTTGGGGTGTACGGGGGGCAGGGGAGTTGAGGGGGCAAGGGGAGGGGCAGCAACGGGCAGGGGCTGGGCCAACTGAGGGCACGGAAAAGGGGCGGGCAGAGGGTGAGCAGAGGGGCGAGCGATGCAAGGGTGGCACCATAGGGGGGAAACCAGTTGCACGGAGGTGGGAGGTGAGGGGCGTGCGAGGGGGTGGGAAAGGGGCAGGGAGGGGCAGAATGGGAGGATGTAGGTGGGGGGGGTGGGGGAGGGGAGTGTGCGTGTGTGTGTGTGTGTGAGAAAGAGAGAGAGAGAGAGAGAGAGAGAGAGAGAGGGAGGGGGGGATTGAAGGGTGGGAGGGGGGCTGGTCGTGGGGATGGGCTGATGGTGGTAAGAGGGCAGCAGGGATGGGGAGAAGGGAGCGTAACGAGGGGAGAGCAAAGGGCAGGGGGGGAGGAAGGGAGGGGCAGGGAGGGAAGAGGCTGAACGTACAAAGGGGGGAAACGAGGGGCATGGATGATAGGAAACGAGGGCAGGGGTGTGGGAAATCAAGGGCAGGGAGGAGAGAAGCAATGGGTGAGGGGAAAACAAGGGAGGGGCAGACGGGGGGCAGGGAGGGAAGAAACGTGGGGCAGGGAGGGGAGAAGCCAAAGACAGGGGCATGGGCAGGCGGGGGCAGGGAGGGAGCAAAGGAGAGGCACGGAGAAAGAAAGGGAGGCGCGGGGAGGGGAGAAACCGGGCGTGGGGGGGGGGGGGCGGAAAATGAGGGGCAGGGCGGGGAGGAGGGAGGGGCAGGGAGGGGAGAAGCTGAGCACACGGAGGGGGGAAAGGTGAGGCAGGGAGGTAGGAAGCCAAGGACAAGGGGGGGGGAGAGTGGGGGGGGCAGGGAGAGGGGGGAGGTGGGGAGCGGGGAAAGGCGGCGAGGGGCAGGGAGGGGAGAAACCAAGCATAGGGGGGCGAGATACGAGGGGCAGGGTGCGGATTGAGGAGGGGCAGGGAGTGGAGTGGGTCGGCGAGGGGAAGGAAGAGGCGTGCAGCAGAGGAGGGGAGGGGGGAGGAGAAGGTAAAGGAGGGGAGCGCACGGGCGGGGAGGAGCGAATGGCGGGCGGTGGGAAACGGCGAGGGGGGGCAGGGAGGGTCAAAAGAGGCGGCAAGGGAGCGGGCACGCGGAGGGTAGGGGCGGGGGGAGCGGATGGCATGAGGGGGCAGGGGGTGTGACTATGAAGGGGGGGACCCGGGCAAGGGGTGTGTAGCGGTCGGGGCACGAGGTTGACGTGGTACGATCATACCTCGGCTACTACGCCGGATCCCATCAGAACTCCGAAGCTAAGCGCCGGTGGGCGAGAGCAGTTATTCATTAATAGGGGAAGAGCAAATACAAGCCGAATATAATGGTTTTTCCAAGACTAGGAAATTTCGACATAGCCTAATCGCTATGAGGACGGTATATATATTTTGTAGGAAAAGGGGGAAAGAAAGGAAAGGAAGGAAGGATGAAGGAGTAAGAAGAAGTGGTAGGGAAAAGAAGAGGGCGGTAGGAAGAGAAGGGAAGGATAGAAGAAGGGAACAGAAAGAGGGAGGTGGGAAGAAAAGAGGAGAGAGGGAGAGAGACTAAGGAGGAGGAAGCACCAAAGGACCAAAACACGGCAGCAACCCGCACGACCGCACGGGCACAGCGTTTCAAGCACAGCCACTATCGGTGGGCGAGAGCAGTACTGGGCTGGGTGACCTCCCGGGAAGTCCTCGTGTTGTACCCATTTATGCCCCTTGCTCGGCACGTGCCGGGGGAGGGGCAAGCGGGAAAAAGAAAGGACGATTTTAGCGCGTCCGATTCTTTTCTTTTCGTTTTTTTTGCCCAAACAACGACCCAGCGGGGTGGGGGGCCCCCGGGGAGGCTTGCCCATGCGAAGAAACGCCCCGTGCGCACCACCGTTGGGCGGTTGGAAGCCGCACACGGTCGCGGGGGTGGAGAGCGGAAACGGGCAGCCGGGGGAGGGTGGGGGCGGTTGGATGGGACTTGGGGTGTACGGGGGGCAGGGGAGTTGAGGGGGCAAGGGGAGGGGCAGCAACGGGCAGGGGCTGGGCCAACTGAGGGCACGGAAAAGGGGCGGGCAGAGGGTGAGCAGAGGGGCGAGCGATGCAAGGGTGGCACCATAGGGGGGAAACCAGTTGCACGGAGGTGGGAGGTGAGGGGCGTGCGAGGGGGTGGGAAAGGGGCAGGGAGGGGCAGAATGGGAGGATGTAGGTGGGGGGGGGTGGGGGAGGGGAGTGTGCGTGTGTGTGTGTGTGTGAGAAAGAGAGAGAGAGAGAGAGAGAGAGAGAGAGAGGGAGGGGGGGATTGAAGGGTGGGAGGGGGGCTGGTCGTGGGGATGGGCTGATGGTGGTAAGAGGGCAGCAGGGATGGGGAGAAGGGAGCGTAACGAGGGGAGAGCAAAGGGCAGGGGGGGAGGAAGGGAGGGGCAGGGAGGGAAGAGGCTGAACGTACAAAGGGGGGAAACGAGGGGCATGGATGATAGGAAACGAGGGCAGGGGTGTGGGAAATCAAGGGCAGGGAGGAGAGAAGCAATGGGTGAGGGGAAAACAAGGGAGGGGCAGACGGGGGGCAGGGAGGGAAGAAACGTGGGGCAGGGAGGGGAGAAGCCAAAGACAGGGGCATGGGCAGGCGGGGGCAGGGAGGGAGCAAAGGAGAGGCACGGAGAAAGAAAGGGAGGCGCGGGGAGGGGAGAAACCGGGCGTGGGGGGGGGGGGCGGAAAATGAGGGGCAGGGCGGGGAGGAGGGAGGGGCAGGGAGGGGAGAAGCTGAGCACACGGAGGGGGGAAAGGTGAGGCAGGGAGGTAGGAAGCCAAGGACAAGGGGGGGGGAGAGTGGGGGGGGCAGGGAGAGGGGGGAGGTGGGGAGCGGGGAAAGGCGGCGAGGGGCAGGGAGGGGAGAAACCAAGCATAGGGGGGCGAGATACGAGGGGCAGGGTGCGGATTGAGGAGGGGCAGGGAGTGGAGTGGGTCGGCGAGGGGAAGGAAGAGGCGTGCAGCAGAGGAGGGGAGGGGGGAGGAGAAGGTAAAGGAGGGGAGCGCACGGGCGGGGAGGAGCGAATGGCGGGCGGTGGGAAACGGCGAGGGGGGGCAGGGAGGGTCAAAAGAGGCGGCAAGGGAGCGGGCACGCGGAGGGTAGGGGCGGGGGGAGCGGATGGCATGAGGGGGCAGGGGGTGTGACTATGAAGGGGGGGACCCGGGCAAGGGGTGTGTAGCGGTCGGGGCACGAGGTTGACGTGGTACGATCATACCTCAGGCTACTACGCCGGATCCCATCAGAACTCCGAAGCTAAGCGCCGGTGGGCGAGAGCAGTACTGGGCTGGGTGACCTCCCGGGAAGTCCTCGTGTTGTACCCATTTATGCCCCTTGCTCGGCACGTGCCGGGGGAGGGGCAAGCGGGAAAAAGAAAGGACGATTTTAGCGCGTCCGATTCTTTTCTTTTCGTTTTTTTTGCCCAAACAACGACCCAGCGGGGTGGGGGGCCCCCGGGGAGGCTTGCCCATGCGAAGAAACGCCCCGTGCGCACCACCGTTGGGCGGTTGGAAGCCGCACACGGTCGCGGGGGTGGAGAGCGGAAACGGGCAGCCGGGGGAGGGTGGGGGCGGTTGGATGGGACTTGGGGTGTACGGGGGGCAGGGGAGTTGAGGGGGCAAGGGGAGGGGCAGCAACGGGCAGGGGCTGGGCCAACTGAGGGCACGGAAAAGGGGCGGGCAGAGGGTGAGCAGAGGGGCGAGCGATGCAAGGGTGGCACCATAGGGGGGAAACCAGTTGCACGGAGGTGGGAGGTGAGGGGCGTGCGAGGGGGTGGGAAAGGGGCAGGGAGGGGCAGAATGGGAGGATGTAGGTGGGGGGGGTGGGGGAGGGGAGTGTGCGTGTGTGTGTGTGTGTGAGAAAGAGAGAGAGAGAGAGAGAGAGAGAGGGAGGGGGGATTGAAGGGTGGGAGGGGGGCTGGTCGTGGGGATGGGCTGATGGTGGTAAGAGGGCAGCAGGGATGGGGAGAAGGGAGCGTAACGAGGGGAGAGCAAAGGGCAGGGGGGGAGGAAGGGAGGGGCAGGGAGGGAAGAGGCTGAACGTACAAAGGGGGGAAACGAGGGGCATGGATGATAGGAAACGAGGGCAGGGGTGTGGGAAATCAAGGGCAGGGAGGAGAGAAGCAATGGGTGAGGGGAAAACAAGGGAGGGGCAGACGGGGGGCAGGGAGGGAAGAAACGTGGGGCAGGGAGGGGAGAAGCCAAAGACAGGGGCATGGGCAGGCGGGGGCAGGGAGGGAGCAAAGGAGAGGCACGGAGAAAGAAAGGGAGGCGCGGGGAGGGGAGAAACCGGGCGTGGGGGGGGGGGGCGGAAAATGAGGGGCAGGGCGGGGAGGAGGGAGGGGCAGGGAGGGGAGAAGCTGAGCACACGGAGGGGGGAAAGGTGAGGCAGGGAGGTAGGAAGCCAAGGACAAGGGGGGGGGAGAAGGTGGGGGGGGCAGGGAGAGGGGGGAGGTGGGGAGCGGGGAAAGGCGGCGAGGGGCAGGGAGGGGAGAAACCAAGCATAGGGGGGCGAGATACGAGGGGCAGGGTGCGGATTGAGGAGGGGCAGGGAGTGGAGTGGGTCGGCGAGGGGAAGGAAGAGGCGTGCAGCAGAGGAGGGGAGGGGGGAGGAGAAGGTAAAGGAGGGGAGCGCACGGGCGGGGAGGAGCGAATGGCGGGCGGTGGGAAACGGCGAGGGGGGGCAGGGAGGGTCAAAAGAGGCGGCAAGGGAGCGGGCACGCGGAGGGTAGGGGCGGGGGGAGCGGATGGCATGAGGGGGCAGGGGGTGTGACTATGAAGGGGGGGACCCGGGCAAGGGGTGTGTAGCGGTCGGGGCACGAGGTTGACGTGGTACGATCATACCTCAGCTATTAGCCGGATCCCATCAGAACTCCGAAGCTAAGCGCCGGTGGGCGAGAGCAGTACTGGGCTGGGTGACCTCCCGGGAAGTCCTCGTGTTGTACCCATTTATGCCCCTTGCTCGGCACGTGCCGGGGGAGGGGCAAGCGGGAAAAAGAAAGGACGATTTTAGCGCGTCCGATTCTTTTCTTTTCGTTTTTTTTGCCCAAACAACGACCCAGCGGGGTGGGGGGCCCCCGGGGAGGCTTGCCCATGCGAAGAAACGCCCCGTGCGCACCACCGTTGGGCGGTTGGAAGCCGCACACGGTCGCGGGGGTGGAGAGCGGAAACGGGCAGCCGGGGGAGGGTGGGGGCGGTTGGATGGGACTTGGGGTGTACGGGGGGCAGGGGAGTTGAGGGGGCAAGGGGAGGGGCAGCAACGGGCAGGGGCTGGGCCAACTGAGGGCACGGAAAAGGGGCGGGCAGAGGGTGAGCAGAGGGGCGAGCGATGCAAGGGTGGCACCATAGGGGGGAAACCAGTTGCACGGAGGTGGGAGGTGAGGGGCGTGCGAGGGGGTGGGAAAGGGGCAGGGAGGGGCAGAATGGGAGGATGTAGGTGGGGGGGGGTGGGGGAGGGGAGTGTGCGTGTGTGTGTGTGTGTGAGAAAGAGAGAGAGAGAGAGAGAGAGAGAGAGAGAGAGAGAGGGAGGGGGGATTGAAGGGTGGGAGGGGGGCTGGTCGTGGGGATGGGCTGATGGTGGTAAGAGGGCAGCAGGGATGGGGAGAAGGGAGCGTAACGAGGGGAGAGCAAAGGGCAGGGGGGGAGGAAGGGAGGGGCAGGGAGGGAAGAGGCTGAACGTACAAAGGGGGGAAACGAGGGGCATGGATGATAGGAAACGAGGGCAGGGGTGTGGGAAATCAAGGGCAGGGAGGAGAGAAGCAATGGGTGAGGGGAAAACAAGGGAGGGGCAGACGGGGGGCAGGGAGGGAAGAAACGTGGGGCAGGGAGGGGAGAAGCCAAAGACAGGGGCATGGGCAGGCGGGGGCAGGGAGGGAGCAAAGGAGAGGCACGGAGAAAGAAAGGGAGGCGCGGGGAGGGGAGAAACCGGGCGTGGGGGGGGGGGGGCGGAAAATGAGGGGCAGGGCGGGGAGGAGGGAGGGGCAGGGAGGGGAGAAGCTGAGCACACGGAGGGGGGAAAGGTGAGGCAGGGAGGTAGGAAGCCAAGGACAAGGGGGGGGGAGAGTGGGGGGGGCAGGGAGAGGGGGGAGGTGGGGAGCGGGGAAAGGCGGCGAGGGGCAGGGAGGGGAGAAACCAAGCATAGGGGGGCGAGATACGAGGGGCAGGGTGCGGATTGAGGAGGGGCAGGGAGTGGAGTGGGTCGGCGAGGGGAAGGAAGAGGCGTGCAGCAGAGGAGGGGAGGGGGGAGGAGAAGGTAAAGGAGGGGAGCGCACGGGCGGGGAGGAGCGAATGGCGGGCGGTGGGAAACGGCGAGGGGGGGCAGGGAGGGTCAAAAGAGGCGGCAAGGGAGCGGGCACGCGGAGGGTAGGGGCGGGGGGAGCGGATGGCATGAGGGGGCAGGGGGTGTGACTATGAAGGGGGGGACCCGGGCAAGGGGTGTGTAGCGGTCGGGGCACGAGGTTGACGTGGTACGATCATACCTCGGCTACTACGCCGGATCCCATCAGAACTCCGAAGCTAAGCGCCGGTGGGCGAGAGCAGTTATTCATTAATAGGGGAAGAGCAAATACAAGCCGAATATAATGGTTTTTCCAAGACTAGGAAATTTCGACATAGCCTAATCGCTATGAGGACGGTATATATATTTTGTAGGAAAAGGGGGAAAGAAAGGAAAGGAAGGAAGGATGAAGGAGTAAGAAGAAGTGGTAGGGAAAAGAAGAGGGCTGGTAGGAAGAGAAGGGAAGGATAGAAGAAGGGAACAGAAAGAGGGAGGTGGGAAGAAAGAGGAGAGAGGGAGAGAGACTAAGGAGGAGGAAGCACCAAAGGACCAAAACACGGCAGCAACCCGCACGACCGCACGGGCACAGCGTTTCAAGCACAGCCACTATCGGTGGGCGAGAGCAGTACTGGGCTGGGTGACCTCCCGGGAAGTCCTCGTGTTGTACCCATTTATGCCCCTTGCTCGGCACGTGCCGGGGGAGGGGCAAGCGGGAAAAAGAAAGGACGATTTTAGCGCGTCCGATTCTTTTCTTTTCGTTTTTTTTGCCCAAACAACGACCCAGCGGGGTGGGGGGCCCCCGGGGAGGCTTGCCCATGCGAAGAAACGCCCCGTGCGCACCACCGTTGGGCGGTTGGAAGCCGCACACGGTCGCGGGGGTGGAGAGCGGAAACGGGCAGCCGGGGGAGGGTGGGGGCGGTTGGATGGGACTTGGGGTGTACGGGGGGCAGGGGAGTTGAGGGGGCAAGGGGAGGGGCAGCAACGGGCAGGGGCTGGGCCAACTGAGGGCACGGAAAAGGGGCGGGCAGAGGGTGAGCAGAGGGGCGAGCGATGCAAGGGTGGCACCATAGGGGGGAAACCAGTTGCACGGAGGTGGGAGGTGAGGGGCGTGCGAGGGGGTGGGAAAGGGGCAGGGAGGGGCAGAATGGGAGGATGTAGGTGGGGGGGGTGGGGGAGGGGAGTGTGCGTGTGTGTGTGTGTGTGAGAAAGAGAGAGAGAGAGAGAGAGAGAGAGAGAGAGAGGGAGGGGGGGATTGAAGGGTGGGAGGGGGGCTGGTCGTGGGGATGGGCTGATGGTGGTAAGAGGGCAGCAGGGATGGGGAGAAGGGAGCGTAACGAGGGGAGAGCAAAGGGCAGGGGGGGAGGAAGGGAGGGGCAGGGAGGGAAGAGGCTGAACGTACAAAGGGGGGAAACGAGGGGCATGGATGATAGGAAACGAGGGCAGGGGTGTGGGAAATCAAGGGCAGGGAGGAGAGAAGCAATGGGTGAGGGGAAAACAAGGGAGGGGCAGACGGGGGGCAGGGAGGGAAGAAACGTGGGGCAGGGAGGGGAGAAGCCAAAGACAGGGGCATGGGCAGGCGGGGGCAGGGAGGGAGCAAAGGAGAGGCACGGAGAAAGAAAGGGAGGCGCGGGGAGGGGAGAAACCGGGCGTGGGGGGGGGGGGGGCGGAAAATGAGGGGCAGGGCGGGGAGGAGGGAGGGGCAGGGAGGGGAGAAGCTGAGCACACGGAGGGGGGAAAGGTGAGGCAGGGAGGTAGGAAGCCAAGGACAAGGGGGGGGGGAGAGTGGGGGGGGCAGGGAGAGGGGGGAGGTGGGGAGCGGGGAAAGGCGGCGAGGGGCAGGGAGGGGAGAAACCAAGCATAGGGGGGCGAGATACGAGGGGCAGGGTGCGGATTGAGGAGGGGCAGGGAGTGGAGTGGGTCGGCGAGGGGAAGGAAGAGGCGTGCAGCAGAGGAGGGGAGGGGGGAGGAGAAGGTAAAGGAGGGGAGCGCACGGGCGGGGAGGAGCGAATGGCGGGCGGTGGGAAACGGCGAGGGGGGGCAGGGAGGGTCAAAAGAGGCGGCAAGGGAGCGGGCACGCGGAGGGTAGGGGCGGGGGGAGCGGATGGCATGAGGGGGCAGGGGGTGTGACTATGAAGGGGGGGACCCGGCGGTCGGGGCACGAGGTTGACGTGGTACGATCATACCTCAGCTATTAGCCGGATCCCATCAGAACTCCGAAGCTAAGCGCCGGTGGGCGAGAGCAGTACTGGGCTGGGTGACCTCCCGGGAAGTCCTCGTGTTGTACCCATTTATGCCCCTTGCTCGGCACGTGCCGGGGGAGGGGCAAGCGGGAAAAAGAAAGGACGATTTTAGCGCGTCCGATTCTTTTCTTTTCGTTTTTTTGCCCAAACAACGACCCAGCGGGGTGGGGGGCCCCCGGGGAGGCTTGCCCATGCGAAGAAACGCCCCGTGCGCACCACCGTTGGGCGGTTGGAAGCCGCACACGGTCGCGGGGGTGGAGAGCGGAAACGGGCAGCCGGGGGAGGGTGGGGGCGGTTGGATGGGACTTGGGGTGTACAGGGGGCAGGGGAGTTGAGGGGGCAAGGGGAGGGGCAGCAACGGGCAGGGGCTGGGCCAACTGAGGGCACGGAAAAGGGGCGGGCAGAGGGTGAGCAGAGGGGCGAGCGATGCAAGGGTGGCACCATAGGGGGGAAACCAGTTGCACGGAGGTGGGAGGTGAGGGGCGTGCGAGGGGGTGGGAAAGGGGCAGGGAGGGGCAGAATGGGAGGATGTAGGTGGGGGGGGGTGGGGGAGGGGAGTGTGCGTGTGTGTGTGTGTGTGAGAAAGAGAGAGAGAGAGAGAGAGAGAGAGAGAGAGAGGGAGGGGGGGATTGAAGGGTGGGAGGGGGGCTGGTCGTGGGGATGGGCTGATGGTGGTAAGAGGGCAGCAGGGATGGGGAGAAGGGAGCGTAACGAGGGGAGAGCAAAGGGCAGGGGGGGAGGAAGGGAGGGGCAGGGAGGGAAGAGGCTGAACGTACAAAGGGGGGAAACGAGGGGCATGGATGATAGGAAACGAGGGCAGGGGTGTGGGAAATCAAGGGCAGGGAGGAGAGAAGCAATGGGTGAGGGGAAAACAAGGGAGGGGCAGACGGGGGGCAGGGAGGGAAGAAACGTGGGGCAGGGAGGGGAGAAGCCAAAGACAGGGGCATGGGCAGGCGGGGGCAGGGAGGGAGCAAAGGAGAGGCACGGAGAAAGAAAGGGAGGCGCGGGGAGGGGAGAAACCGGGCGTGGGGGGGGGGGGGCGGAAAATGAGGGGCAGGGCGGGGAGGAGGGAGGGGCAGGGAGGGGAGAAGCTGAGCACACGGAGGGGGGAAAGGTGAGGCAGGGAGGTAGGAAGCCAAGGACAAGGGGGGGGGAGAGTGGGGGGGGCAGGGAGAGGGGGGAGGTGGGGAGCGGGGAAAGGCGGCGAGGGGCAGGGAGGGGAGAAACCAAGCATAGGGGGGCGAGATACGAGGGGCAGGGTGCGGATTGAGGAGGGGCAGGGAGTGGAGTGGGTCGGCGAGGGGAAGGAAGAGGCGTGCAGCAGAGGAGGGGAGGGGGGAGGAGAAGGTAAAGGAGGGGAGCGCACGGGCGGGGAGGAGCGAATGGCGGGCGGTGGGAAACGGCGAGGGGGGGCAGGGAGGGTCAAAAGAGGCGGCAAGGGAGCGGGCACGCGGAGGGTAGGGGCGGGGGGAGCGGATGGCATGAGGGGGCAGGGGGTGTGACTATGAAGGGGGGGACCCGGGCAAGGGGTGTGTAGCGGTCGGGGCACGAGGTTGACGTGGTACGATCATACCTCGGCTACTACGCCGGATCCCATCAGAACTCCGAAGCTAAGCGCCGGTGGGCGAGAGCAGTTATTCATTAATAGGGGAAGAGCAAATACAAGCCGAATATAATGGTTTTTCCAAGACTAGGAAATTTCGACATAGCCTAATCGCTATGAGGACGGTATATATATTTTGTAGGAAAAGGGGGAAAGAAAGGAAAGGAAGGAAGGATGAAGGAGTAAGAAGAAGTGGTAGGGAAAAGAAGAGGGCGGTAGGAAGAGAAGGGAAGGATAGAAGAAGGGAACAGAAAGAGGGAGGTGGGAAGAAAAGAGGAGAGAGGGAGAGAGACTAAGGAGGAGGAAGCACCAAAGGACCAAAACACGGCAGCAACCCGCACGACCGCACGGGCACAGCGTTTCAAGCACAGCCACTATCGGTGGGCGAGAGCAGTACTGGGCTGGGTGACCTCCCGGGAAGTCCTCGTGTTGTACCCATTTATGCCCCTTGCTCGGCACGTGCCGGGGGAGGGGCAAGCGGGAAAAAGAAAGGACGATTTTAGCGCGTCCGATTCTTTTCTTTTCGTTTTTTTTGCCCAAACAACGACCCAGCGGGGTGGGGGGCCCCCGGGGAGGCTTGCCCATGCGAAGAAACGCCCCGTGCGCACCACCGTTGGGCGGTTGGAAGCCGCACACGGTCGCGGGGGTGGAGAGCGGAAACGGGCAGCCGGGGGAGGGTGGGGGCGGTTGGATGGGACTTGGGGTGTACGGGGGGCAGGGGAGTTGAGGGGGCAAGGGGAGGGGCAGCAACGGGCAGGGGCTGGGCCAACTGAGGGCACGGAAAAGGGGCGGGCAGAGGGTGAGCAGAGGGGCGAGCGATGCAAGGGTGGCACCATAGGGGGGAAACCAGTTGCACGGAGGTGGGAGGTGAGGGGCGTGCGAGGGGGTGGGAAAGGGGCAGGGAGGGGCAGAATGGGAGGATGTAGGTGGGGGGGGGTGGGGGAGGGGAGTGTGCGTGTGTGTGTGTGTGTGAGAAAGAGAGAGAGAGAGAGAGAGAGAGAGAGAGAGAGGGAGGGGGGGATTGAAGGGTGGGAGGGGGGCTGGTCGTGGGGATGGGCTGATGGTGGTAAGAGGGCAGCAGGGATGGGGAGAAGGGAGCGTAACGAGGGGAGAGCAAAGGGCAGGGGGGGAGGAAGGGAGGGGCAGGGAGGGAAGAGGCTGAACGTACAAAGGGGGGAAACGAGGGGCATGGATGATAGGAAACGAGGGCAGGGGTGTGGGAAATCAAGGGCAGGGAGGAGAGAAGCAATGGGTGAGGGGAAAACAAGGGAGGGGCAGACGGGGGGCAGGGAGGGAAGAAACGTGGGGCAGGGAGGGGAGAAGCCAAAGACAGGGGCATGGGCAGGCGGGGGCAGGGAGGGAGCAAAGGAGAGGCACGGAGAAAGAAAGGGAGGCGCGGGGAGGGGAGAAACCGGGCGTGGGGGGGGGGGGGCGGAAAATGAGGGGCAGGGCGGGGAGGAGGGAGGGGCAGGGAGGGGAGAAGCTGAGCACACGGAGGGGGGAAAGGTGAGGCAGGGAGGTAGGAAGCCAAGGACAAGGGGGGGGGGAGAGTGGGGGGGGCAGGGAGAGGGGGGAGGTGGGGAGCGGGGAAAGGCGGCGAGGGGCAGGGAGGGGAGAAACCAAGCATAGGGGGGCGAGATACGAGGGGCAGGGTGCGGATTGAGGAGGGGCAGGGAGTGGAGTGGGTCGGCGAGGGGAAGGAAGAGGCGTGCAGCAGAGGAGGGGAGGGGGGAGGAGAAGGTAAAGGAGGGGAGCGCACGGGCGGGGAGGAGCGAATGGCGGGCGGTGGGAAACGGCGAGGGGGGGCAGGGAGGGTCAAAAGAGGCGGCAAGGGAGCGGGCACGCGGAGGGTAGGGGCGGGGGGAGCGGATGGCATGAGGGGGCAGGGGGTGTGACTATGAAGGGGGGGACCCGGGCAAGGGGTGTGTAGCGGTCGGGGCACGAGGTTGACGTGGTACGATCATACCTCGGCTACTACGCCGGATCCCATCAGAACTCCGAAGCTAAGCGCCGGTGGGCGAGAGCAGTTATTCATTAATAGGGGAAGAGCAAATACAAGCCGAATATAATGGTTTTTCCAAGACTAGGAAATTTCGACATAGCCTAATCGCTATGAGGACGGTATATATATTTTGTAGGAAAAGGGGGAAAGAAAGGAAAGGAAGGAAGGATGAAGGAGTAAGAAGAAGTGGTAGGGAAAAGAAGAGGGCTGGTAGGAAGAGAAGGGAAGGATAGAAGAAGGGAACAGAAAGAGGGAGGTGGGAAGAAAGAGGAGAGAGGGAGAGAGACTAAGGAGGAGGAAGCACCAAAGGACCAAAACACGGCAGCAACCCGCACGACCGCACGGGCACAGCGTTTCAAGCACAGCCACTATCGGTGGGCGAGAGCAGTACTGGGCTGGGTGACCTCCCGGGAAGTCCTCGTGTTGTACCCATTTATGCCCCTTGCTCGGCACGTGCCGGGGGAGGGGCAAGCGGGAAAAAGAAAGGACGATTTTAGCGCGTCCGATTCTTTTCATTTTCGTTTTTTTTGCCCAAACAACGACCCAGCGGGGTGGGGGGCCCCCGGGGAGGCTTGCCCATGCGAAGAAACGCCCCGTGCGCACCACCGTTGGGCGGTTGGAAGCCGCACACGGTCGCGGGGGTGGAGAGCGGAAACGGGCAGCCGGGGGAGGGTGGGGGCGGTTGGATGGGACTTGGGGTGTACGGGGGGCAGGGGAGTTGAGGGGGCAAGGGGAGGGGCAGCAACGGGCAGGGGCTGGGCCAACTGAGGGCACGGAAAAGGGGCGGGCAGAGGGTGAGCAGAGGGGCGAGCGATGCAAGGGTGGCACCATAGGGGGGAAACCAGTTGCACGGAGGTGGGAGGTGAGGGGCGTGCGAGGGGGTGGGAAAGGGGCAGGGAGGGGCAGAATGGGAGGATGTAGGTGGGGGGGGGTGGGGGAGGGGAGTGTGCGTGTGTGTGTGTGTGTGAGAAAGAGAGAGAGAGAGAGAGAGAGAGAGAGAGAGGGAGGGGGGGATTGAAGGGTGGGAGGGGGGCTGGTCGTGGGGATGGGCTGATGGTGGTAAGAGGGCAGCAGGGATGGGGAGAAGGGAGCGTAACGAGGGGAGAGCAAAGGGCAGGGGGGGAGGAAGGGAGGGGCAGGGAGGGAAGAGGCTGAACGTACAAAGGGGGGAAACGAGGGGCATGGATGATAGGAAACGAGGGCAGGGGTGTGGGAAATCAAGGGCAGGGAGGAGAGAAGCAATGGGTGAGGGGAAAACAAGGGAGGGGCAGACGGGGGGCAGGGAGGGAAGAAACGTGGGGCAGGGAGGGGAGAAGCCAAAGACAGGGGCATGGGCAGGCGGGGGCAGGGAGGGAGCAAAGGAGAGGCACGGAGAAAGAAAGGGAGGCGCGGGGAGGGGAGAAACCGGGCGTGGGGGGGGGGGGGCGGAAAATGAGGGGCAGGGCGGGGAGGAGGGAGGGGCAGGGAGGGGAGAAGCTGAGCACACGGAGGGGGGAAAGGTGAGGCAGGGAGGTAGGAAGCCAAGGACAAGGGGGGGGGAGAGTGGGGGGGGCAGGGAGAGGGGGGAGGTGGGGAGCGGGGAAAGGCGGCGAGGGGCAGGGAGGGGAGAAACCAAGCATAGGGGGGCGAGATACGAGGGGCAGGGTGCGGATTGAGGAGGGGCAGGGAGTGGAGTGGGTCGGCGAGGGGAAGGAAGAGGCGTGCAGCAGAGGAGGGGAGGGGGGAGGAGAAGGTAAAGGAGGGGAGCGCACGGGCGGGGAGGAGCGAATGGCGGGCGGTGGGAAACGGCGAGGGGGGGCAGGGAGGGTCAAAAGAGGCGGCAAGGGAGCGGGCACGCGGAGGGTAGGGGCGGGGGGAGCGGATGGCATGAGGGGGCAGGGGGTGTGACTATGAAGGGGGGGACCCGGGCAAGGGGTGTGTAGCGGTCGGGGCACGAGGTTGACGTGGTACGATCATACCTCAGGCTACTACGCCGGATCCCATCAGAACTCCGAAGCTAAGCGCCGGTGGGCGAGAGCAGTACTGGGCTGGGTGACCTCCCGGGAAGTCCTCGTGTTGTACCCATTTATGCCCCTTGCTCGGCACGTGCCGGGGGAGGGGCAAGCGGGAAAAAGAAAGGACGATTTTAGCGCGTCCGATTCTTTTCTTTTCGTTTTTTTTGCCCAAACAACGACCCAGCGGGGTGGGGGGCCCCCGGGGAGGCTTGCCCATGCGAAGAAACGCCCCGTGCGCACCACCGTTGGGCGGTTGGAAGCCGCACACGGTCGCGGGGGTGGAGAGCGGAAACGGGCAGCCGGGGGAGGGTGGGGGCGGTTGGATGGGACTTGGGGTGTACGGGGGGCAGGGGAGTTGAGGGGGCAAGGGGAGGGGCAGCAACGGGCAGGGGCTGGGCCAACTGAGGGCACGGAAAAGGGGCGGGCAGAGGGTGAGCAGAGGGGCGAGCGATGCAAGGGTGGCACCATAGGGGGGAAACCAGTTGCACGGAGGTGGGAGGTGAGGGGCGTGCGAGGGGGTGGGAAAGGGGCAGGGAGGGGCAGAATGGGAGGATGTAGGTGGGGGGGGGTGGGGGAGGGGAGTGTGCGTGTGTGTGTGTGTGTGAGAAAGAGAGAGAGAGAGAGAGAGAGAGAGAGAGAGAGGGAGGGGGGGATTGAAGGGTGGGAGGGGGGCTGGTCGTGGGGATGGGCTGATGGTGGTAAGAGGGCAGCAGGGATGGGGAGAAGGGAGCGTAACGAGGGGAGAGCAAAGGGCAGGGGGGGAGGAAGGGAGGGGCAGGGAGGGAAGAGGCTGAACGTACAAAGGGGGGAAACGAGGGGCATGGATGATAGGAAACGAGGGCAGGGGTGTGGGAAATCAAGGGCAGGGAGGAGAGAAGCAATGGGTGAGGGGAAAACAAGGGAGGGGCAGACGGGGGGCAGGGAGGGAAGAAACGTGGGGCAGGGAGGGGAGAAGCCAAAGACAGGGGCATGGGCAGGCGGGGGCAGGGAGGGAGCAAAGGAGAGGCACGGAGAAAGAAAGGGAGGCGCGGGGAGGGGAGAAACCGGGCGTGGGGGGGGGGGGGCGGAAAATGAGGGGCAGGGCGGGGAGGAGGGAGGGGCAGGGAGGGGAGAAGCTGAGCACACGGAGGGGGGAAAGGTGAGGCAGGGAGGTAGGAAGCCAAGGACAAGGGGGGGGGAGAGTGGGGGGGGCAGGGAGAGGGGGGAGGTGGGGAGCGGGGAAAGGCGGCGAGGGGCAGGGAGGGGAGAAACCAAGCATAGGGGGGCGAGATACGAGGGGCAGGGTGCGGATTGAGGAGGGGCAGGGAGTGGAGTGGGTCGGCGAGGGGAAGGAAGAGGCGTGCAGCAGAGGAGGGGAGGGGGGAGGAGAAGGTAAAGGAGGGGAGCGCACGGGCGGGGAGGAGCGAATGGCGGGCGGTGGGAAACGGCGAGGGGGGGCAGGGAGGGTCAAAAGAGGCGGCAAGGGAGCGGGCACGCGGAGGGTAGGGGCGGGGGGAGCGGATGGCATGAGGGGGCAGGGGGTGTGACTATGAAGGGGGGGACCCGGCGGTCGGGGCACGAGGTTGACGTGGTACGATCATACCTCAGCTATTAGCCGGATCCCATCAGAACTCCGAAGCTAAGCGCCGGTGGGCGAGAGCAGTACTGGGCTGGGTGACCTCCCGGGAAGTCCTCGTGTTGTACCCATTTATGCCCCTTGCTCGGCACGTGCCGGGGGAGGGGCAAGCGGGAAAAAGAAAGGACGATTTTAGCGCGTCCGATTCTTTTCTTTTCGTTTTTTTTGCCCAAACAACGACCCAGCGGGGTGGGGGGCCCCCGGGGAGGCTTGCCCATGCGAAGAAACGCCCCGTGCGCACCACCGTTGGGCGGTTGGAAGCCGCACACGGTCGCGGGGGTGGAGAGCGGAAACGGGCAGCCGGGGGAGGGTGGGGGCGGTTGGATGGGACTTGGGGTGTACGGGGGGCAGGGGAGTTGAGGGGGCAAGGGGAGGGGCAGCAACGGGCAGGGGCTGGGCCAACTGAGGGCACGGAAAAGGGGCGGGCAGAGGGTGAGCAGAGGGGCGAGCGATGCAAGGGTGGCACCATAGGGGGGAAACCAGTTGCACGGAGGTGGGAGGTGAGGGGCGTGCGAGGGGGTGGGAAAGGGGCAGGGAGGGGCAGAATGGGAGGATGTAGGTGGGGGGGGTGGGGGAGGGGAGTGTGCGTGTGTGTGTGTGTGTGTGAGAAAGAGAGAGAGAGAGAGAGAGAGAGAGAGAGAGAGGGAGGGGGGGATTGAAGGGTGGGAGGGGGGCTGGTCGTGGGGATGGGCTGATGGTGGTAAGAGGGCAGCAGGGATGGGGAGAAGGGAGCGTAACGAGGGGAGAGCAAAGGGCAGGGGGGGAGGAAGGGAGGGGCAGGGAGGGAAGAGGCTGAACGTACAAAGGGGGGAAACGAGGGGCATGGATGATAGGAAACGAGGGCAGGGGTGTGGGAAATCAAGGGCAGGGAGGAGAGAAGCAATGGGTGAGGGGAAAACAAGGGAGGGGCAGACGGGGGGCAGGGAGGGAAGAAACGTGGGGCAGGGAGGGGAGAAGCCAAAGACAGGGGCATGGGCAGGCGGGGGCAGGGAGGGAGCAAAGGAGAGGCACGGAGAAAGAAAGGGAGGCGCGGGGAGGGGAGAAACCGGGCGTGGGGGGGGGGGGGCGGAAAATGAGGGGCAGGGCGGGGAGGAGGGAGGGGCAGGGAGGGGAGAAGCTGAGCACACGGAGGGGGGAAAGGTGAGGCAGGGAGGTAGGAAGCCAAGGACAAGGGGGGGGGGAGAGTGGGGGGGGCAGGGAGAGGGGGGAGGTGGGGAGCGGGGAAAGGCGGCGAGGGGCAGGGAGGGGAGAAACCAAGCATAGGGGGGCGAGATACGAGGGGCAGGGTGCGGATTGAGGAGGGGCAGGGAGTGGAGTGGGTCGGCGAGGGGAAGGAAGAGGCGTGCAGCAGAGGAGGGGAGGGGGGAGGAGAAGGTAAAGGAGGGGAGCGCACGGGCGGGGAGGAGCGAATGGCGGGCGGTGGGAAACGGCGAGGGGGGGCAGGGAGGGTCAAAAGAGGCGGCAAGGGAGCGGGCACGCGGAGGGTAGGGGCGGGGGGAGCGGATGGCATGAGGGGGCAGGGGGTGTGACTATGAAGGGGGGGACCCGGGCAAGGGGTGTGTAGCGGTCGGGGCACGAGGTTGACGTGGTACGATCATACCTCGGCTACTACGCCGGATCCCATCAGAACTCCGAAGCTAAGCGCCGGTGGGCGAGAGCAGTTATTCATTAATAGGGGAAGAGCAAATACAAGCCGAATATAATGGTTTTTCCAAGACTAGGAAATTTCGACATAGCCTAATCGCTATGAGGACGGTATATATATTTTGTAGGAAAAGGGGGAAAGAAAGGAAAGGAAGGAAGGATGAAGGAGTAAGAAGAAGTGGTAGGGAAAAGAAGAGGGCGGTAGGAAGAGAAGGGAAGGATAGAAGAAGGGAACAGAAAGAGGGAGGTGGGAAGAAAAGAGGAGAGAGGGAGAGAGACTAAGGAGGAGGAAGCACCAAAGGACCAAAACACGGCAGCAACCCGCACGACCGCACGGGCACAGCGTTTCAAGCACAGCCACTATCGGTGGGCGAGAGCAGTACTGGGCTGGGTGACCTCCCGGGAAGTCCTCGTGTTGTACCCATTTATGCCCCTTGCTCGGCACGTGCCGGGGGAGGGGCAAGCGGGAAAAAGAAAGGACGATTTTAGCGCGTCCGATTCTTTTCTTTTCGTTTTTTTTGCCCAAACAACGACCCAGCGGGGTGGGGGGCCCCCGGGGAGGCTTGCCCATGCGAAGAAACGCCCCGTGCGCACCACCGTTGGGCGGTTGGAAGCCGCACACGGTCGCGGGGGTGGAGAGCGGAAACGGGCAGCCGGGGGAGGGTGGGGGCGGTTGGATGGGACTTGGGGTGTACGGGGGGCAGGGGAGTTGAGGGGGCAAGGGGAGGGGCAGCAACGGGCAGGGGCTGGGCCAACTGAGGGCACGGAAAAGGGGCGGGCAGAGGGTGAGCAGAGGGGCGAGCGATGCAAGGGTGGCACCATAGGGGGGAAACCAGTTGCACGGAGGTGGGAGGTGAGGGGCGTGCGAGGGGGTGGGAAAGGGGCAGGGAGGGGCAGAATGGGAGGATGTAGGTGGGGGGGGGTGGGGGAGGGGAGTGTGCGTGTGTGTGTGTGTGTGAGAAAGAGAGAGAGAGAGAGAGAGAGAGAGAGAGAGGGAGGGGGGGATTGAAGGGTGGGAGGGGGGCTGGTCGTGGGGATGGGCTGATGGTGGTAAGAGGGCAGCAGGGATGGGGAGAAGGGAGCGTAACGAGGGGAGAGCAAAGGGCAGGGGGGGAGGAAGGGAGGGGCAGGGAGGGAAGAGGCTGAACGTACAAAGGGGGGAAACGAGGGGCATGGATGATAGGAAACGAGGGCAGGGGTGTGGGAAATCAAGGGCAGGGAGGAGAGAAGCAATGGGTGAGGGGAAAACAAGGGAGGGGCAGACGGGGGGCAGGGAGGGAAGAAACGTGGGGCAGGGAGGGGAGAAGCCAAAGACAGGGGCATGGGCAGGCGGGGGCAGGGAGGGAGCAAAGGAGAGGCACGGAGAAAGAAAGGGAGGCGCGGGGAGGGGAGAAACCGGGCGTGGGGGGGGGGGGGCGGAAAATGAGGGGCAGGGCGGGGAGGAGGGAGGGGCAGGGAGGGGAGAAGCTGAGCACACGGAGGGGGGAAAGGTGAGGCAGGGAGGTAGGAAGCCAAGGACAAGGGGGGGGGGAGAGTGGGGGGGGCAGGGAGAGGGGGGAGGTGGGGAGCGGGGAAAGGCGGCGAGGGGCAGGGAGGGGAGAAACCAAGCATAGGGGGGCGAGATACGAGGGGCAGGGTGCGGATTGAGGAGGGGCAGGGAGTGGAGTGGGTCGGCGAGGGGAAGGAAGAGGCGTGCAGCAGAGGAGGGGAGGGGGGAGGAGAAGGTAAAGGAGGGGAGCGCACGGGCGGGGAGGAGCGAATGGCGGGCGGTGGGAAACGGCGAGGGGGGGCAGGGAGGGTCAAAAGAGGCGGCAAGGGAGCGGGCACGCGGAGGGTAGGGGCGGGGGGAGCGGATGGCATGAGGGGGCAGGGGGTGTGACTATGAAGGGGGGGACCCGGGCAAGGGGTGTGTAGCGGTCGGGGCACGAGGTTGACGTGGTACGATCATACCTCGGCTACTACGCCGGATCCCATCAGAACTCCGAAGCTAAGCGCCGGTGGGCGAGAGCAGTACTGGGCTGGGTGACCTCCCGGGAAGTCCTCGTGTTGTACCCATTTATGCCCCTTGCTCGGCACGTGCCGGGGGAGGGGCAAGCGGGAAAAAGAAAGGACGATTTTAGCGCGTCCGATTCTTTTCTTTTCGTTTTTTTTGCCCAAACAACGACCCAGCGGGGTGGGGGGCCCCCGGGGAGGCTTGCCCATGCGAAGAAACGCCCCGTGCGCACCACCGTTGGGCGGTTGGAAGCCGCACACGGTCGCGGGGGTGGAGAGCGGAAACGGGCAGCCGGGGGAGGGTGGGGGCGGTTGGATGGGACTTGGGGTGTACGGGGGGCAGGGGAGTTGAGGGGGCAAGGGGAGGGGCAGCAACGGGCAGGGGCTGGGCCAACTGAGGGCACGGAAAAGGGGCGGGCAGAGGGTGAGCAGAGGGGCGAGCGATGCAAGGGTGGCACCATAGGGGGGAAACCAGTTGCACGGAGGTGGGAGGTGAGGGGCGTGCGAGGGGGTGGGAAAGGGGCAGGGAGGGGCAGAATGGGAGGATGTAGGTGGGGGGGGGTGGGGGAGGGGAGTGTGCGTGTGTGTGTGTGTGTGAGAAAGAGAGAGAGAGAGAGAGAGAGAGAGAGAGGGAGGGGGGGATTGAAGGGTGGGAGGGGGGCTGGTCGTGGGGATGGGCTGATGGTGGTAAGAGGGCAGCAGGGATGGGGAGAAGGGAGCGTAACGAGGGGAGAGCAAAGGGCAGGGGGGGAGGAAGGGAGGGGCAGGGAGGGAAGAGGCTGAACGTACAAAGGGGGGAAACGAGGGGCATGGATGATAGGAAACGAGGGCAGGGGTGTGGGAAATCAAGGGCAGGGAGGAGAGAAGCAATGGGTGAGGGGAAAACAAGGGAGGGGCAGACGGGGGGCAGGGAGGGAAGAAACGTGGGGCAGGGAGGGGAGAAGCCAAAGACAGGGGCATGGGCAGGCGGGGGCAGGGAGGGAGCAAAGGAGAGGCACGGAGAAAGAAAGGGAGGCGCGGGGAGGGGAGAAACCGGGCGTGGGGGGGGGGGGGCGGAAAATGAGGGGCAGGGCGGGGAGGAGGGAGGGGCAGGGAGGGGAGAAGCTGAGCACACGGAGGGGGGAAAGGTGAGGCAGGGAGGTAGGAAGCCAAGGACAAGGGGGGGGGAGAGTGGGGGGGGCAGGGAGAGGGGGGAGGTGGGGAGCGGGGAAAGGCGGCGAGGGGCAGGGAGGGGAGAAACCAAGCATAGGGGGGCGAGATACGAGGGGCAGGGTGCGGATTGAGGAGGGGCAGGGAGTGGAGTGGGTCGGCGAGGGGAAGGAAGAGGCGTGCAGCAGAGGAGGGGAGGGGGGAGGAGAAGGTAAAGGAGGGGAGCGCACGGGCGGGGAGGAGCGAATGGCGGGCGGTGGGAAACGGCGAGGGGGGGCAGGGAGGGTCAAAAGAGGCGGCAAGGGAGCGGGCACGCGGAGGGTAGGGGCGGGGGGAGCGGATGGCATGAGGGGGCAGGGGGTGTGACTATGAAGGGGGGGACCCGGGCAAGGGGTGTGTAGCGGTCGGGGCACGAGGTTGACGTGGTACGATCATACCTCAGCTATTAGCCGGATCCCATCAGAACTCCGAAGCTAAGCGCCGGTGGGCGAGAGCAGTACTGGGCTGGGTGACCTCCCGGGAAGTCCTCGTGTTGTACCCATTTATGCCCCTTGCTCGGCACGTGCCGGGGGAGGGGCAAGCGGGAAAAAGAAAGGACGATTTTAGCGCGTCCGATTCTTTTCTTTTCGTTTTTTTTGCCCAAACAACGACCCAGCGGGGTGGGGGGCCCCCGGGGAGGCTTGCCCATGCGAAGAAGAACGCCCCGTGCGCACCACCGTTGGGCGGTTGGAAGCCGCACACGGTCGCGGGGGTGGAGAGCGGAAACGGGCAGCCGGGGGAGGGTGGGGGCGGTTGGATGGGACTTGGGGTGTACGGGGGGCAGGGGAGTTGAGGGGGCAAGGGGAGGGGCAGCAACGGGCAGGGGCTGGGCCAACTGAGGGCACGGAAAAGGGGCGGGCAGAGGGTGAGCAGAGGGGCGAGCGATGCAAGGGTGGCACCATAGGGGGGAAACCAGTTGCACGGAGGTGGGAGGTGAGGGGCGTGCGAGGGGGTGGGAAAGGGGCAGGGAGGGGCAGAATGGGAGGATGTAGGTGGGGGGGGGTGGGGGAGGGGAGTGTGCGTGTGTGTGTGTGTGTGAGAAAGAGAGAGAGAGAGAGAGAGAGAGAGAGAGAGAGGGAGGGGGGGATTGAAGGGTGGGAGGGGGGCTGGTCGTGGGGATGGGCTGATGGTGGTAAGAGGGCAGCAGGGATGGGGAGAAGGGAGCGTAACGAGGGGAGAGCAAAGGGCAGGGGGGGAGGAAGGGAGGGGCAGGGAGGGAAGAGGCTGAACGTACAAAGGGGGGAAACGAGGGGCATGGATGATAGGAAACGAGGGCAGGGGTGTGGGAAATCAAGGGCAGGGAGGAGAGAAGCAATGGGTGAGGGGAAAACAAGGGAGGGGCAGACGGGGGGCAGGGAGGGAAGAAACGTGGGGCAGGGAGGGGAGAAGCCAAAGACAGGGGCATGGGCAGGCGGGGGCAGGGAGGGAGCAAAGGAGAGGCACGGAGAAAGAAAGGGAGGCGCGGGGAGGGGAGAAACCGGGCGTGGGGGGGGGGGGGGGCGGAAAATGAGGGGCAGGGCGGGGAGGAGGGAGGGGCAGGGAGGGGAGAAGCTGAGCACACGGAGGGGGGAAAGGTGAGGCAGGGAGGTAGGAAGCCAAGGACAAGGGGGGGGGAGAGTGGGGGGGGCAGGGAGAGGGGGGAGGTGGGGAGCGGGGAAAGGCGGCGAGGGGCAGGGAGGGGAGAAACCAAGCATAGGGGGGCGAGATACGAGGGGCAGGGTGCGGATTGAGGAGGGGCAGGGAGTGGAGTGGGTCGGCGAGGGGAAGGAAGAGGCGTGCAGCAGAGGAGGGGAGGGGGGAGGAGAAGGTAAAGGAGGGGAGCGCACGGGCGGGGAGGAGCGAATGGCGGGCGGTGGGAAACGGCGAGGGGGGGCAGGGAGGGTCAAAAGAGGCGGCAAGGGAGCGGGCACGCGGAGGGTAGGGGCGGGGGGAGCGGATGGCATGAGGGGGCAGGGGGTGTGACTATGAAGGGGGGGACCCGGGCAAGGGGTGTGTAGCGGTCGGGGCACGAGGTTGACGTGGTACGATCATACCTCAGCTATTAGCCGGATCCCATCAGAACTCCGAAGCTAAGCGCCGGTGGGCGAGAGCAGTACTGGGCTGGGTGACCTCCCGGGAAGTCCTCGTGTTGTACCCATTTATGCCCCTTGCTCGGCACGTGCCGGGGGAGGGGCAAGCGGGAAAAAGAAAGGACGATTTTAGCGCGTCCGATTCTTTTCTTTTCGTTTTTTTTGCCCAAACAACGACCCAGCGGGGTGGGGGGCCCCCGGGGAGGCTTGCCCATGCGAAGAAACGCCCCGTGCGCACCACCGTTGGGCGGTTGGAAGCCGCACACGGTCGCGGGGGTGGAGAGCGGAAACGGGCAGCCGGGGGAGGGTGGGGGCGGTTGGATGGGACTTGGGGTGTACGGGGGGCAGGGGAGTTGAGGGGGCAAGGGGAGGGGCAGCAACGGGCAGGGGCTGGGCCAACTGAGGGCACGGAAAAGGGGCGGGCAGAGGGTGAGCAGAGGGGCGAGCGATGCAAGGGTGGCACCATAGGGGGGAAACCAGTTGCACGGAGGTGGGAGGTGAGGGGCGTGCGAGGGGGTGGGAAAGGGGCAGGGAGGGGCAGAATGGGAGGATGTAGGTGGGGGGGGTGGGGGAGGGGAGTGTGCGTGTGTGTGGTGTGTGTGAGAAAGAGAGAGAGAGAGAGAGAGAGAGAGAGAGAGAGGGAGGGGGGGATTGAAGGGTGGGAGGGGGGCTGGTCGTGGGGATGGGCTGATGGTGGTAAGAGGGCAGCAGGGATGGGGAGAAGGGAGCGTAACGAGGGGAGAGCAAAGGGCAGGGGGGGAGGAAGGGAGGGGCAGGGAGGGAAGAGGCTGAACGTACAAAGGGGGGAAACGAGGGGCATGGATGATAGGAAACGAGGGCAGGGGTGTGGGAAATCAAGGGCAGGGAGGAGAGAAGCAATGGGTGAGGGGAAAACAAGGGAGGGGCAGACGGGGGGCAGGGAGGGAAGAAACGTGGGGCAGGGAGGGGAGAAGCCAAAGACAGGGGCATGGGCAGGCGGGGGCAGGGAGGGAGCAAAGGAGAGGCACGGAGAAAGAAAGGGAGGCGGGGGCAGGGCGGGGAGGAGGGAGGGGCAGGGAGGGGAGAAGCTGAGCACACGGAGGGGGGAAAGGTGAGGCAGGGAGGTAGGAAGCCAAGGACAAGGGGGGGGGAGAGTGGGGGGGGCAGGGAGAGGGGGGAGGTGGGGAGCGGGGAAAGGCGGCGAGGGGCAGGGAGGGGAGAAACCAAGCATAGGGGGGCGAGATACGAGGGGCAGGGTGCGGATTGAGGAGGGGCAGGGAGTGGAGTGGGTCGGCGAGGGGAAGGAAGAGGCGTGCAGCAGAGGAGGGGAGGGGGGAGGAGAAGGTAAAGGAGGGGAGCGCACGGGCGGGGAGGAGCGAATGGCGGGCGGTGGGAAACGGCGAGGGGGGGGCAGGGAGGGTCAAAAGAGGCGGCAAGGGAGCGGGCACGCGGAGGGTAGGGGCGGGGGGAGCGGATGGCATGAGGGGGCAGGGGGTGTGACTATGAAGGGGGGGACCCGGGCGGTCGGGGCACGAGGTTGACGTGGTACGATCATACCTCAGCTATTAGCCGGATCCCATCAGAACTCCGAAGCTAAGCGCCGGTGGGCGAGAGCAGTACTGGGCTGGGTGACCTCCCGGGAAGTCCTCGTGTTGTACCCATTTATGCCCCTTGCTCGGCACGTGCCGGGGGAGGGGCAAGCGGGAAAAAGAAAGGACGATTTTAGCGCCGTCCGATTCTTTTCTTTTCGTTTTTTTTGCCCAAACAACGACCCAGCGGGGTGGGGGGCCCCCGGGGAGGCTTGCCCATGCGAAGAAACGCCCCGTGCGCACCACCGTTGGGCGGTTGGAAGCCGCACACGGTCGCGGGGGTGGAGAGCGGAAACGGGCAGCCGGGGGAGGGTGGGGGCGGTTGGATGGGACTTGGGGTGTACGGGGGGCAGGGGAGTTGAGGGGGCAAGGGGAGGGGCAGCAACGGGCAGGGGCTGGGCCAACTGAGGGCACGGAAAAGGGGCGGGCAGAGGGTGAGCAGAGGGGCGAGCGATGCAAGGGTGGCACCATAGGGGGGAAACCAGTTGCACGGAGGTGGGAGGTGAGGGGCGTGCGAGGGGGTGGGAAAGGGGCAGGGAGGGGCAGAATGGGAGGATGTAGGTGGGGGGGGGGTGGGGGAGGGGAGTGTGCGTGTGTGTGTGTGTGTGAGAAAGAGAGAGAGAGAGAGAGAGAGAGAGAGAGAGAGAGAGAGGGAGGGGGGATTGAAGGGTGGGAGGGGGGCTGGTCGTGGGGATGGGCTGATGGTGGTAAGAGGGCAGCAGGGATGGGGAGAAGGGAGCGTAACGAGGGGAGAGCAAAGGGCAGGGGGGGAGGAAGGGAGGGGCAGGGAGGGAAGAGGCTGAACGTACAAAGGGGGGAAACGAGGGGCATGGATGATAGGAAACGAGGGCAGGGGTGTGGGAAATCAAGGGCAGGGAGGAGAGAAGCAATGGGTGAGGGGAAAACAAGGGAGGGGCAGACGGGGGGCAGGGAGGGAAGAAACGTGGGGCAGGGAGGGGAGAAGCCAAAGACAGGGGCATGGGCAGGCGGGGGCAGGGAGGGAGCAAAGGAGAGGCACGGAGAAAGAAAGGGAGGCGCGGGGAGGGGAGAAACCGGGCGTGGGGGGGGGGGGGGCGGAAAATGAGGGGCAGGGCGGGGAGGAGGGAGGGGCAGGGAGGGGAGAAGCTGAGCACACGGAGGGGGGAAAGGTGAGGCAGGGAGGTAGGAAGCCAAGGACAAGGGGGGGGGGGAGAGTGGGGGGGGGCAGGGAGAGGGGGGAGGTGGGGAGCGTGGGCAAGGCGGCGATGGGCAGGGAGGGGAGAAACCAAGCATAGGGGGGCGAGATACGAGGGGCAGGGTGCGGATTGAGGAGGGGCAGGAGTGGAGTGGGTCGGCGAGGGGAAGGAAGAGGCGTGCAGCAGAGGAGGGGAGGGGGGAGAGGAGAAGGTAAAGGAGGGGAGCGCACGGGCGGGGAGGAGCGAATGGCGGGCGGTGGGAAACGGCGAGGGGGGGCAGGGAGGGTCAAAAGAGGCGGCAAGGGAGCGGGCACGCGGAGGGTAGGGGCGGGGGGGAGCGGATGGCATGAGGGGGCAGGGGGTGTGACTATGAAGGGGGGACCCGGGCAAGGGGTGTGTAGCGGTCGGGGCACGAGGTTGACGTGGTACGATCATACCTCGGCTACTACGCCGGATCCCATCAGAACTCCGAAGCTAAGCGCCGGTGGGCGAGAGCAGTA